GCCCCCCCCCCCCCCGAAATATCTGATTCTGAGTTGTCCTCATGTCGAATCGTCTGTTTTGCTCTCTGCGCGGTGCGCGTACACGCTTTGTTATAGTCTGGACTGTAGAGTACCGGTTATCGCTTGTTTTAACGTCTATGTCTGCTTATACAATCTGATTGGAGTCTCCATTTATTCAAAACACGTGGCATGGGCACCCGTACACCTACAGAGGCCTACACGGCCACCGTTCTGTCATCACGATGAGGAAGCCGCGGGCCGCGGTTTGCTCCTGACGGCCATGCACAGGACGGGACCTTATTCTATCAATACAGTTTACGGGACCTAGAACAGCTGATTTGACGACACGGTTACGCGTCGCCGGCGGTATGTACGCGTGTACGAACCACTGTTCCTTCCCATGCAACGACACTCATCCTTTGATCGTGTACTTTAGGCGTTGCGAAGGACGCCTTCTCTTGCTCTTGACCGTCAGGCTGTTGTTCCACTAGAAGGCTTCAGTCCCCTCTTGTAAGCCGACACGATGATCGGACAGGTTCTTGCCGCCTTCGTGGCCATCGTTGTCGCCCTCGCCGGGAAGGACATCTATCACTTCATTCAGGGAACCCTACACCCGTTCTTCTCTCCTCTGCGCAATGTGCCGGGCCCGCCCTCTGATGCGATCTTCATGGGGAGTCTACGCGCGATCATCGCTGCTGATCCTTGCGAGTTGCATGTGAAGTGGGCGAAGCAGTACGGACCGGTGGTCAAGTACAAGATGCTTCTCAACGTCAGTTTCGCACTTCTGTCGTGGGTGATGTTGGAGAGCTAATATGCTGTGGCGAGATAGCGCGAGAGGTTGAGTATCATGGATACTCGAGCTGTGGGACATATACTGGCCCACCCGATGGACTATGAGAAGCCTGCACCGATCCGACAAGCGCTGAGTACCATGCTGGGGAATGGTGATTGTCGAGATGATGCAATGACTCGTTTCACGCGTTAACATATGCCTATCTAGGTTTGCTCTCTGTCGAGGGAGAGACACACAAACAGCAGGTCAGCTATATGCTCACTTCGCCAGTCGAGCGTGGCAGCTGACTATCCACCGATATAGCGACGCGTTATGGTGCGGAAGTAATGCTCCGAACACGCCGAGCGTTGCTGACGCGTCACGTAGAGCCCAGCCTTTGGTTTGCCTCAGATCCGTGAGCTCACTGGCATCTTCCTCTCTAAGTCGATACAGGTATGAAGCACGCCTGTCCATTGAGTTCAGGATTGGCTGACAGGCAATAGCTTCGCGACATATGGGCGACGAAGCTGCAGGAGAAGCAGCTCGAGACCAACCCGGACGATTCATCGTCTGGAAAGATTGAAGTGCTTTCGTGGCTCAACAAGATGACGCTAGACGTGATCGGACTGGCAGGTATGCGAGGGCGTAACCCTGGCGTATAGACGCGCTCACATCTCGCTCCCCAGGTTTCAACCACAGTTTCGACGCACTCAGTCCCAATGAAAGTCATCATGAGCTCAATGGAGCCATACGAACTCTCCTAAAGAACTCTGAGAACCCTTCCACATTAGACATTCTTCACATCCTTATCCCAGCGACGCGTGTTGTTGTGAGTTAAGCGTCTGTGACTCTCTTCGCCTTGCTACAGAGTAGCTCAAACCTCCACAGAAGAGCAAAAGAGACGTCGAGATCACGGAAGCGCGCGCTATCCTGGACCGAGTAGGGAAGCAGTTCCTTGCAGAGCGCAAGGCGGCTGTTCTCGCGTCCGGAGAGAGCAAGGTACAGCGCAAAGACGTCGTAGGAAAGGATCTGCTATCGTTGCTCGTACGCGACAACATGGCAAGTGACATCCCCGAGGACAGCCGTATGACGGATGAGGAAGTCCTAGCTCAGGTTCTCGCTTTTTACCCCTTTCGTGTGCTGCTTTCTCTAACACAGCCTCCGAAGGTTCCTACTTTCCTGTTGGCAGGCCATGAGACGACCTCCACAGCCGTGACCTGGATCCTGTACGCGCTCTCTCAGAATGCAAAGGCGCAAGATAAGCTCCGGGAAGAGCTCCGCGCGTGCGACGGGGACGAGCCAAGCATGGAGACGCTCAATGGACTTCCTTACCTTGATTGCGTCGTTCGCGAGACGATGCGACTCTTCTCGCCAGTTTCGAACACCCTTCGCGTTGCGATGAAGGACGACGTGATTCCTACCGAGAAGGAATGGGTCGACAACAAGGGCGTCCGCCGGACCGGAGTACCGTGAGCATACAACCGCATTGTTGACCTCTGCTTGTCATTTTACCCCTGCATAGTGTGTCCAAGGGCGATTCGATCTTCCTTCCCTTCTTGGCGTTCTCGAAGAGCGAGGAGATATGGGGTGCCGACGCGAACGAGTGGAAGCCTGAGCGTTGGGCAAAGGGCGTCCCGCCAGCTGCCGCATCTATCCCGGGCATATGGGGCAACACCTTCTCTTTCTCCGGAGGAGCGAGGGCGTGCATTGGTTACAGGTTCTCGGTCATTGAGTATGAGGGTCTCCTAGTCGATCGTGTTCGCCTTTGCTCACAGGATCTACAGGATGAAAGCAATCATCTATACCCTCATTCGTGCTTTCAAGTTCTCTATGTCTGTCGCCCCATCGGATATCAAGTTCAAATCGACTGCCGTTACGCGCCCGCATCTCAAGGACAAAGTTAACGACGGCCCGCAATTGCCGCTCTGGGTAAGCCTCGTAGACTCGGAGGCTGGATACGTGCACGTCGCGTAGGTTTCCATTGAGTTTGCAGGAAGTGTGGCTAGTATCGGACTGCTACGGGTCTAGTGCTAGATCAACTCGATAGCATTGTATGTATGATACGGCGCGTTTTTTGGCCATTCTGAGTACATGACTATACAACATGGGCTAATCACTGCATACTCGGTGTCTGAAGTATCGGCTCCTTATCCTGAATAGCCTTCAACATCTCCGATCCGACCTTATTCGCTTCCTCGAACCGAGGCTTGAAGAAGTCGGCCGTTTCCTCAAACCTCTTCCTGTAGAGATCGAAGCTCCCGAATGAGACGCATTGACTCCATCCACGCGAAGCCACGACGAACTCAACGTCGTCGTACCGATGCGATGTATCATAGAGAGCGGCGTGTATCGCGTTGTCCAGTCGCTCCTTGGAGAGAAAGAGGTACTCGGCGACGCCAAACCACATACGGAAGATGGGTGTAGCGGCGAGTTCGAGGTGGACTGTCGGCTGAATGTTCAGGTGCGCCCAAGAGTCAACCATGGCTAGCAACGATAGATGCGAGTTGACTGGGGTGCGCTCAGGACTGTGATGGCCTGAAGGCGTTCCAACGCGGCTGTTGGACTGCGAGGGAGATGTTGCTGCAATCTTTCCCAGGCTAAATCGATCCAGGATGTCCTCTGAAAGTAGAACAGGGCGATGGCCTTGCTTGTACGCATCGATATCGCCAAAGACACGCTGCCTCGCGTCGTACATGCGCGTACGTAGGCCCTCCTCGTCCGCAGCAAGCATGAGCTTGAAGATGTCTGTCACGCTCTGCGCGAACTGCCCGATCTGGACGCATGCGAAAGGGTTCAGGATAGCAAGACCGGCGTAGACGTGCCATTTGTTCGAGAAGATTCGCAGCATGAGGTTCACCTTGACCGTCTCTATGCCGCCAACGTAGTACCCGTGTTCCCAAGGGTACGAGGCAGCGTTCGCCCACGCGGTGCCCATACTGAGTGACAGATCAGTTCGATTCGCGTCAGGATGAAGAATACGCCCACCTGAGGAAAGCAGCATGCGTAACTGCTTGCACGTTAGCCGTTACAATGTCGTGTTCTTCGTAGGACATATGCACGAAGCGCGACTCGAAAGGTCGAAGGATACTCTCAACGAGAGCCAACGCTTCGTCAGACGCACGATGCCTGATAATCGCCTGTAGGAAGCGCAGTGAGACGGGAAGTAGTCATCCGCGGAGGCATGACTCACCATGGGTTGACCTTTGGGATGTACAGTCGGCCCATGGAGTGAATGGCAAGACACGATGTGAACATCTGCAGGTAGGTGCTTCTCAAATGCGGCCTGTTCAGGTGCCTTGACAGAAGTCTGTCCAGCTACGATGCATCCGACCTTGGTAGCTGCGTTCAATGTGGGTTTACGGGAAGCGCCACAGATATGTCCGTGCACGCACAAGGACCATATTCGGCAACGACCCTGTCGATATACTCGGCCTCGACCGAGTACATTATCCAATCTGCCGTACGTGCAACATGATGACCGTTCTGCATGACTGTGATGCCGGGGTCGTCTACAGAGAGCGTTGAGCCACATATGACTGCAGGAAAACATAGGAAACGGACCCGTGTAAGCTGAGGACAAAGCATCGTAATTCTCGGGACGGTCGCAGACATTGATCCTAGGACATATAAGACAGTCGCACCGGAAGATCTCTGGCGTACATACCTCTTCCAACCGGCTCTAGACAGGTACTTCGCGTACATTTTGCCCATAGCGCCCATACCTATGATGCCGAGCACAGGTTGCTCTTCTGCGGGTGCATCGGGCGTCACGTTGGGGTCAACAGTCAGGCGAGAAGGGTTGAGCGGCATGGTGGTGGTTACGGTGCAAGGTCTACAATTGCATAACTCTAACAGATGGTCGATGAGGGCAAAGATGGCGTGAACATCATCGGCGTCAAGTCGGCGCTTTCGGCGCGAGCGCAGAAATAACGTGAGCGTGTTTTGATCCAGATCAAACGCGTCGACGCGACCGCGAGCTTCGAGATTAGATTTCCTGTCTCCCACCACCATGGCTACTGCGAACCCATTTCCTGTGGGGACTGCCCCAGTAAAACAAGAGTGCTTCAATGTCACGCAAGCACAATATCCAGCAAGCTGAACATGACGCGCAGGTTTCTTGTGTCCACGTCTGCTCCAGCACGGCCAATTGTCGATGACGATGCGGCTGAAGGCGGCACGAGCAATGTGAAGCACGCGCGTCCGGATGAAGAGGAAGGTGCTGGTCAAGATGAGCCTGCAGCTAAGAAGCCGAAGTTGTCTGGCGCAGAGAAGCGTAGACTCGCGAAAGAAGAAAAGAAAAAGAATCGCGGGTCAAATAAGGGCAGGAGATGGGCAAAGACCAAGGACGAGCTTGACCTTTGCTGGAGGTTTGCGGGTGACGGCCAGTGTGAGTTTGGAGACAAGTACGCGACTTCATGCATCACGTCAAGCACCCAACTGATGATTGAATAGATGCCGCTTCAGCCATGATATCCCCGCCTACTTAGCGGCGAAACCAAAAGATATATATCTACCGCCAGCGTCCGACCTCATCGATTTCTCGCCTTTTGTCGCCGTGCCTCTCGATTATACCGAAGCCGAGGGCTCGGTTCAACCTCTTTCGCGTTGTCCAGTCTACGAACGCACCGGGTCATGTCGACATGGGCTCAAATGTCGTTTCTTGGGTGGGCACGCAAAGCTGAACGAAGACGGTTCTGTCACTGTCTTGGAAGATGCTGAGAAGAAGGCGGCTACCGCGAAGGACAACACGGAGCTCAACTTCATGACGGGACCTGTGTTGAAACTGCTGCGAACGAAGAAGGTGCGACGCTACCTGTTTGCAATGTACATCATACTCATCAGCGTCTGCAATTCAGTACCCTCTTCCCATCACAGACGCGTATCTCAAAGAGATTCAAACGCGGCCAGACTCCGAGCCAAAGGCCGCCGAAGATGCGGTGGAAGCCGTCACTGTCGAAGACGGCGAGACTGCGATTGTTGTACAAGAGCCCGAGGCCGACGTCGTGCCGCCCGAAACGGCTCCTACGAATGATGTCCCAGAGCCAACTCCAGTTGCGCCTATATCAAAATCATCGAAGGAGGAGGAGGAGGCAGCCGCTCAAGTCGATACTCCCGACGTTCCTGCGCGGTTTGCAGAAAAGAAACGCTTGGTGTGGACAGACAAGACTTGTGAGCGCCACGCCTCTCCCATAGTTGAACGACTTTCTTACTTCGATCAGACCTTGCGCCCTTGACTACGGTCGGAAATCTAGTATGCATCCGGTCTTAGCCGCTGTGAGCATATGCTGATCTATCATCAGCCATTCCGCCGCGTCTGTGTAGATTGGGGAGCCGATATCACCTGTGGCGAAAGTACGGTCAGCTTTATTGTGGTTTCTATGCCTTGAGCTGATCATCCGCGTAGTGGGTCTTGCGCACTCCTTCCTTGGGGGCTCAAAAGAGGAATGGTCTCTGGTCCGGAGGCACCCTTCAGAGTCGATGTTCGGTGTGCAGTTAGCGGGAAGCAAGCCTTCGCTCCTCGTGCCGACGGCGGAAGTCATTGCCCGTGAATGCTCGGGAGTTGACTTCGTCGACCTGAACTGCGGTTGTCCGATTGATCTTGTCTTTCGTACTGGCAGCGGCTCTGCGCGTAAGTGGACAGTGATACAGGCTGATCAGAGCTGACTGTCTAACAGTGCTCGATGCTCCTGGAAAGCTCGGTAAGATCCTTACGGGGATGAACCGAGCGCTTGGGGAGATCCCCTTGACGGTGAAACTACGGACGGGCGTCAAAGAGGGCAAGAATACCTCTCACCGGCTGATGCCTCGAGTCAGCGCAGAATGGAACGTTGCAGCGATGACCGTGAGTGAACACGGCCCCTTGGTCAAACGCCGATACTGAGCACAGGGATAGCTTCACGGTCGCACGCGTCAGCAGCGCTACACGAAGCTCGCAGACTGGGAATACATCAAGGAGTGCGTAGATGCCGTCCGCGCGCGCGAGCAGGAAGAAGATCGTACGTTGCTTTCGGCGCCTCATCCCTTTTTGTGAGAGCGCAACTTATATTGACTAGTTCCTCGCGTCCCCATTTTCGGAGGCGGTGATTGCTACTCGGCCCAGGATTACTGGAATGACGTCGAGCTATCCGGCGTAGACGGTGTCATGGTCGCGCGCGGCGCTCTCATCAAACCTTGGATATTCACGGAGATCAAGGAGAGAAGGGAATGGGATATCAGTGCTCGCGAGCGGCTCGAAGGTCTACGTAAGTACGCTGAGTACGGCCTGGAGTGAGTGTTATCGTCGTTATAAAGTGTGGGCTATACGTGCTAACCCTGGTTTCTCAGTCATTTCGGGACAGATACTGCCGGCGTGAACACCACGCGTCGTTATCTCTGCGAAGCCATGTCCTTCCAGTACCGCTACGTGCCACTCGGGCTCCTTGAACACATACCGGGCCGTATCAACGACCGTGCTCCCCTCTTCCGTGGACGCAACGAGCTTGGTAGGACTCATTCTTCTCGCCGAGGCGTGCGTGATGCTGATGGACTTCCAGAGACGTTACTTGCTAGCCCAGATAGTCGCGATTGGGTCAAAATATCGGAGATGTTCCTCGGGCCGGCTCCCGAGGGATGGACATTTACCCCGAAGCACAAGAGCAATGCGTACGGCGGTGAAGAGGGTCAAGGATAGACTACTCTTATTGCAACATAGGCGGGAAGAACCCCCTAAAAGAGGCGCCTAAACATTCTGAGCCTCAGTGCCAATCTTCTGGACTTAGTCCCCGTCTGTTCTCATTATGAATGCCGATGTCTACGCACAGCATCGCATTCTTCGCCTTACGAGCCTGCAATGGGCTTACCGTTCAGCCAGTCCTTGTTCGCGTCAATCTCACGAAGAATAGGCATCCTGGCGCCCAGCATGGGAAACTAGAAATCGTGAGCAGAATGTCGCAGCCTTGCGTATGATAGCCGTGATGCAGAGCTTCAGCTCAGTCTGGTGTTTCGATACGCGGGTAGTCGATACCCGAGGTCCTTGGCGGTGTCGTGGACGCTCAGACGCCCAGCAGATGCTGGCGTACATAGCTCTGCGAAATGATTGGGGAATAAGCGCGGAGGGCAGTAAACGGTAACATGAACACCGCCGACATGATATTTCCGAGCACAGTGGACCTCAGCCGTGTGATGATGCTTCAAGCTTCATGTATCATCCTGCTTGTAACCATGACGCAAGACTCGTCGGGAAAGCATGGCCGTCAACTTGTCCAGGCATAGCAACAGGAACATGCTAGGTAGACTGGCATACGCGACTGCAGTCGCTCGTCGATCGCCAGCGCCCTCTAGGCATGTTCGAAGCTGCCATACCATATCACAAGTAAATCGACTCGGCACCGTGCTTAGAAGGTTCCAGGAGCATGACGTCGTGATAGTACAGTGTCCTTTTCGTAAACAGCCTGGATCAAGCATCAGATTACCGTGCGATAGCACTTTGATTGTCCGAGGGCGCGAAGAGGCCGGAGCAGATAGTTGCACATGGATCGACGGACCGCAGCGAGACCAAACACAGTGATGAAGACGGCCGTATCAGAACACTGCAAAGGTGTACGTAGAGAGAAAGCCAAACTTGCTTCGGAGTAATAGCACTGCTGCTCCGATCTGTGAGACCTTTCCTGACCTACAGGCTCGATGGCTCACAACCGACGCAAGAGTAAGGGTAGAGGCGCGTCCAAGACATGATGGCCCGATGCCTTGAGAAGCGCAGCGTCATCATACATGTTCGAGCGCTCTACATAAGAACAAATTATTTCACTTCGACGGATTGAGACTGCTTCGTATACAAGTCGAAGCTGGCGAAAGAAGGACAAGGACGTCCAAAGAATCAAGAGTTCACACCAATGATCGACGCGTCCCACGCACTTGATGGCCGACTGTTCAAATCAGCCGGAGCCACCTGGATGCAGTAGATGTTGTACACGGTGGGCGGCACGGAATATCAGCGGAGGTGGAAGTCGGGCGGAGGGTGGCAGCAGCGATCCCGCGTGAGAACGGCACTGCGTCGCATCAACTCCCAGGCCCTGTCCGCGACTCTCATGTTGCTTTGCGCGCACGCACCGCGAGCCGATACATCGAACAAGCATCGCATCCATCGTACAGAAGTACAACATTTCCCAATGGTCAGGACATCGTTTCGGTTCTGGGTCGGACCCACGGTTCTTCCGAAGCTTGGTATAAGAAGTTCCCGTGTGTACGCCAGCGGGTTCTCAGCAGCGTAGTTCCTCCAGCCCTTCTTCCTCGCACACTGCGCCATGGTCTTGAGCTCTATCTTCGTCAACTCCCCTGAGTATGAGGCCCGACGCCGCACGATCTTCACGTTACCCAAGGTCACACTAGCAGAGATACATTCTGCAGTACCCAAACACCTGTTCGAAAAGTCAACCGCGACTGGCTTATACTATGTTCTGCGCTCTGTGACCTGGACCGTCGTCTTTTATCGACTTGCACGCCTTATACCCCTAGCAGCTAGCTACCTCGTCAGCTTGGGGGTTCACCCCTCGCTGGTCCATGCCGCGCGCGCCATGTTCTGGATTGCATACTGGTGGTGGCAGGGCGTTGCCTTTGCTGGGTTAGTCTGAAACTTCCCTCACGCCGTTCGTCGCCACTCACGCTCTCTCAGTCTGTGGTGCTTGGGTCACGAAGCTGGTCATGGAACGATCTCGGATATTAACTGGGTGAACACTGCGATAGGCTTTGTCCTTCATACATTCCTCCTGGTACCTTATTACTCGTGAGTCTTCATTTGGACTTCGACAACTCAGTACTAATCAGCATATCTGCCCAGATGGAGAGCGACCCATCATGCTCATCACGTACGCCTTCACCATGTCTTTTCCTATACGTCCCTGGCTGACATCCCTCGCAGAAAACAGTTGGCTCGGTCGAACGCGAAGAGAACTATGTTCCTCGGACCCGCTCTGATTATGCTCTGCCGGCTGAGAACATTGCTCATGTCACGGACTACCACGATGTGTTCGAAGAAACGCCAATCTACACCCTTGGACGCATGGTCCTCATGCAGTTGCTCGGCTGGCAAGCATACCTGTGCTTCAATACGCTGGGTTCACCCTCATATCCCGAGGGCACGAATGTGAGATCTTGATCCGATATGCGTGCGATGGTAGTGCTCACTGCCTTCTAGCACTTCTCTACGAGCTCGCCTCTATTCAAGGACTATCAGCGCCGCGGGGTGGCGATCTCCAACCTCGGTCTTACCATCATGTCCTGCCTTCTCATCGAATACTCGCGCGCGGTAGGCGGGTGGGCCTTCTTCAAACTCTACTTCGTACCATACCTCGTGAGTAGCGGCTTTCGCATTGAATGGTCCACGGCTAACATGCACGATCAGCTCGCGAACCATTGGATCGTGATGCTCACGTTCTTGCATCACACGGACCCGACCCTTCGTACGTGCAAGAGCTCTTCTACCCTACGTTCAACCCTGAACTCATGTGATGTATCAGCTCACTATCGCGAGAAGCAATGGACGTGGCTGCGCGGCGCTCTCGCTACCGTTGACCGGCCGCTACTCGGTTGGGTTGGACGACACTTCCTACACAATGTCAGCCACGATCACGTCTCGCACCATCTCTTCTCGACTATCCCGTTCTGTAAGCGTCTCCAACAGCTGGCAAGATGGATGCGGCTCATATCTCATGCAGATAACCAGCCTCAGGTGACTGAGATCCTAAAGGGTATCCTGAAGAAGGACTACAACTACGACTCTACGGTACGCCGCGAAGACCTCTTGCATGTTGAAGGAATCTGACCTGGTTCTCGCAGAACTCATTCAGAGCGCTGTGGAGGTCATTCACAGAGTGCATCTTCATTGAGGACGATGGAGACGTCGTCTTTTACAAGAACAGGTCAGGTGAAGCAGCCCGCGAGCACGCAGTCGAGCCTGTATCGAAGTCGTCAAAGGGGATATGAGCGTTGCCCGTATCGATATTTCTCGCTTTCTTCATCTGGGGTGGATTGGTAAATTATCGTTCAGCATAAGCATATGGATTATTTGTACTCAGCATACCCTCGCATCGTACCGCACGCATATTAGACATCATCTCTACATCTCTACACATTTTCTTTTTGCCCATCCACCAACCGACATGTCCAGTGCATTTCACGTCTGGCAAGTCGGCTACGCTGCCGCTCATGCGAAGATGAATCGGCATGGCGCGATCGAGCCGGTGATTCTGCATGATTACATGACACGACGAGGGCAATAAAGCCGGTTCCTGCAGGTCCGCCGCAGTTTCTCTCGTAGCGCGGCCAGGCGCGGCAAGAGTCGCCGATGCCAGCCGATGCCGCGGACAACATACAACTCGAAGCTTGATGGATTGACCGGATGATCAGCGCCTCTAAGCATGTTCTTGTCGAAGATCGACGATAGGTGTGGTAGGCGTCACACAAAACGACCAGGACCCGAATTCATATTGATATACACACCATTATACTCAGTACAAGTACATTACGAAGATCGAAGCACAAGTCTCGCGGGACGACTCCTAGCCTTTCACTATTTGTATACCTGCTGCATGTTAGATCAATCTTCACAAGCAGATAGACTGGGTGTACACACCTCGTAACCCCTACTCTTGCAGATCCAAGAACGATGCCCCACTTGACTTGACTTTCATCACAAAGCCTTCGTACCACTTCGCCAATAAGCCCATCGGCACAGCGCTCTCGGGCGTGATGCTCTGCCCATTACCCCCAACGAAACCCGAGACATAATTGAAGAGGTTCTTCACGATCTTCTCCGCGAGTACCGTGGGATCCGTCGTGGCAGAAGCTCTTGCCACTGCTGAGGGTAGCGAGCTCATCTCGGCTTGAATGACGTGCAATGGCTCGATGGCGATACCCAGGGTTGCCACGAGGTCGCCGGCCATTTGCGCGTTTTCATTGAGTGCGACGTTCGAGCTTTGCGAGGTGAAGGTACCTCGCAGGCGGAACATCGCCGACGGTTTCTCATTTGTAAGCCTGAAACAATCATCAAGATGGATGCCATGTCAAGAACGCTAGAGTACGCACATGCCCAGCAATTGGAACCCCTTCCCGGGCCAATGGAAGTGTACGGTCGCGCCATATCCATCAGGGAAAGGAACTGTATCAGTCATCAACACGCAGCCCACGCAGTATGAGTTGCATAACGCACCGTCTCCCAAAAGGAATACGCATATGTGGTTTATGGTGCTAGCATCGTGAAGTTCGAAGATGGCGTGCGTCTCGTCGATTTGCTGCAAGTTTGTTTGCGGCAGACGACCAGCTACAAGACAGCCAAACATGGTGCAGTAGTATGTCAAGGGGTAATAGTGAGGTGTGGCACTAGTTTGTTGATGCAGAAGACCCGAGCGGGTTTGAAGCGGTGGTGGTGAGATGCATCTTGGAACAGCGTGAGCGTCGAGGACAAGTCGCGTCGAACGCTCTCGAACATCCGCCCAACACCCACAAACCACTTGGCTCTTCCTCTCATGCCATCCGATCAGTGTGGGGTCTCTGGGGTTTCGCACTGCTCAAGCAATACTCATAGGCGACAAGTCGAACATACGGAGCTGGAGGGAATATTCGGCGCGCAGATGTAGCGAGTAGCGCTTTTTTGAGAGTGAACGCTATCCTGATGGCCTTGGCGGCTGCACGACTGAGTTCTCACAGTATTGCGGCTCATACGTGAGCTATAGTGCACAGCTCCTCCACGAGAGGAAGAAAGGCACGAGAGGATCTCCTTGCGACCCAACGTCGCCGCAATATCCGAACTCGCAAGCTGCGTGCGCAGGATACCCTCCATCGCCATGGCGCTCTCTCGACTGCTTAACTCGTCCACGAATAGGCGGCTCACGCGCGACTCGATCCTTCCAGGCCCCGTTTCTATTACTACTGGCGTGCACTGGAGGTTTGCCGTTGAACAATACACCGAGTTGCCCGAAATCCGCTGGATGGCTGTCCATACCGGATGCTGCGTTTCATAAACAAGAAGACAGTCTATACCCGGAGACTTGACCCTAATCTCGTGTGGAACAAGGACGCTGCTCGCGGTATATGAGGCCTCAGACTCGCCCAGGACGTTCAAATCCTGTCACCAGCTACTACCAAGGTTATATCTCATCTGCCCGCTCGCTCTTCACATTCTTTCACTCCTTTCACAGACTTACTCTTGGAATGGGAAATTGTATGTCTTCCAGTGAAATCACTCCCTATCCCCATGATCTCCATCCCGAACCCATTGTCCGGTATCAGCCCCAGACGATCCATCCTCCAGCTCCAGCTCATATCAATGCACCGCATCCGCCCCCTGCCTATGCAGGGCCACCTCCTCCATATCTACGCCAGCCTTTCACTCAATCGGTACGCGATTAACGATGGCACCATGCATTCAGACGCTCACAAGTCTTCCAGTATGATCGCAAAACTCATCCGCGTCCCGGGGGTGCTGGCATGACCGCAACCTCCCATAACGCGCCACTGGTCACCTCGCGAGATGAGTATCTCTTCAGAGATCACGCTCACTCGCGCTCAAGACTTCATGTAGGTATGTGAAGACTCGATAACTACTAGATTCCCAAGATGACACGGTGTAGAGAGCTACGGGCAGCTTGGTCCGGAAGAGTATCGAGGTCGGGCAGGTCCCACGAACCCAGATCACTCGCTCGACCGAGTTGACTTGGACGCGCCGTTTCCTTCACTGGCCTGGTCGCCTGTAGGACGTAATACGCGAAGATGATGGCTTATCCCTACGCTCTTAGGCTCTCGATCGATGATTGCGATACCTGTACGATATCTTGCAGCTGGCTGAAGGGTGGATTCCAACCGATTCGCGAGATGTATCTCAGCAACCTTGTATAGTAGCAATTGGTTGTGATGTCGTGAGCAGCCGGACCGAATACGCGAGTGAGTATCGAGAACAGTGGCGATTCAGAGGCAAGGGAACACCTAAGGATGGCCTCCAGTACTTTTAGTCGGCTTCCGGTCGCGCAGTGGCTGAGGCTTCAAGCCCGCAACAACATCGCGCACCAGACCAGTCGAGAATTCACATGACCGCGTGCCGGAACTTGTACCCCGCACGAACGCAGGATGACTTCTTGTCTGTCTCCACCGACGAGTCTCCACCGACGAGTTGGACCCACTTAACCATCACAACTACATCACGGCCTACACTACATCCAATACTTCTCCATCGACGCCATGTCTATCAGCACTACCGCAAAAGCCGCCCGCTCTGCATCCTCGCCATTCTCCCGCGCCGCATTCTCGCAGACTAGGCGCGCGTACGCAACAGCAGCGCACGGGAAGGAAGCCGTCAGGATCGTCGAAGTCGGACCGCGTGATGGTCTGCAGAACGAGAAGGCAGTCATCCCGGTGGAGACGAAGGTCGAGCTCATCAATCGGCTTGCACGCGCGGGGTCGACGGTTATCGAGGCGGGCAGCTACGTGAGCCCGAAATGGGTACCACAAGTGCGCGCTCCAGCACATCTCTCTAGGATATGTTTTCCTCATGAATATTTTAGATGGCCGGTACAGCGGAGATCATGTCGAAGATTGACAAGGCACCCGGAGTGACCTACCAAGTCCTCGTCCCCAACATGAAAGGTCTCGAATCCGCCTTCGCCACCCTCGACGCCCAGCCCTCCAACCCACCCATCGACGAAGTAGCCATCTTCACCGCCGCGACTGATGCCTTCTCCAAAGCCAACACCAACTGCACCGTCGCTGAGTCTCTTGAGCGTCTTGCACCCGTAACCCGCGCGGCACTCGACAGAGGGCTGAAAGTGCGCGGATATGTGAGCGTGGTTGTTACGTGCCCGTATAGTGGGAAGGTGGATTATGAGAGGGTGAGAGATGTTACGAAGGAGTTGTTGGATATGGGGTGTTATGAGGTCAGTTTGGGCGATACGGTGGGCACGGGCAATCCGAGTAGTGTTGCGGAGATGTTGGAGGTTGTTATGAAGAGGAATCCAGTTGAGAGGTTGGCGGTACGTCTGTATTGATTGTCTATCTGATGTTCGGGGGGTAGCTGACGATGTACATTTAGGGCCATGTAAGCAATGTCTGTATGTCCGTATGCGAAGACCTGACTGACCGCTGTTTAGTTCCATGATACATTCGGCATGGGCGTCGCAAACGCAGTGAAAGCTATCAACATGGACATTCGCACAATTGATAGCAGCATAGCCGGTCTCGGTGGCTGCCCCTACTCTCCCGGCGCGACTGGCAACGTCGCGACAGAAGACATCTTATACGCGTTGAAGGACACCAAGTATGATGCGCCAGGAGATCTTGAGAAGCTGGTGGATGTGGGCTTCTGGATATCCGAGCAACTCGGGCGGAATAATGAGAGTCGAGTCGCAAAGGCGATCAGGGCACGGCGTGCTCGTGAGCACGGTGCAAAGGCGAAGCTATGACGACGCTTCACTGCTCAATGCCCTGGGTCATCATCCCATAAATCATCTGTACCAATATACCTGTAACATGCTACACGCACAAATTGGATGAAGCTGCCACGCATCGTTGTACCGTGCGATATGCTGGGCGCTTGTGCTCACAATGCAACCCAGTCAATCCTTTTAGAGTGAGCATGGATGTATAAGAGATCACTACACCTCGGACATGTTGATTCCCGAGTCGCTATGGTACGATGCAAGTCTCAAGTCACAATGTGTCTGATCTTCCATAGACTTTACAATATTAATAATAGATGCGTATGTGTCCTGGTCGGGATGCTCAGTGAGTCAGCCATTGACTTCATGTATCGGTTTTTGAAACTGCGAGCTTGGGGATAGACGGACCCCATTGACGAATACACAAGTGCCGACGCCTGGGCGCCACAGTGATGAGCCCGAGGCGGCGCTTTTCGCACCATGGTATACCTGCGTGGCCTGGAATCTCCGAGTCACCCTTCAGGCCCGATGATCTTAGCTGGAGCATGCCCTGCATGACGTGTGGCGCCAACAGTCGTCGCCGCGGCTACGCAACGCGCGCGGGCGAGCGGAGACGCGACGCGACGCGTCTGATGCAGCAGCCATGTGACCGCGCCCAAAGATTTTTGAAACTCGTCCCGCAAACGCGCACACGAACGAACGCTCCGCACACCCTCACCCTCCAACACACCCTATGGCCGGAGACTCCTTCTTCGCGACAAAAACGCGCAAGCGGAAACGCGATACCGGCTCCTCCGGCCCGAAGAAATCAGCGCGCAGAAACGACGGGAGCGCGCGCTCGGGCCCTTCGTCGCGTAAAGGCGGCCCACAACCTGCAAAACGGAGCAAGCGGGCCGAGGACGAGGAGTTGGGCTCGGAGGGCGGGAGTGATGGAGGGGATATTGACGATATGGATCTCAGGGCGGACGAGGTGGATGAGAATGAGAGCGGCGAGGAGGACGAGGACGAGACGCCGGCAGAGAAGAGGCTCAGGCTCGCCAGGCTTTATTTGGAGTCCGTAAAGGAGGGTCTGGGTGCGTCATACTTATATCATATTCATGATATAATTGACTTATGTTGTTCTGTGCAGCTGATGGCGAAGTCGACGCTGCTGATATCGACCGGGACATCATCTCGGCGAGGCTGCAGCAGGATGTGATGGAACACGCGGGGAAAGTGCATCTATTCGTCGCAGACTCGGTGTGTATTATTCCTTCTATCCTCATCACATTCTCTGACTACTCTTCTAGTATGACTATGACACTCCTCCAACACTCCGTCTACGGGGCCACAAACTAGCCGTGACCTCCGCTGTGGCGTCCGACGACGCACACATACTGTTCACAGCAGGCAAAGAAGGCAACATAGCCAAATGGGATCTCCGCACCGGTGAACGTCTGTCTACCTTTCCCAAAGTCCGCGTGGACACAAAAGGGAAGGGAAAGGCTCGCGCGGACGATGTGCAGGGCCACACAGACGAAGTTCTTTCGCTCGCGCTAAGCGAGGGTGCGCGATATCTGGCTAGTGGTGGCAAAGACCGAAGAGTCGGTGTCTGGGACGTTGAGAAGGGCGAGTGGGTGAAGGGCTTTGGCGGTCACCGCGATACGATATCTGTATGTATCCTCATACGTTCGAATGATCTCGGACTAACGCTTTCGCAGTCCGTCGCATTTCGAAAAGGAAGCCAACAGCTATACTCGGCGTCGTACGACCGAACGATCAAACTATTCGACTTGGGAGTCATGGGCTATGTCGAGACGCTCTTCGGGCATCAAGACTGCGTATTGAGTCTTGACGCGTTACGTTCCGAGACGGCTGTCAGCGTCGGCGGACGAGACAAGACGGCGAGGTTCTGGAAGATCGTGGACGAGAGTCAGCTTGTGTTTCGTGGTGGAGGACGAAGTGCTGTGCGGGAGTTGCTGGAAGGTGGCGCGTTGGAGGGTATGGAAGGCGAGGAGGGCGAGGCGCCGCAAAAGAAGGAAGGGGAGAAGAAACGGTTCGTCGAAGGCAGCCTGGATTGTATCGCCATGATCGACGAGCAGACTTTCTTGACTGGCGGAGACAGCGGGTGAGTGGAATCCGCGCCGTTCATGTGGATGTGCGCTCATAAGGCCGTTCGCTCCAGCTCACTATGTCTGTGGAACACGCAGAAGAAGAAGCCCGTGTTCACTCAGGCGCTCGCGCACGGCTTCCACGAAACGCAATCGGAGACAGAAGGCCTGCTCAAATCTCCGCGCTGGATCACCGCGTTGGCTACTCTCAGATATTCCGACCTGTTCGCCTCCGGTCAGTTAAGATCCGTATTCGCCAGAGGCTCGCGCTAACTCCTCTTCATCAGGTTCCTGGGAAGGCGACATCAGGATATGGAAGCTCGACGCCAAACTCAAATCTTTCTCTCTGGTCTCGACGATCCACGCAGCGGGCGTCATCAACTCTCTGCAACTGGTGTCGACGCCGAAAGGCTGGGATGACAGCGCAGCATGGTCGCAGCGCAAGCCGCCAGACGCGAATTCCGAGCCGAGAAAGAAGAACGCACCGCCGACTGTGTTGCTTGTTGCCGGTGTGGGCCAGGAAACACGACTCGGGCGGTGGATCACTGTCAAAGGTGATGGCGCGAGGAATCAGACTTTGGTGTTTGCGCTTCACCCGCGTCGGACATAGCACCGTCGAGATATTACCTATCTTCTGTAGCTATGCTCTTTCCACACGCCACTGGTATGCATGCGACCAGCCTATTCAAATATTCAACTGCTCCTGCTAGTCGTCCCCGCTCCTGAAGAGCAGACACCACGGGATGAATTCGTATTGTACGGATGTAGGTGCAACGTCTCGTGAGGTGGGCCACGCGGGAAATACCGCGCCACAGGCCAACGCGGCGCGGCACATGCTGTTTTGTTGCCACCAGGTCACCGCCAGTCGACTGGCCACGGCGTCGTATGAGACCTGCTTGTAGTCTGTTCGTTTGGCTAGCTTTGGCAGCACCTCTGAATGACGGGCGCGCCGCAGAGGTTTCAATACGCTCATCAATACTGTAGGAGGTAAAGGAGAAGAAATAGTCCGATGTAGCGAAGAGTGCGGGAAAGACTCGGACAGACGAAGTCTGCTCAACTATCCGCATAGGCACACTGCTCTGGCCGCCAAATGATACAGTAACTGTTTCGTCTTTGGTACTTCTGGATCCATATCTGCTATAGGCCAGCGCTAATCCCTCGTCAGGGACATTTTCAGCGGGAAGCGGCGAGAAGATTCAGGCAGGGTTTGTCCGCCGTCCGTCCATACGCAGGTAGGAAAGCCATGGTGTAGGCTGCCGGACGAGAGGTTCATGCCGCTCACTGTGCGGGTCGCCGCGGGTGTGGCGGAAGGAACCTGCGGCTCAGCTGATGGCTCACGACCGCGCGCGCTATAATCTTCGCACTTGACCGCGTCGGTCATCGTACTCAATTCACTACAGTCCACACGTCCTCTGTAGCCGTACCCTCCCCTTACATTACGTGCTTCCGCAAACACCGAACTTCAACGGAACTGAACTGCCGGATATAATTTATGGCGTCAATAGTTTTATGATATATGACTCAATGGTTTCTCGGACGGTCGGCTTTAAAAGGCGTTGTCCCGCTCGCCCATCTGCGGCCCTCCGTCACGGTTTCGACGCGCGCTTCCCTGCAGGCAGATCCCGTGCCCAACAGGCCATATGATGCTTCAGCGGCTCAGACATGGGGTCCCCCACACTACAAAACCCTGCTTCAGACCTCCACTACCAGCACTAGGAACGATGTCTAGCATGCGCCCGTTGACGACCGACCGACTGAACCCGAACGTGAAACACGTCGAGTACGCGGTACGAGGCGAGCTGGCGATCAAGGCGGAGAAGTACCGCGAGAAGCACAAGGAGCCCGACCACGGCCTGCCCTTCGACAAGGTCATCTCCTCCAACATCGGGAACCCACAGCAGAAGGGGCTCGACCAGCCGCCCATCACGTTCATCCGTCAGGTGCGCCTTCCCCGCGGGGCTGCAGTGCGGGGCGCTCACACACAACTGTTGTAGGTTGCGGCGCTGATGGAATGGCCCGAGCTGGCAGAGATTGCGCCGGGCGTGTTCCCTGAGGACGTGATCGCGAGAGCGAAAGAACTCCAGCACGAGATCGGCTCCGTCGGCGCCTACTCGCACTCGATGGGTGTGCCCTTCATCCGCAAGAACGTCGCAAAGTTCATCGAGGGTATGTGTGCCATCAAATCTCGTGGTGGGAACTGCAGCGCTTATATGTGATCCAGAACGCGACGGCTACCCCGCAGACCCAGACCACATCTTTCTGACCGCTGGCGCCTCGGCCGGCGTCACGCTTCTGATCACCCTGCTTCTACATGGACCGAAGACAGGCATCCTCATTCCTATTCCGCAGTACCCTCTTTATACCGCCACCATCGCCGCCGTCGGCGGCGCCGCGCTCCCCTACCACCTGAACGAGGAGAAAGAGTGGTCCACCTCGACGGACGATATCGATGAAGCGGCCGAGAAAGCCGCGAAAGATGGCATCGAGGCGAAAGCGCTCGTAGTCATCAACCCCGGAAACCCGACCGGCGCTCTGCTTGACCGACACACGATGGAACATATCGTCAAGCTCTGCGAGAAGCACTCGCTCGTACTCCTCGCCGATGAGGTCTACCAAGACAACCTCCATCGCCGCGACACGCACCCCTTCACCTCCTTCAAGAAGGTCGTCCGCGATATGAAGTCGCCCGTTCCGCTCGTATCCTTCCACTCCACGTCCAAGGGCGTCGTCGGCGAATGCGGTCGCCGCGGCGGATACTTCGAGGTCGTGAACGTCGCCGACGATGTTGTGGCGCAGATGTACAAGATGGTTTCCGTCGGCCTGTGCCCGCCACTCTCAGGTCAGATCGGTGTGGACTGCATGGTGCGCCCGCCCAAGGAGGGAGATCCGAGTTACCCGCTGTACAAGGACGAGACGAGCGAGACGCACTCGGTTCTGGCGAAGAGGACACAGCTCATGGCAAAGCGCCTGGACGCACTACCTGGTATCAGCTGTCACAACTCACCTGGCGCTCTGTACCTGTACCCGCGTATCGACCTGCCTCCCAAGGCCATCGAGGCCGCACAGAAGGCCGGCAAGGCACCGGACGCGTTGTACGCGCTTGAGTTGCTCGACGAGACAGGAATCTGCGTTGTCCCTGGTAGTGGGTTCGGGCAGAAGGAGGATACGCATCATTATCGTTTGACGTGTTTGTGTCCGGGTGTGGAGGAGTATGTGGATGCGCTTGAGAAGTTCCACCTGGGTTTCATGAAACGTTACGATGGGCTTTAGAGTCGTGTTTGCTTCATAATAATGCTGTTGTTGTGTTTTATTGCTGTCGTCGGATGTACTCGGCTTTCGGTCGCAGGCGTGAAATATATGCTACTGCTACGCCGCTCATGCGATCGCAAATACGTCGTCGAATATCCGGCCGAATTTACTCTGCGACCGGCAAGAACGTGCACGCTCTTACACCCTGACTACTCAGTGACCCTGTGTAAATAGTCGATGTCCACATCACGAATGTAATGCTTTGAAATTGCAATATCTCAAGCTGCCTTACGATCATCTCTGCATACGAGTACGCCTCGCTAAGATCCCAGCTGGGAGTCACTCGGCTATCACGCTTGTGGACGAGATTCAAATGTAATTGCCACACTGAATCGGGTTGAGACAGAAGATATTGATACATTACACTACGCTGAAAAATCTTTGAAGTATGCCATCAAATCTCTAGTCATGCTCTGCAGAGAGCGATACTCTATGCCGAATGATGATTTCGCCTTCGAAGCGTCAAACTCCATGAGCGGGACCTTGCCAGCCGTGGCACCATACTCTCCTTTCACCGTAGGCGAGTCGCCATTGTCAACGGCGGCGTCGACTGTAGATGGAATCGTTGAGAACGCGAAATACCAATGTTCAACCCGGACACGCACCGATATCCTGAAGGAAGTAGTGACCGGCGCCAAGGATAAAACGATTGCCGCCGGCTTCTGCCTTCTGAGCAGCCAGAACATGCGCGAGCGCAAGATCGCGAACGTCGATCCAACCTCCACCTTGCGAGGCTAACGCTGATGCGTCCATGTCACCTTTGACGAGTATGTTGTACAGGTACTGTATGGACGCGTTGAGAGAATTGAGCGAGGGAACTTCATGAATCGGTGGCTGGGAGTTAGACTCGTGAGCCTCTCGCTTTGCGGTGGATCAGATGGCAAACTCACACCAAAGACCCACGGCGGGGCGACGATGACAAGATCCCATGCCGGCTTGTTCTCGCCGACTAGTTTCATGGCTGCTTTCTCGGCCAGCGTTTTGGCCGCGCAGTACACCGACATCTGAGGGCTGTCGGCTCCCTTGGCTTCGACCTCTGCGATGGCAGCATCGTTATAGCACGCTTCGTTGAACACCGTGTGCTCGGATACCGGGCGTATCACGGCTGCTGTTGAGGAGGTGATGACTACGCGACGTACGAGTGAACTAAGCGATTTGGACACAGGTGTCAATCACTCGTTCAGGTGGGAAGCAATTTCACAATACATACCCGTGCCTAAGAGCAGATTGTAGGATGCCAGTGGTGCCGAGAACAGCAGGGTCTATGAGTTCATTGGGCAACTTGAAGTTGGTATGGACAGGACATGCGACATGCTCAATGAGCTGTACGTCTTTGACCACGTCATCGAAAGCACCGGGCTAGAAGAGGACGCGCTCAGCCATCTATGTGCGCAAAGTAATACTTGAGCTTTACACACGAACCTTGGTGATATCCTCGACAAGAGCAATGGTAAACTTATCGCCGTAGGACGAGAACATTCTCTTGAGGTGATCGCCCTTACTGGCGGCGCGGACAACGCCAACAACAGAGTACCCTTGCTCGAGAAGAGTCCGGACTACCCATGCACCAACAAAGCCGTTGGCGCCAGTAACAAGAGCTTTTGCGGGTGCTGGAACGGGAGGCATGATGAGCGTACTGTGTAAAGGAATAGAGTTCCAAGGGCATACCTCTAAAACACCATTTATAAACCACAGACATCCACTCGCGACGCCGGAAGCACGCGACGATAACCCACTTAAACGGCAGGCTTCCCGCGTTCACGCACTACAGAGAACATAAACATTCAAGAAGGTTGTCATAAGATATGACGCCGGTCACAGAAAGTACCGGTGTGAAGACCTGGCAGTTCCGGTGCGCTCCCAGGAGGCTCTGATCACCGAGGACTGCGGCTGGGGCGAAGTACGCTAATCTTCGTGGGAGGACAACAAGAGATACCGCCAGTCCAATAATATTATTCTGAATATCATAGTCGAAGGGAGGTCGTAGGAAATGCCGAAGTATTCATCTGAACGCTGTCGCACATATTGAGCTCGAGTTGAAGCTTGAAGGACGCAGCAACTTCGTAGGCGCCGACGGGCTCGACGAGGCACTCAAGGTATCATTCGAGTTCCTTTCACAAGGATCCACAGGTGACGCTTCATCCACTTGAAGGCTGCGACTTAGAGAACGCGGCTCTGTCTACCGTGGTGGTAGAGGAAGCAATGATAATCCATCTCGCGCATGAGTTTCAGCGGTTGCAGCAAGGTCGCAAAACCAACTTGATCTGGTAGACGCAGCAAGGTCACGAGCAAAGTTATCGCAGCGAGAGGTATGCTTGGGGCCAGTATAGGTATAGGAAGGTGCGACGGTGACGGTGTGGTAGGAGACAGGACCAAATAAGACGCGCGCGTTCATCGAGGTGCGGCGTGTGAAAAGGCTGATGGGCGTCGACCCGAGACCATCATTGCCAATGCCATGAGCTCGCCTCTCCGTTCTTCCCTCCCTGGATCGAGCAAATGCTACTCTTTTGTGACGCCTCTATTTTGCTTGTGGATACAAGTCAGTCCAGAAGACTGCGACTCGAGCTGGCGGACTGTAACCAATGCGCCTGTCGACGGTCTTCGGTCTTCCATTCCGTCGTGGCTGGCGAACAGCGGGAGCGACTCGCACGCACGACTCTGCGGGAGACCTGAAGAGGCCACTTGCGCGATATCTCGCCCTCGATACAGCGAGATACGCAGCATGAGTTGTGCGATACCCTCGCTGCACTCGGGACGAAGTCCTTGCAGTCAAGTACGCGTCGCACACAAGCTGGCGCCTACCCAAGCAGTGGTCCGGACCTAACAACCGTGTATGGAGCCTCCGTGATTTTCTCGGTTTAAGAGACGGGCGGCGAATAGTCCAGACGCTGTAAGATGCTGTGCCAAGCTGTAGGACCCTATCTCAACATACCAGAAGATCGTTGATCAAACTGCGTGCAGCGAATGACGATGCTCGGACAAGAACGCGCGTTTACGGCCGACCGGATAGAGTACTGCTCGAATAAGCATTCTGTAGACCCGGATGGCGCAACGAAGCTGAGTTGAATCCCGAGAGATCCGGGCATTATGCTTACACTGTGAGTACATGCTCTGATTCTAGCTACCTTTCACAAGTTCAAACCGGCAATGCTGACAGGTCTCCGATTCTAGGTCAAAAACCGGTATTTGTGTACTCTCCGAAGAAGTCGGGCAGCTACCGCTTATACAACTTGCTTATATGATGTCCGGTAGCTTGGATCTCATTGTCTGCTTAAAAGGGCCCTTTACAGGAGTTCATCCTACATCGTCCACTACTTTCCATACATGGAGCCTATTCAACTTACACAGAGCAAGTACAAGAAGACCACCGTCTCTCGCGGGCTCTCTTACCTCTACTACTATTCGCGGGCTCAGGACGATAAACCTACGCTCTTCTTCCTTCACGGGTATCCCTCCACGTCTGCGGACTGGGCCGGCATCGTCGCTGCTCTTGAACCGAAGGGCTACGGGATCCTCATCCCCGACATGCTTGGCTACGGTGGCACCGATAAACCTACGGATCCCGCACTTTACGTCAGCTCAGGGATTGTTCGTGACCTGATCGACCTCCTCGCAGTCGAGGGCATCGGCAAATGCGTGGTCATAGGCCATGACTGGTAGGCTGTCTTTATACCATCTCTTTGAATGAGCCTCATCATATGATTCGTCGCTAGGGGTTCGTTCTTCACCTCGCGCCTTGTGAACTCGCACGCCGACCGCTTTCTCGGGTTTGCCTTTGTGGCGATGGGATACTTCCCTTCGTCCCCGGACCTCAGCCTTGAAGAGAGGGGGCGACAAGTGGCAGAGAAAGTCGGTTATAGCGTATTCGAGTACTTTCCTCTCTTTGCTTATCAGGAGAAGCTCATCGAGGAACATGTACGTCTAACCCTCATCAAATGTCCCTCACTCACTCCGGTCCTTTCATAGATGGACTCGTTCATGGACTTAGCCTTTCCTCAAGACGAATGGGTGCACCGCGATCACCTCTGCCCGCCAGGTGCTGGTCAAGCCTGGCTCGAAGCGAACACTCGCTGCGCGAGGCTCAGCAGTGCTGTCGCAAATCCACAGGTGGGTCATGAGCACAGGCAAAGTATATAACAGGCTGACAGCTACGCCTACAGTGGTTCGCCGCTCAACAGGAGCTTCTAGCCAGCAACATGACTGCTCCGGCTTGCTACTACAAGGTGCATTTATCGGGGCTGGCACAGCGTGATGAGAAAGGTATCAGTCACATGCCATCCACTTGCGTTGGGTTCTCATAGGCTGATGCCATGCATCGCAAAGCTGCTATGATCCCTCAAGAAGCATATTACCTGACGAAGCCGACCTTCTTTGCTGCGTGCGTCAAAGACGGACCCAACCCACCGGTCGTAGGCGACGAGACCCTGAAGCAGTATGCCAAAGGGCCCGTCACACGCTGCGAGTACGATACCGGACACTGGGTCGTGTTGACGCACTACGAGCAGCTGGGAAAAGACCTGTCGGCTTGGTTGAAGACCTTGTAGACAAGAGTAGACTAGCGCGAGAGCGTACGCAGTGGACCCTAAGGAGCGTCATAATCGCTCTACACTCTTTTCTAGTTGTACGTTTATAATGATTATTATATGTTTGCGACAGTATGAAGCCGCCTTGGCGTAGTGGTAGCGCGTCCCACTTGTACGGTCTTTGAAAGAGCGTAATGGGAAGGTCACTAGTTCAATCCTGGTAGGTGGCATTTTTGGTCCGTTACCTGACGACTCACTCTTTCGCTGCATGAGGCACCAAAGGTCTCATCTCAGCCACCTAAGATGCATTCACAAGGCACGATCGATTCTGTGTTCGCTACTTAAAACGTGCTGGACAGTGGCGGCCGATCGGAGGGCAATTGTCACAGGACCGCGGCCAGTAAGTCACATTCTCTTACTTGACATTCCTACACTACTTACATCTGGCTGCCTGATCATTATATGCAATTGGGCTCTCGCTGTCCTTCCTCCGATTCGGAATCTCTATGGGACGTTGACCTTGTCACTATCAGCGCCATCCATTGACCCGTTTTCCCTCATACTGACACCTTGCGCGATTGTGCGTTTCGACCGATAAATCGGCAGTTCGATAGGTAATCATTCATGAGGGTATAAGTAACATACAGCAAGTGAGCCATCTCAGATATCACTGTCTCTATCACTGTCCAAAGAAGCTAACGGAGGTGCTTTCCCTGACCCTATCCCAGATCTCCCAAGATACCATGGACCTGTGAACCAGAAGCTCCCGAATTGGGCCGCCTGCTTGCCCGCGCATCTCGAGAAGGTGCACCAGAGATAGATCTACAGCGGCGTGGTACGCGCTCGCCTTCTCCTCTTCCAGACTACCCGTGTGTATGATCAGGACCTTGAGGGAAGGAAAGAGGGAGTGTAGATCTTCGTCCCCTTGGGGAACCATAGCGGAGAGGAGATTGAGGCTATTTAAGTAAGGGATTGAGAGGCGTTCCACCTCGCGAGCGCGACCAAAGACATCGAGCCACTTGGCTGGACTTGCGTAGTGGTGCATCGCATCTGAGCAGAAATAGACGGCTTGTAGCGTCTCCAGAGGTAGCTGAGGCACATTATCGCACATAGGCGTCCAGGCGATGACGTGCCTGCTGCCCGACTCTCGATCGTAAGCGAGCGCATCTCTGTCCGACGTTGAATCTTCGTCCGGCCATTGCCACGTCCATCCTTGGCGTTTTTGAGACGAGTACCGAAGACTGATCGCGTGTGCAGAAAGGTACAACTCCTGAGCAGGATGTTCTCGGTTATTCATTGCTAGCAAAGGCATGAACAAATCACCGGCGATTCCGTCCACCAGCTCTTCGAAAGCCTCGATCTGGATGTCAAAGACGACTACAGCGTCGCGAGGTATCTCGATGCAAGGCCACAGGTTTTGGTGGTACTCGTTGAAAGCATCCCATTCATCGCAGGTACATTCGAAAGTCTTCAACGTCGATGGGAGCGCAAGCGGGGCCTCATGCGATGAGTCGTCCCGTGGGAAGAAGTTGTGCAGGTACAGCTCGGCAAGGGATTTCATGGGAGCAAGTAGCTGTCTGAAGATTGATGTAGTCGGGAGGAAGTCGTGATGGTTCATCCCAGCGTCGAAGTCGATATGTGCCAGTGATAATCTTAGGCTCGTCAAATTTGACGAGAAGAGATGAGAGTCCCATCCTGGGAGGCAACCGGTGAGAGAGAGCGTAGTGAGCTTTGGAAGAGCTTGGTTCGCGAAAAGTGCGTTTTGTAAATGGAATGGTTGGTTGCGTTGGCACACGACGCCTAGTTCCAACTCTGTCATGATCGGTGCCGGGGCGTTCAGTGCGGCCATCCAAGACTCGAATATGCCATGTCTCGCCGCGATAACCAGTTTCTCCGTACGTTTTATCACAGGAGTGCAAAGCCAGCCGTGGACGACTGCCAGTGGTGGTGCGGCGATATCCAAGAAGCCTGAGGCATCTCCATCGCGAACATGAACCCGAAGAGGCATGTGCCTTGAATTGAGAAGCGTCCGTGGCATAAACTGGGGGTGTATGTCTAGGCATTCCAGCCTGGTCCAAAGTTGAGGGTTATCCAAAGCCGTCTACATGTACGATGGCGTGAGCAACCAAATCACTCAGATTGCAATAACGTGATATCGACTCGCCTTTCTCCAAGAGTATACGACATGAAGGACAGACATCCAGCCCATCCTGTAACTTGGTTTGGCTTTCTTATTGATTGTATCCGGCCGGATGCATTCAGGCTCCCATATATCCTGGGCGAACGCGAAGATGATGGCTAGAACCTCCGGGGGCACACTTCCGCATGCAGTGACAGCATTACGACGCCGCTTGGACAGAGCCGTGTACGTGCGCAAGGACTCAAGCTCAAGTTCGGCCATGCGCAAACGAGCCGCCCTTCCGGAGGAGCCCGCGGTCCGACCATGTGCATCGAAGCGAGCCTCCAGAAAAGATGCCCAGGCATCCCTGGAACGGTGTTAGCACTTCTCCAGCTGTGGGGAATACACGTAAGAACGTACTGGGAGTTGCGGCAGTACGCAGACTCGTCGAGCTGTGCACTGGCTTCCATGGACGTCGAAGGCAAGCGGCGGAGACGCGCGGGAAAGGCGGGCGGCGCGCCACACTCTCACTTGGCGGGGGAGGCTTATTAATATTGAACATCAACATTCAATCTCCATCTACTTGCGGCAAGTTTGCAAACTTCTCTGAGTATTGATGTGGCACCATAGGTATACTGATAACTGGCGAGATGCAGCGTCTCGGCAGTACAAGGAGCCATGATAAGTACAAGACACGAGGAGACGTCTGATATTCATCCGCAAGATCGTAGACGACGATGTGTATATGAGGATAATAGTGACATGTGTTCCGAGAATCATACAGTATATTGCACCTTCCGTTCTCGCTGAGCTTGATCCTCCCAGCTATCCGTCGGCGTCGTCTCCTTGTTGAGCACGTACAGGTCGGCGCTATGAGCCGAATCGGGCGTGTCCGTTGAGATGGAGAGCGTTGTGTCGGCCGCGCCGCGTCCTGACGCAAAAGCCGGCGCGCTCATCGCCTGCGACTCATGCTCAGTCTTGCGAGCCTCCGCATCAAAGGCCATCGTGGTGAGCGTCTCGCGCGCCAGCGTCGTCGTCTTCCATGCCTTTCCGTCTGCGAGACGGTAAATGATCAGGTACGTTGATATTTGCTACGTGAAAGGGTCAACTCGTCGTTCCATGTTAGGCCTTGCATGTACGTACCTGCGCAGCTTGTGCGAGGCCGAGGAATATCTGATTGATTCCATTGTTGACCGCGTATGTTACAAGGAAGCATATGGCGAACATGGAGTACAGCGCGGCGCTCTCGACAAGCACTGTTGCCAGCGAAAGATAGTGCTTCGCATGCGCGGCGGGCAGGCTCTTCATGATGCTCGCACGATACTGAAGTAGACGTCCGACGATGAGGAAAGTGAGTATGACGTTGATGGAAAGCGAGATCGCGTAGTACGAGATGCCATAGGCCTGTGGAAGAGCCGAGTAGAACGACAAGCCGGGTTGCGACGATTGTAGTGTCCACAATGTGCCCATAACTGTATACAAGCACCAATTAGTGGCTGTAGTAGACAGTCGTCATGCATTTGTGGGACGCTTACCAAAGGAGGCAAGAAGCATGAGGAACGGAACCGAAGCGACAAGGTAGGCCACCCAACGACCGCGCGCTTGCCAGATAACCCAACACCTCCACAACTACTGCTTGTCAGACTCACATAGAGGCAAACTAGGGGCAAGATGCTCACCACGAGTGCATCACACGCGAAGGTGATCACGAAGAGCGTCGCCTCGAACATCACATTCACGGCCAGACTCTGCGAGGACAAGAAGTAAGTCCACGGTCCGCCGGGATAGTTGCGGTTGTCGATGTATGCTAGTTGAACCGTTCGCGCCTGGACGCCAACGAAGATGGTCTCGACAAAGAAGACGAAAGTGGTGTATGCGAGGAGGAAGAGTGCATGCCGCCGTGAATGCCGCTGGGACCATAGATAGCGCGCACAAGCCGCGTAGAGTACTAGCTGGATGCCGTAGCCCAGACCACAGATTAGATCACCGGCTAAGAAGGTGCGTTCAAGGAAGATCGTGGCAGCGTCTTCGTCGGGGCCATAGTACGGAGTTGAGGTGCCGTTGACCATTTTGCAGTGAGGTGTAAATGTCGGGTCTAGGGGTGGCTGGAAGCGGGAGCGGCCTGTGGTACTGGTATAGCCGTAGAGTCTATAAGGCCTGCAGGAGAGGCAGTACCGAAGAAGTCGAAGCCACACGAGACTGACAGCGGCACGAGGAGTGTGGGAGGTTCTTCACCAAATGCGGGATCATATGGTAGCAAAATTGAAGCGCCGGCCGCTGAATATCAACCTGAAGGCAGATCGTGCTGCTGGAGAGCGAGAGGGGAATCAAGATGTGAACTGTCCAGTCGCTACCCGCTGTGAGAGTGGCCGATCTGAATACGAAGTAAGCAAGGTCTTTCACAAGGATGGAGGATGGAGGAAGCAGAGAAAGGGGCGTGCCTTGACGAGAAGCAGATGTGGGCGCGACACGGGGGTTTTCGCCACTCAACTCTCGCATTGACGTGTTACAGCGGTCGTAGATCGACGGTTCAGCAACTCGCCAGCCACCTCCGAGCTATGTAACAAGCCGGCGACGCCTCGTACGAGGACGGCGTGGTGGACGGGGAGTGAAAACCTCCTGTCGGGATCGAAGGCTTGTCCGCGCGACCCGGGCGGCTCCTAGGACAGTGCTCGGATGTAGCAAACAGCATGCTTAAGAGCACAGCTCCTGAGCGCCAGTACCTCGCGCTTCTTGTCTGATACTCAGCAATGATGGCGAGACACGCCGTGCCTGGGGATGAACCTCCGTACAAGTAGTTTGGATAGCTTCGTATCTCGAACACAAGCATATACATCCGAAACACCTTCGATTCGTCTGCGATGGAACAGCACAACTGCTACTCGACATCGAAGGTGGACCATCGCTATCGATCGTGTCCTTTAAGTGATATGTCCTGTGCTCAGAAGACTGGTTGCGCGTAGACGATGACGGTCGGGCCAAGAGTTAAGCAGAGATCCGTGTCCTGTGAGTATCGCCATGGTGCCTCAAGCGTGACAGATGCGAACTACGCCAAAGACAAGCATATCAAGAGTCAAGCAGAGCCACGACGGCAGTCGCAGATACATCTCGTCTGGGGAATAATGAACAGTTTCAATTGGCTGATAGAGAGCTATGCAACGAAGGAGCTTACGGAGATCCAACATCTGACTTGAGTACAGTGCGGGCGTTTCGGTGAGCGCAGGTTGATCACGAAGTGTTGCTCATCGTGATTACGCTCGATGAAACGTGCTACAGTGAAACTCGGAGATGGTGCGTCGTTGTACGAGGATGTGGTGGAGTGGACTACGATGAAGTTGCGCCTTGGGCATGGAACTATTGTCGTATGCGGCACCTGACGGAAATCAAGTAACCTTCAAGTCAATCACATATGGCGCTGGGTACTGCTACCTCGTCGTTCTCAGATGATTATGATCGTCATGAGTAACGCAGTCATCGGACTGTAGGCCATCGCGCAAGCGCGTAACGATGATTGGAGGTCCCGCAGCGTACCGTCGCGCTCGCGATCTGAGCCTGAATGAGCTGGAGTGAGAGTCCAAGACGAATGTTGGGGTGTAGCACGCATCCGAACGCCCATACAGACCAAAGTCATCGGACACGGCAGTGGGACGCGCGCAGCACGCTCTCAAACAAGGATGAGGGCATGGCGAGCTAAACGGAGGTCATCGGGCCACACAGCTCGTTTCCAAGCCCATGGCCAATGTTCGTCGTGAGCGGCGGCCAGTCCGATGACTGCACAGTTCCTCGTCGCAATTTCGTGGGGGAAAAGACGTGGGTCATCGGACTGGGATAGAATAAGCGTTTGGGAACGTGCACGAAATGGTTGCGTATATGCGGTGGTCATCGGGCGCTTCGTCTATAAGCTCACAGACGCCGCTGACGCGCATTCCCTGTTCAGCATTACAGCGAGGAGCATCCGTGGACTCCGAATGGTATGGTGAGCGACTGGTACAGTAAGCGCTTCGGGTGCGCGACTGCCTTAGAGGGCATAGCAGCGCGCGGCCATGGCCGGCGAACAAGGTTGAAGGAGTAAGACATGCCCTCGCGCGCCGCCCGCGCGCCGTGGAGGCGAGAGCCAGTTCGAGCAGCAGCTAGCCACAGGTCGGAGTCTTTCTTCTCACTGGGGGCTTCGTGAGGCTTCGCGCCGGAGAGGATGGAAGAGCTTCTTTCAATCAAGCGCAGGCGTCTGCACCAGAACGAGATGATGGTAGGGGAGAACGTGGGGAAGCACGGTCAGGGCTGTCACACTCCGGTGCCGAGCTCCCGAATATTCGGGCCAGTGGGCGACGAGCTGCTCGTTTGCCTCGGCGGCCTTCATCTCGTCCATCATATCGCGTATCGTATCGCCATCGCTGCGAGACATCTCCTCCCAATCGCCAGACGGTGCCGCGGCGCTGTGTGGACCATGGTCGAAGTGACGAGAGCAGAGGAAGATTACTCTCTACCAATGAGCGTGTCGAACTAGCCCTGAGTTGTACGAGAGTACGCCAGACCAGAGATGTAAACCAATAACGATAGCGATTTGTATTTTCCGTAATTGTTACACTGCTTCAGAGTTCCCCAGTATGTACAGACGAGAGTGACGCGACAAGCCCCCGACAAACGACATGACATGTAAGAAACGAACGGCATCTCGACAAAAACCTAAACGTAGCGAGCGCGCACAAAATGCCCAATGATATACAACAACGATCGTGCCAACTGTCCGTGTGTCGTGAACCTTTGCAAAAGATGTGGATGTGGTGGATGTTGGTGGCGGTGGGGGGTATTACCAGGTGTGTATGATAGCTTCTAAGTGGGGTTGCGACTTCCGCATGTATGTGTGTATGCCCTTGTATGCGATGATGGTGGTGGGTCATTGATTGGATGAAACGAGCGGAGGTCGTAAAGATGTGATGGGTGTAGGAGATTGTGCAGCCTCAGGCGCAGCTCGGACAGCTCAGAACTGCAAGTCCTGCATCGCCTCGACAACGCGCGCGAGACCGACGGCGTCAGCGCCAGGAGCGGACATGCGGCCCCAGCCAGGCATAGACTGAGGAGCCATCGCGACGCTCATCCACCCGCCGTCCGAGCCGGTGACGACGCGGGTGAGCTTGGCAGCGCGCTTCGCCCACATTGATGCGCTTTGCGCATCTCCGAGCGCGAGAGCCGAACGCGTCGCATAACGGAAGATGGGGCTCCACACGTCTGCGAAGAAGTACTGCTCCGCTTGAGCGTCTTTCGCGGCTTGAGCGACGGCCTTGCTGCTGACACCGTTGAGCGGACCCTCAGCGTGCTTGTGCGCGGTGTCGACGAAGTTCTTCAACGTTGCGCGACGAGCGTCCGATGCGGCGCGAACAGCCCGCGATCCGGTGCAAGAGGGGCAAGTGCAGCGGAAGATGTATCGGTCGAGCAACTGGTCCGCGCGCTTCTCCTGTGGAGCAAGCAAAGGCACGTAAGGGATGCTGAGTTGCTCGCCCTCCGCAATTGGCCGTGCCGCATACAGATGAACGGCATACGTCCGCGTATCCCAGCGCCAGTACGTATTGGGCGTGCACCTACGGCAAGCAGAAAGACCAAATCAGCACACGGACTTTGGAGTGGGAAGATTCGAAACGAGGGGAGAGGGGCCGGATGGCGCGATAGCGATGGTAGGGGTTGGATAAGGGAATCAGTACGTACGAATGGTTGATGCGAGCCAGGTGAGCGCACAGCGCGCCGTACGGGGCGTTGTGTCCCGGCAGCCGAGGGATGGTCAATGCGTTGGTGTTGAAGATGCCGGCGAAGTCCGCAGGGTCTGAGCTGTGCGCGTTGTGCAAGGACTGCATGGCCGCGCGGTCCTGAGGGCGGACCTTCTCGCGGATGAGCTGCGAGAGGCACCAGTTACGCATGTTGACGGTTTGAGAACCGCCGTTACGGGCTGAGAGGTTGAGAGACATGTCGACTGCGGGCTGGACGAGCAACGGGCGCTCGGCGATGACGAGCTCGCCGGTCTGGAAAGAGCGAGAGGCCAGAACGCCTTTGCCCTGGCCAGGAATATCCACGACACGAGTGCGGGGTGCCGGGTCGGTGATTGGGAGCACGTCCTCCAGGGGCTTGATCTCTGGCAGGTTCTGGCGCACACCAGAGTAGAAGAGGTAGTAGCTCCCGAGCGCGGCATCTTCGGTCGGGTATATGCTCCCGGCGTCCAGCGGGTCGCGGCCGCTCTTGAGGGCGTCGCCAACGCGGTCCTTGCACTCGCGAGTCAGAGCCAGCTCCTCATTGCGTGCGATCGTGGGGCCGAATACGTCCGAATGCGAGAGGATGTTGGGCAGCGTCACAGGCGTCGGCGTTGAGAGTGGGGGCGGCGGTGCTGCCAGCATCGCTCTCCTGGGCGCCGTCGGCCTACAGCGTCTGTTATCAGCACGATTTCATTTGTGATAGCGTGCGTGTAGTGCTCACTGTGCGATCTGGCGCGTGTGAGGGGGCGGTATCCTCGATGCGGCAGTTCTATGGGCGGTCTATCAGCGCTCCGGGACATGCCGGGGCTATCAGAGATTAAACGCACGATGGCAAACGGGAGGACGAGGCGGCAGCGTTGACGGGGCGCGCGACGACGGAGGTCGCGAAGCGGGCCATGAGGGTAAGAGACGAGAGGGATGGAGAGAAAGGGGTATGTGTTTATGGGGAGAGCGGTCGGAGACAGAAATTGATCTTATGGGAGAAGACCTCTAGGGAAACTCGGACTGAGACACAAGACAGACAAGAACCAACACAGCACGGAGAGACTGAGAGCCTAAGAGTTAAGGAGGCGGCGGTGACAGGACGAACGACGAGAAAATTTGTTTTCGAGGGGACGGAGACGTTGTTGATGATGAGGGGCGGGGGTGCTGGCAGATGCTGTGGGGTAGAGTAGGGGAATGCGGGGAAGGGTTCTAGTTCGCAATCACGAATACTTAAGCGCGTCCCTACGGAACACCTGCCCGGATTGACCGGACCCAATTTACTCTACTGCGCTGTGCCAGTGTGTGCGAGTCCAGAACCGTCTTCACATCCGCGTCCGCCCAGGTCCGTTCCGGCCTGGAACTCCTTACTCCCAAGAGAGGGAGGGCCTTTGACACAACCCGCACAACTCCCAGCCCTCTTACTCTTCGGACTACAGTTTTACATGTTTTCGTTATACCTGCTCATAACACACCCGCCCGCGATTGCCGACGGCAACGGGGGCAAGGATCAGTCGTGGGGCGGTCCGTGGTGCGGCAGGAGCCGACGCGCCATCCAGCTGGCTGCTTACGCCCACCGATACGTAATCCGATCTTTACGCCACCCGCAACCACGAGCCTGATGGCAATAAGCCAAGAACGAAAACCTTACAACTGCACAATTCAACATCGCGCCTTCGGGACGCTCATACAGCATACAGCGTAGCGCTGCGAAGGCGCGTCCGAACCCCGACCCCGAAGAACAAGCGGCTCGAGCAGTCTCGGACCAGTGAACTCGTCCTAAGCGACCCTGCAGCCAACTTTTCCGTCAGAACGCGCCGATCTCCTTCTTTCAATTCAATCCATGTTGGCTTTCAGAACCTTGTCCTTGTCGATGCGCGATGGCTTCTCACATCTCGCGATAGCTGAAGGTGCGTGAGTGGGGAGTGGATGTATTGCGACGAGCGGAGAGGTCGTAAATTGTAACTATAGAACATGTACTGTAAAGGGATATGCGTGTGGAGGATGAGATGAGCCTATAGCATGCGACGAGAACGAGTGCACCAAATGCAGAACCGAAGTGGAGAGCGAGCAGATAGTGAGTAAGACTATGCAGGGTAAGCAGCAGGCAACAGCGCCAGTCAGGCTCGACACCGAGCCCGAGCATTTTTGGTCAGGGCGCCCCGAGCTTAGAAGCCCATGCCACCCATACCGCCCATACCACCCATGCCGCCACCCATAGGCGCAGCGGGCTTGTCCTCCTCGCCCTCAACAATGCATGCCTCGCTCGTGGTGAGCAAGCTGGCAACACCGGCAGCGTCGACAAGCGCGGTGCGGACGACCTTCAACGGGTCGACGATACCGGCCTTGATCATGTCGACGTACTCGCCCTTGCTAGCGTCGTATCCCCATGCGAACTTGTCGGGGGTACCGTACTGGCTCGCAAGCGTGCCGACAATGACGCTGCTCTCCTCGCCAGCGTTCGACAGGATGGTGCGCGTCGGGCGCTGGAGCGCACGCTGGATGATGCTCATACCGAGGGCCTGGTCGAAGTTGGCGGTCGGGATGGGCTTGACATCCGGGTTGGGCGTGTGTGGGGTGCTCGTCGTGCTGTTGGGATTGCCGTGCGACGTGCTGGTGAGGGCAATAGACGCCTTGAGGAGCGCAGTTCCACCGCCAGGAAGGATACCCTCCTCGACGGCGGCACGGGTCGCGTTGAGCGCGTCATCGTAGCGATCCTTCTTCTCGCCGACTTCAACCTCGGAGCTACCGCCAACCTTGATGACAGCAACACCGCCCGAGAGCTTAGCAAGACGCTCCTGGAGCTTGGTCCGGTCAAAGTCGGAGGTCGTGGGATCCGCGATGAGTGAGCGAATCTGCTCGCAGCGACTCTGGATGGAGTCCTTGCTGCCTCCACCGTTGAGGATGATCGTGTCGTCCTTCGTGATCGTGACGCTACCGGTCGTGCCGAGAAGGTCAGGGGTAGCACGGTCGAGCTTGATGTCGAGCTCGTCCGTGAAGACCGTGCCGCCGGTGAGGATAGCAAGGTCACCAAGGATGCTCTTGCGGTTGTCACCGAAGCCGGGCGCCTTGACAGCAGCAACGGAAAGCTGGCCACGAAGCTTGTTGAGGATGCAAGCCGCGAGGGCCTCGCCGTCAATGTCCTCAGCAATGATGAGGAGCGGACGACGCTGCTGAGCAGCCTGTTCGAGGGACGGGAGAATGTCCTGGAGCGCGCTGATCTTCTTCTCTGAGAGAAGTATGAGCGGCTTCTCGAACTCGACGCGCTGCGTCTTGACGTCCGTAACGAAGTAGGGCGAGATGAATCCACGGTCGAAGCGCATGCCCTCGGTGATCTCAATCTCGTCCTCGATGGTACGACCCTCCTTGACGGTGATGACACCCTCCTTGCCGACCTTCTCCATGGCCTGAGCAATGAGGTTGCCAACGTGAGCGTCACCGTTCGCGGAGATCGTCGCGACCTGCGCAATCTCGGCCGTCGTGGTAATGGTCTTGGCCTGTGCGGACAAGAACTCGACGACACGTTCGACGGCTGCCTGCGAGCCGCGACGGAGGTCCATCGGGTTGCAGCCTGCCGCGACGTTCTTCACACCCTCAGAGTAGATGGCGCGGGCGAGAACGGTCGCGGTCGTGGTACCGTCACCAGCAATCTCGTTCGTCTTCTGCGCAACGTCCTGGACAAGGCTAGCGGTGTGTCAATATCGAACTCATTGGCTTGTTAACGGTTAAATGCTTACCGAGCACCAAGGTTCTCAAACTTGTCCTTGAGCGTGATGGACTTTGCGACAGTAACACCGTCTAGGAGACGTGCGTCAGCATATATGTTCGACTCATTGCAGCCCACTACATATTCGCGACTTCGAAGGCAGTAGATACTCACCCTTGGTAATCTTGGGACCACCAAACGACTGCTCAATGATAACATTGCGACCTGTGCGAACACCACGTCAGCGTCATTTGAACTTCGACTTGAGCATAAAAACTCACCCTTCGGGCCGAGAGTTACAGAGACAGCGTTGGCAAGGACGTCAACACCGTTGAGGATACCAGCGCGACCCTCGTTAGAGAACTTAATCTCCTTGTGTGCGCCACGAGTAAGCGTAGGCTTCGCCTTGGCTGCAGCGCGGCGGAGAGCGCGAGTGGAAGTGTTCTGGACTGCGTGCATTGTTGACTATTGACTAGGAGGGGACTATAGAGCAGACGGAAACTAAAGACAGCAAGCAAAGAGACAGTGGACAGCGGGAGACGGAGGAGGGTGAGGAGGAGAGAGCCAACCGGCGTGCCAGCAAATTCGGGACGCGGCTTAAGAAGACGCGGTCATGTGGGCGCCTAGAACTTTCCGCAAATCGTCGGAAATAATCGGGTGCGCTCATTGGCGGGCCACAACTCTCGCAGCAACCGCCATCATGACATCAGAGCACGCAGTACAAACTTTGTGGGCGGCGTTAAAGTATTGATGGCTCAGGATGGTCGAGCGATGCAGCTATCGAGTCCGTGTCACGCAGATCTCCCTCTGAGACCCTCCGTTCGACAGGAGCGTCTTCAAGCGTATAAGACCTCAATATGACTCTCCGTGGTACTCCTTCCGTTCTGCCTAATTTCAATCATGCTGTCTACAACCTTGCTCATACTCGTGCTCACCGTGAGTAAACGCCTTATTTTTCTTCTTCGTGTACTCAATGATCACCCACCTGCAGATCTACGCAGCATACGTCGTATCCCGGATCTGTGTCTGGATCTCAGTGTCAGTCCTCTCTGCACGCCAACAACCCTTGACTACGCCCATACCACCGGAGACTCGTCCTCTTGAACATGACAACTCGATCCACATACCCGGAGAACTTGACTTGGACGACCTAGCCAAGCGGCCCGTCCTCCATGATTCCGAACACGATCCTCCTATTCTACCCCCGTATACACCCCGCGCTGAAGGTCGCGCAATCCAAGTTATTCCTCCACGGTCAGCAGAGTACGGGGACCGCGCCGCCTTTCTAGCGCGCTTCCGTCGCACGAACAGGCCGACTTTTCAGGAAGAGCCGACCTCAGACGCGTTGCACGGCAGCGTGAGCGAAGGCGGCCAGCGATATAAGACCGGCCATGCCCGTCCGCCACCTCGCTCCCGAACGACGCTCCACGAAGAAGCTGTCTGGTCTCCTGTACCTCTTCTCAAGCGCTCCGTGGAGATCGAGACGGTTGAGCAAAGCCCGCAGCCTGCGAGGAGAGGACAGAAGCTCAAGGCGTTTTTGAGGAAGGGTGCCAAGGTTATGCGCTCAGGGAGGCGCTCCTCTAAGCGGACTTCGGCAGATTAAGGTTCTCGTGCTACATTGTCTATGACTTTAGCTACCACGAACCGTATTCTCATCGTGTACGCTCACACCATTCACTGCGCGCGACGCTGTATACGTTCACGCCATCATGTACCCTACTCTGTAACGCAGCACGACCGTCGCAATCGGACCTCGTTCGCTGAACTTGGCTCGTTTTCACATAGAGTTAGCTCTGTCCATTGTGTTACAGTCACTGAACCGTCACAGTAAGTGCAACAGAGGTGCTCAAAGTACGCTTGATAGTAGAGCGCGGGATCAACGCCCGACTACAATTAGGGGCATTCGGCAAAGCCCGTCCGCCGATCGAACCCCTCTTCGCGATCTCCTGTTTCTCAACCTCCATCATCCCCACTTCCTCGTCTCTCTGGGTTCTTCGGGCTGATGCGGATGTTTGACTCGGATACTCGTTCAAAGAATCAATCTAATCTCCACGACGAGGCCGACAAGGCCGTGGCACCTCCAGCTAACCTCACAAGAACGAGAATCACAAGGATCATGCCTTGTTGAACTTCGCCTGTCTGAACGCCCTTTTCGACGCTTATCATGCCCCCGTGCTGGCCTTTTTGTTCTCACTCTGCCCAACGCACACCGTGTGCTGAATGTGACGCCTCTGTCATTGGGTCCCCATACTGCGGCGAACCCTACCTACTGAGGAGAGGGTACAACGGACAAGCAGTTTCGGCTACACAATCCGCCCCCTAGCGGTTGGGAGACCGATACAGGGTCTCCCTAACCCAAGGCGAAGTACTAACATCTAGCGGCCAGTGACATCGAGCCGAATCATCCAGTGCTAGCCGTGAAACAATAGCCGTGCGCGCTGTCCTACCGGCCTTTGATATATAAGGATGGGCGCCCTCACTTACTATCCTTCGTCGACTCGTTCGTACCTCTTCGGCGCAGGTTACCCATACCCCACACGGTCTTTCCACTGAACATCATGTTGTCCTTCCTCATCGAAGTGTACACTTCCCTGTTCTGGCCGTTGTTTGCAATGGGCGCTCTTCTCGGGGCAAGCTTCTACATCCATTCACACTTGATCTCGATCTAATCATTGTTTTCGTCTGTAGGTCGCTGATCATTACCTCGACCTCGGCCTGCTCAATGTCCCTACGACCGCCGATTCCATAATGGACAGCGCATTCGTCACGGTCCCGCCTCATCTCCCGCGGACAAAGATTTCGCACGAGCTCGTTCAGCTCAAAGCGACGAGTGTCCTCGTGCACCTCGACGTCTTCCTCCCTACACCCAAATTCATCGAGACGACCGAGCGCAAGCTCAGCGTCATCGTCTGTGCGCTCCTCGACCTACTCCAGAGTTCGGAGACGTACACCCACGCGCACACCGCATCCGTACCAACACCCGCACGCTTCGGCTCGAACCTCACGTCTGCTTCGCCGTATAAGTCGTCGCGTTTCAACCACCCCGTCCCCATGGTCCCTCGTTTCCCGGGCTCGTACTCTGCGTACATCCCACTAGCAAGGAACTAGATCTACTCAACCCACGACGGGCGCGAAACCGCGAGGGGATAAGACGCGGCGCGCCACAGCCGTCCGCATAGATTAATCGACTTTTTCTCTGGTTCTCCATCATATACTCCTACTCCTCTCTTATGATTCTCCCTATACCTCTAGATAATCTCCCTCTGTTCTTTCTTGCGCCACTACCGACCCTGGTCATCTTCTGCTTGCTCATGCGGATATGATTAGCACTCGCACGCCGTCCCTGTATCGCTCTTGTAGCCGGCTCCGCGTCGAGGAAAATGCGGCCGCTTCTATTTGGTCTTCCTGTAGTCTCCCATACTATGTCAGTTCAAAACCTATGAATGCATCTCGATGCTTCTGTCACACCGCGTTAGATTTTCACCTCAGGTCAAGCAAGCAAAGTGGTATAGTCGAGAAGATTACAATGAGCTATGCGTTATTCCTTCTATTGAGTTCATGACAGCTCATCCTCTACTTCGTGCGCTTGTAGATCTTGTGCAAGAAGCTCGTGTAGATCTCTTTCCGCAGTGTCGCGTCGCCGGCCGGGTTGGTCGCCTCAGGCAATGCCTCCACGAGCTTGTTGATACGGTTGTACGCGTCCTGCTCGTACGCAGCATAGCGCTCGTCGACACCAACAGCCTTGAAGATCTCCTTCACGCGTGCCTCTGCCGCCGAGTCCTTACGGCCGTAACTGGCGTCGAGCACAGCGCGCTGCTCGGGTGACACAAGAGCAAGGGCGGTGTTGATGCACCATGAGCACTTGTTGTCGAGGATGTCCGTGCCGATCTTGCCAATCTGCTCCGGGGTACCCGCGTAGTCGAGGTAGTCGTCCTGGATCTGGAAGTACTCGCCAAGGGGGACAAGGATCTCCATCGAAGCCTCGTACACGTTCGGTGCGCCGGGCTTGGTCTCGGTCGGGAAGCCGCACATGATCAAGGCGAGCGCTACGGGGAGATAGAAAGAGTAGATCGCGGTCTTATAGATGACGATGGTGCGGTGCCTGCGGGTGCCACATTCAATTCAGGTCCAGTACACGGGCATCAAACGAACAGGCGCCCACCTATCGAGTGAGAACTTGGAAAGGTCCACCTTGTCTTCCGGCGCGGTGATGAGGTCGACAAGTTGGCCCATTTCAGTCTTGAACGATACCTTCAGATAGTAGATCGAGTCAGCGAGGGTTCACACAGACTAGGATATTCCGCGTCGCAGCCAGCGGGCAGCGCCAAAAAGCGGGTGGACGCACCTCGTGGAATACATCGAGGAGGTCGACGTAGTAAGGCTCGCGCTTGAAGTGCGCGCGGATCATTTGGTAGATGGCACCCTCGAGGATGAGCGCGTCGTTGATGGCCATCAGACCGACACCCTCGACACGGTACCAGCATGGCTGGCCACGGCGGGTGATCGACGCGTCCATGATGTCGTCTGACACGAGGAAATATGCTTGCAGCTGCCAGGCGCTAAGTTTGATGCACGTCAAAGAAATGAGATCCACGTACGAATTCGACAGCCCAGCCGAGTACGGCCGCCTGTGTGTACTCCTTCTCCGTCAGGTCGCGGCCCTTGAGGATCTGCGCGGTGTCGACCACGCTCAGACCGCGGTTCAGCTTGCCGCCGGGCACATTGTAGTCCATCGACTATTCCCAGATGAGCGGTAGATCACAGAGTTTAACAGTCTGATCGCACCCGACGGTAGTACTCGACCGCCTCTTCGGGCATGTTGTGTTCCTTGAACTGCTTGAGCAGGTCATCGCGAATGAGCGGGTAGACAGCCTCGAAGCGCTGGCGGGCGGCAGCCTTGGCTTGTGGTGTAGACATGACTGACAGGACGGCGAGGGTGATGGGAAGAGAACAAAGTTGGAAAGGAAGGTGGTTCGAGCTATAAATCCCCGCTAAACTCGCCCGACGAACGTTTAATGCGAAGAACAGACGATCCGCACATCTAGTCGTGTGCCGCACGCGCGAGCCAATCCGTTGGGCTCGGTCGTCCCATTTTCGCCTCCGATGCGAGCTCGCGCCACCGGCCAATTGCCGCATTCAGCCTCTCATGGCGTTCGGAATGGTGGTACGAGGCAGATCGCGTGTAAGATACAAGTACAAAATGACATTAACGATTGTAAGTGGTACGATGCAAGACGGATATAGCTTTCTGATCATCGACCCCTGTACTTCGCACGCCTATCACCACGCTAACCAAGCCACTAAACTATGCGGATACCGGCGATTCGCTAGCTTACGCGTTTCATCAAGTCTATATAGAGTTCAGTCATAGAGAGGACGACCCAAAGCGAGAGAATACGTACATAAGTAGCCCGAGCCCATACGCCATCGGTAGGAAGAAGTACTCCACGGGTATATCGTGCGTCTGAAAGACGCTATGACTGGAGATAACATCGTCAGAATCGAACAGCGACGGGAGGGCATTCCGAACACATACAACGCTGGAACATAAGAGAAGAAGATTCCGATAGAGAGCGCAAGTAACGCAGCCGGAATGACAGCACGGTTGATCTTCCAAGAGGGAGGCATCTGGAGAATGCTGGTCTTGCGGGTACGCGTCGCAAGGAGATTGCTAGACGCAAGATCTATGAGCGGAGATGTGGCGCGATGTGTACATCAAGGACGTACCCCCATTGCATCAGGACTAGCGTGAAGAAGTAGATGTTCTGCGCTTCGAAGAGTAGGTCATTCGTAAGGCCGGGCCAGTTTCCGAAGCCAAGCGCCAACGACGAGAAAGGGATGCCGCGACGCTGCAAGAACCAGAAGGACCTATATGTGCGCGTCAGCTACAGCATGACTTCCAGGCGTGGAGGACTACTCACATGGACATTGCACATAGCGACTCCAATATGCCGAGAAAACCGTATGCGTGCAAGAGCAACCTCCAATCGGCCAGGCGCTCCTTCTTCACGTCGCGTGGCGGCCGAGATAGGAGCCCAGTCTCCGGAGGCTCGAAACACATACTGAGGGCAGGGAGGACGTCAGTCTGCACGGGAGCGGGTTAGCGCATGAAGGCAAACACCAGGATGAGAGGCGCGTACAGCAACACAGATCAGGATCATCCTATGCTATTGATCAGAGTGGTTCACTACAGGCCCATGCGGGAGGCGTACTGTATGTTGCTCAGCATCTGTGGTACTCCGATCAAGACATTCAGAAGGATGGGCATAAGCTCTGAGAAGCTGTCAAGTTGTTCAACCCGTGTGAATGACATGATGACAAAGAGCGACATACCTGCCAGCCGGCAACAGGTACAGAATGGTCTTCTTGAGGTTCTCGAACACAAGCCGCCCGTACTCAAGCGCGATGACAATAGCGGAGAAGTCCTCGAGGAGCACCATATCCGCCGCTTCCCGCGCAACATCGGAACCGTTGCCCATAGCGATACCACAGTCTGCAGCACGAAGGGATGGTGCGTCGTTCACTCCATCCCCTGTCATAGCCACGACGCCCTGCCGGGCTTGCAACGCGCGTACGATGCGAAGCTTCTGCTCCGGAGTCGTGCGCGCGAAGACGATCTCGCGATATGCGTAGAGGCGGTCTTCTTGGGCGGCGGTGAGGGTATCGAGTTGAGGGCCGGTGATGACGATGCTCTCAACCTCAGTAACTTCGTCGAAGTCGTGATCGTCCTTCTCCTTCTCCTTGATCACAGGGAGAGGGCCGTCACCAAGATCTTCGATATGATGTACGTGGTCGACATGGGTAACAATGCCGGCCTGAGCGGCTATAGCGACGGCGGTAGCGGGGTGATCGCCTACGGACGTTATTAGCTTACGTCCGCGAGCACTTGAAGGGGAGCGAGCTTACCCGTAACGACGAAGAAGCGTACACCGGCACCGCGGACGATCCTATGGCTTGTATAAGCATAGTGTATAATCATATGACCATGATCGTACTGACCTAACAGTCTCCGGAATGTCTGGCTTGAGCGGGTCGATGAGGCCTACAAGCCCGACAACAGTGAGATCGCCGATGAGTTTCTGAACCGCTTCCTCCAGATCATCCGAGCCCCCGCCTTGCGAGCGCTTAGACAAGGCCTCAGAGCGAACAATTCGACGTGCAAGGACAAGCACGCGCCGGCCCTGCGAGGCCCACCGTTCTTGGACAATGACAAGACGCCGTTTGGTGTGTTCCGAAAGAGGTAGCGGCCTGTCTCCGTTTGCGGGAACAACGTGTGTGCACAGGGGCAAGAGGATCTCCGGTGCGCCTTTGATCGTCAGGAGCATATCGCCAGGGCGGAAGGCATCGTAAGCTGCAATGGGCGCAGGCGTCGGATCCGACTCGTGAGCGGGCTCGGAGAGCATGCACATGTATTTCGTCCGCGAATTGAAGTTCATTCGGTAGAGTGAGCGCCATCTCGCACGTGTAGCGTCAGCGCCCGCGAGGGTATCGGCGAAGCGAAGGATGGCCGAATCTGGTAGAAGTTCGTGAGTGCGTGCCACGAGCGAGCACGAACTACACCCGAACCTGTCGCGTCTCCGCTTATAACGCGCTCCACCCCTTCTTTCTGGTTCCCTTGGAAGCTGGCTGCATTGCAAATGGCGGCTACAGCGGCCAGTTGCTGAATGTTGCCCTTCACTGCGCTGTCCTGTGCTGCCTTCACGGTCGAGTCGAGGTCCGCTGGCGTGAATGTAGTATCGAAGACTGCCGCGTCGTTAACCGTCATCTTATTCTGCGTGAGGGTACCGGTCTTGTCCTGAGAACGTGAATCAGAATGACAGTGTAGGTATGGAGCGTGTTCAAGCGGGCGTACCGAACATAAGACGTTCACTGATCCCAGAGTCTTAGGCATCGCGAATTAGAGGGGTTCCTTACATGTGGCGAAGCGCGTACCTCGACGATGGACAAAGACTTGCACAGAACTTTATGGCTGCTCAACGTATGCGCAACCTTCGCCAGCGATATGGTGACAGCTATAGGAAGGCCCTCCGGGATGAATGCGACCATGACCGAAACGACGTCGATGAGCAGCCCGCTGACGTTGATATAGTCCGGATGGTCTTTCTTCAGCCAGGTAGCCCATACTATGACCACAATAACCGCGACCAAAGTAGCCAGAGCGGCGATGATGATGACAAAACGGAGAATCTCGCGTTGGAGACTGGTGAGGTGTGTGGACGTCGATGATGAGAGCTTTGCGATGTGACCGCTGAGAACGAGTTCAGATAAAAGCACGCAAGAGCACAGTCAAAGGAGACGCACAAGACGGTATTGTCGCCAGTCTGTATGACGAGGCCCAGACCGGAACCGCTCACACAAAGCGTCCCCTGAAGCGCGATATTCTTGGTCTGTAGAGGGTTAAGCGTGTGCTCACAAGCAATCTCGACCGCTACATACCTCGAGAAAGTTGTCGTCCGTCTTGTCAAGCTTGCCGGAGACGGGTTCACTCTGATTGGACAAGCGTGTCAGCATCTAGGCACAATATATGAGATGCTCATGTTCTGTAAGCTCACCTCACCGGTCAGGACAGCACGGTCGAACTTCAAGTCGCTGCTGACTTCGACCAGGAGCAAGTCGGCGGGAACCTTCTGTCCGAGAGGGATATGGACCAGATCGCCCGGTACGAGGTCGGCCGCAGGGACGCTCGTCTGGGAGCCGTCGCGGAGAACGACGACATCCGCCGGGAGCATATCCTTAATAGACGACATGACGCGCGAGGTGCTGAAGTCTTGCCAAGCGTTGAATAGAGCTTGAAGTAGTACCACGACCAGAAGCACGACTGCCAGCGCCAGATTGGACGCTTGTGGATTGGGTTCTCCTAGCGGTTTCCTACGATTCACGATCAGTTGTATTCCTCAGCGGGCACAACAACGGCACGCACCAGGCTATAAAACAGACGACGCTCGCGGCAAGTAGAAGGCTGCCAAATCCGCCAAATATCCAGCCGAGGACCTTCCAGATCATATTCGACTTCGGCGGCGTGATGGCGTTCTTGCCGTATGCGGCGACCCGTCGAGTAATCTGGGCCGCATCAAGACCGACTTTGGGCGAGACAGCGAGACGCTGGAATGCTTCCTCTATCGAGATCTTGTGCCAGTCGAGTGTGGCGAGGTCTGCCGATGAGCGTCAGCCATTGGAACTGATAGCGATGATTGCGAGGAAAGACATACCCTTCACTGTTTCGCCTTTCTCCTTGTCATGTTTGGCATTGACATGGAGATCTTCACGGGTATGCACTTGTAAACTCAGGGTGCGAAACTCCACGGGGATGCGACTAGAGGCGGCAATCGACGACGCGCGCGACATCGTCCGCGGCATGCCCACTCCGGCATGGGACGGATGGTCGGTCGGGACGTCGATGGTGACCGTGCGCGGAAAGCCGTACCCTGACTGAGCCTCGACATCTATCACAGTATGAGGATTGGACATGGCTGAAGTGCGAGCGATATTCAGCAGTGACCGCGCAGACCCTCAGAGAGCGCGAGAAGCCAGGACACGAGAGAACGAAGCCCTCCCTATTACACGCGCTATTTCTAGGGATCGGCATCTGCGGTACAATAACATGCGAACCCGCTCTGGCGGATGATCCACCGGTGGCGCGCCATGCAGTACGGGCGATAGTTGAGGGGCGTAAGAAAATAACCTGGCAGCGAGAGAATGGCCATTGGCTGAGCGGTTTTCGCCAGAGCTTGTCTCGCAGAATTCCGCGGGTACCGCTTGCAGGGTCGACATGAATAGTGCTGTCGGGAGCCGCTGCTGTCGTCATGAGCATGAGGGTCCTCTGAGTCTGCACAGGTTGTCGCCATTTGGGATGGTACTGTCCTCTTGGTTCCGTTCAGGAGAGAAGGCTTGTGTCTTTTATGAAGTAACAACGTGTGATGGAGGTTGATGCAGGTACCGAGGAGAGGCGGATAGAGATAGTATGCCGAGGATTGAGTAGGTCTCCGAGCGACGTATGGCTATCGACGAGGTTGAAGTTTCCAGATGTCGAGGTTGGGGTGCTGGTGGTCGCTTTTGATACGCAGCCGGGGCGCAACTATCTTGACAGACAGGATGAGAAACGTAAGTATACTGGCAGTATACTGCAGTCGTACACAACTCACGAAAGCTCTTCGGCAAGGGTATCTTCATTGTAGTCGTCCAGCAGATTGCTTGACGCCCCGATCGGCAAGCGGCGCCCAAGCTGAGATGTGAATATGAATATATCTCTTAACCCGCTTGCGGTGTCCTGCGAGTTGTCGTCCACACACGACTGAATATGAAGAAGTTGCATGGGGTGTATATATTTGGGGAAAATATGTACAGGAGGACAAGCAGAAAACTTCCACGAGCAAGTGACGCCTCAGAGGTGTATGGCTCGTCCCTTCATGTTGTAAACAAGGTAAGGTGCGCCAGACGAGCGAGATCAAGGCTCGACCCGCCCGAAGGGGGTCGAGCTCATCGCGCTGCGCTACGTTTTTCGTCACAGGCGTTTTGATCGTGGAAGAATCGAAGAGACCAGGATTCGCGCGCGCGCAAAATATAAACTGGCCACGCGAGCCGCTCCGGACCTCCGCGCGGCCGCTTGGTCCGAAGCTTTCGCCGTCACGTCGACGCGTCCAGGATGCCGAAGCGCGTCTTGCATCTTGCTTCCATCTCTATTCGCTTGCCTCAGTCCGGTGTATAATGACTTTGGCACGGTCAGCTCTGCGCGCGGTAAGCGCTGGTGCACGCAGTCGGCCACAGCCTGTCCAAGTATCCCGTTGGACGCGCTTTACCCCCTCTCCTGCTGCACGGCCATTGGCTCGTGGTCTGCACTCTTCAGCCGGTGCGTATAAGTGATTAGATACCACAGTTTACTATACCTAATGAAGCCACGTATAGTGTCACGACATGGAGGCATAGAGAGGCCGGAGCCAGGGACAGGGTGCGTATAACATTCGAGATACTGTTTTCACGTCTGACGTCCATGCAGGATCAAGGTGCACTTCAAGGACGCGAAGGGAAACTTGATCAAGACCGTCGAAGGCAACGAAGGAGATGATCTTCTTGGCATAGCTCACGAACACGATATTGATCTTGAAGGTACCTCTGAGCCCTCGTACTCGCGCATCCTGTGTTCTAACTCCGCTCGTAGGCGCCTGTGAGGGCTCTGTCGCATGTTCGACATGTCATGTCATATTATCTCCGGAGCACTACGACATTTTACCGGAACCTGAAGACGACGAGAACGACATGCTTGACATGGCTTTTGGATTGACCGACACGAGTAGGCTTGGATGTCAAGTCGTCCTCACAAAAGAGCTGGATGGTATGACCGCGACGCTCCCAGCCGCTACGCGCAATATGTTCGTAGACGGTACGTCTTTATCAACATCGGTAGTACTCTTTGCTGACTCGGAGTATGTCCTAGGTCATAAGCCCACACATCACTAAACATATGCATCATCCATCACTGGTCTCTCGCACGTCTTATTGCTTTCCTGGTTGCTCTACAACACATCTATTAATTGCATCATCCCCGTTCTTCCTGTCGAGCTTAACACCGCCACTTATTGATTCAAGAGATGTCTACAAGAAGGAAGGTAGCGCTTGTAACTTTCATATCATGCCTGACTTCGGAATCCGCAGTGCTTGACACGGATCATGGCCTGCCGCGATCGACTCCCCAGCGGGTTCCATGACGCTTTCGACCAAACTGGTTTCAAGTTCTGCCTGCAGCGTTGTTTCGATGGTCAGACTCTAGCTTGTGATAATCGCGGCTACCTTCGCATCTACACGTTCCTCATCGTGAAGTCTTTTCAGTCAGCGGAAGATCGCCGACGCCTCGCCGAACGAAATATGTCTTCGTAGTCATACCGGCAGCATTCTGAAGCTTCGCGCACAATACATTCTGAACCGGTACATGTACAATCCACACGCGTAGGGCCTTCCGTCAGGGCGTAGCTTGCCTCGCGTCTTGTTGTGTGATCCAGATACGCGTACGCGTTTATTGTCTGAATGCGCGGTCAACTTGTCCGCGATTCGGCGTCATTCATTGCGTCCTATCATCGCGTTTCTTCCAAAACACGTCTTCGGCGACCCGGATCAGTTCAGGCACAGCCGGTGCGCGAGCCTATAAACACTCGCGCCACAAGGTCTTTGCGGTAGTCTGTGTTCTCCCCTCCGAGACGGGCGCTTTTACGGTGTGCTATTGACTGCGCGCGTTGTATTGCCGTCGCGCTGGTTGAGCTGGGCGACTGTAGTCGGTTCGGGCCTATTCTTACCGCTCACAACATCATGTTGACATCATCATCCTAGGTCTCCGCCTCGTTCGGATTAGACATGCTCAGTGCAAGTAACATTGAAGACGCCCTCCGTGCTTTCATGGCTCTATATCAGCTTCCACTCGTCATATTCTCCGCCATCGTGACATATATCGCTTTTGGTCGCCGTCGCAAGCCTAAACTTGAGATCTATTACTCTCCGCATCCTGTACCCCTCCCGCGTCGCAAGACCGAGGGCGATGCAGAAGAAACACTCATCTCCCTGTCGAAGCGCAAACTGACTACGGTATTCGGTCCCGAGGCTGGCTTCGTGAGCGTTCCGTGGCTTCCGACGTAAGATTGGCTATCCCTCTTCAAGTGACAGTATCTGAAGCGAACCAACAGCGGAGACGCACACACCATATATGCATCTGTCGGCGACTTCTCCAAGGTCGATCAAGTCGAATACGAGCGCATACACATCAGCTATTCCGATGGAGGCCTCGGCGCTCTTGATGTCTACCCGTCTTCCAAAGCTCGACCTCACGAACCAGGTGAACCCATCATCTTCGTCAACCATGGTCTTACGGGCGGCTCGCATGAGGACTATGTTCGCTCGACGCTTATGGCTCTGTGTCCGCCCAAGTCGGAAGGCGGACTCGGTATACGCGCTGTTGTGCAGAACTCGAGAGGTTGCAACGGGTCTCCTTTGACCTTTCCCAAAATCTACCATGTAAGACCGAACGCCTCTTCTAATGATGGGCAGAGAAACTCATCTCATGCGTATGTAGGCCGGAACCACAGATGACCTGCGCCATGCTAGTGAGCCTACAACCCTCTCATCAAAGAGCGTTACTGCGTACTGATCCACGTTTGCTCAGTCCTATGGATATCGAAAACCTTCCCTTCCTCGCCCATCTTCGGCATCGGCTTCTCCCTCGGCGCTAATCAAATCAGCCGCTACACAGGCCAAGAAGGCGCCCTCTGTCCACTCACAGCCGTCGCCTCCGTCGCTAACCCCTTCGACTTCCTCAAAAGCGCAGTACACATCGAATCCGGCACCCTCATGTGCAAATACGTATACAACTACGCCCTGGGCGGCGCGCTACAGGCTCTCATCAGCCGGCATTTGCCGATATACTACAATGATCCGCGGAGTAAGGTGCCCGTTGAGCCACTGAAGGAGTTCGTGAATAAGAAGTGGGTCACAATTCGCGGGTTCGACGAGGTCTGCACGAGGCATAGTTTTGACTTCGTCAATGCGGACGATTACTACGCTCAAGCCTCCTCCGTGCGGTATCTCGACAAGGTGGCCGTGCCGTTCCTCGGGCTCAATGCGCTCGACGACCCGGTGACGGGAACCGAATGGCTGCCGACTGTTCAAGCCCTCACCAATCCCAACATACTCCTTGTCCGCACCGAGCATGGAGGGCATCTGGGTTGGTTCGAGGCGAAGCCGGGCGGAGGGGTCAGGAGGTGGTACCCGAGGCCGATCAAGGAGTTCTTCGGCGCGTTATTGGAGTATGGTGTCGAGCCGCGGCCGAAGCTGGAGTGGGATGAGATTGATGGGAGGACGGTGCAGAGAGGGCGGCCGGATATTAGTGTGAGGGTGTTGAGGGACGATGAGGTTCCGCCGAGCGTGCCGCTCAAGTCGAGTGCGAAGTCGAGCGCGGTGCCGTTCCATACACGCATCATGCGGAAGCTGTTCACTGGGTGGTGAGGATATGGACGGGGCATAATAGAGCTCTCGATATATTGTAGATTAGAGGACCATATCGCCATTGCCCTTGAAGCATCCGAGAAACTCAAGGAGTGCGAGGTTGGCGTGAAGAATCACTTGGACAACAATGTAGTAGGCGCCAGCGCAATCCAAACGTCCATGATCCGATAGACAACATCTCTGAAGCGTACAGGACAGCAGCTGTCTACATTGGTTGTACAATGGGCGCGGCGCCCTTTTCTAATGCTGTCCTCAAACTGAAAGCTCCGTCAGCATACGTTCCCATAGATGATAGCACTATACAGTACACACCTATAGTCATCGCCGTTCTGGGTGATATACCGCACCCACGGCAACGCCTGATACCCACTCTTATCCACGATCTTCAGATACCTGACCTGGATCCCACTGACAGTAAAGTACGGGATCTCGAACTTGACCGTGATCGGCGGCTTCCTCTCCATGTTATCCGTCTCGGCCTTGACACTCGGCAACCCGAAATGCGCCCTCATCAAGAAGTCCCTCCCACCAGCCAACTGCTTAATCTTCCACACGAACGCGCTCCTGTCGGGCACATACTGCACCGTTCCCGTGCTCGCTCTGAATTTGGGCGAGTCGGCGTCGTCCGGTACAGGCACGTAGATCTCGACGTTGTTCGCTGTTGAGCGGCGCTTGAATTGGGCGCGGACTTTGACCATGTATTCGACGCGCGAGCCTTTGTGGTTCTCTACTGCGGCTTCGACCCAGACAAGAGGTTTGACGGCTTGGGAGAGGCGGTAGGACATGAGTTCGAATTCGCCGTCGGGTGGGATGAAGGAGATCGTGCGGTCGTTTTCGAAGCGGGAAAGGCGGACGCATTGGTGAAACTTGACGTCTTCAAGTTCGATCGCTTTACCGCGGGATGCTGTAAAGAAGGGTTGAGGAGTGTTTGTATATACAAGGGCAAATGGACGTACTTCGGCCTGTTGTCTCGAGCATGACTTTGTCGTTTAGTCCCAGGCGCAGCTCTGGCATGCCCGAGAGGTAGCACTTCATCTTGACCGCGCCAAGGATCTCTGACCGTACAACATTTCCATTCGAATTAACCTGTATAATCTCAGTATATCGCAACATGAATGCCACGGGTGACGCACGAGTAGGTTGACGCTCTCGATGACATCAAGGAAGACCTCGTTCTTGCGGTAGAAGATGCCCTCCGAGCGCCACGAGACTGCGTTTGTGGCGGCCATTGGTGGCCTGACTTGCACCTCGAGCTTGTGCGACTCTTGTGTGATGTATCTATTCCAAGACATTAGCGCCCACGCGTCCAAATATTAAGCGCGCGTCAAGTACGCACTCTTGCAGGATCTTGCTCTCCGTAGTTTGCGGGTAGCCAAAGTCAATCATCTCGTCCAGCAGTTCATATATGATCACAAAGTTGTCGCGGATGGACTCCTCCTCGAGCTCCTTGAAGTACTCGACAAGGACCTGGCATAGTCGGTGAAGGATCAAGATGATCTCGGCCGCGTTGGAGTTTCGTCGCGAGAGGGCGAGAACTAAGTGATATATATATTAGATGTTGTTATTCATACGAAGCTCAAGCTCGCGTACGGTAGAGGTTCGAGTGTCTGATGTGGATATAGTTGATGCCCTCGTTGGTGAAGCAGGGCGTGACCTGCTGACCCTCGTCCTCCATGTCGAGAATCAGCGGCAGAAATTTCTCTATATATGATGGGGATACATCGTCCCTGTAGGAGCGCTGGATGAGGGGTTTGCCCTTGAGGTCGAGGATGGCGACGAGGGAAGCCATTGGGGCGTGTGGTGAGGATAGAGTTCGGTGGAAGGCGCGGCTAGTTAGCGCGTTTGATGGGATCAGCCACGTTCAAGTATCGTCGGCACCACATTCGGGGCTGGTTGCCTCCGACGACGACGACTAAACCAAGTACTGTCTGTCTGGCCGCCAACGAATAATACGACAACGTTTTCTCGCCGACTGGAGTGAGACGGACTGAAGACCTGGGCTGAAACCTGGGAAATAAGCGGGGAAAGTAGTACAAGAGACTCTGACCACTGCGCCTCATTGTCTCTTCGCCTGGTTGCCATCTCTTTCTTCTCTCTATCTTCTCTTGTTCCCACACCACCACCACGCACGCTCGAATGTCTGTCAACGTCGCCTCCCAGTCGCCGCAGGCTACCCCACGGCCCGCGCTCGTATCCCTGCCGCCGGCGGGAGGGGCTCCCAAGACACAGCAGCAGCAACCGCAGGACCAGTCGCGGAAAAAGGCGCGCGAGGAGCGTCTGCTGCAGTTTGCAGAGGAGGAGCGCATCGAGGACGAACGCGCCGTCCGGACGTTGCTCGTCAGTATTTCTTGACGCATCACACGACCCGCACGCTGATCCCTGCGCACAGAGCCACGTTGTGACCCTGCCGTTCGACACGGCAATCGAGTACCACGACCTCGACGGTCTTCTTCACATGGTAAGATTACAATTTCATACATTGTACTCGCCGATCTAATCTCGTTTCTCCCAGGCTGCGCCACCCGCCCACTTCGTTCGCCTCGAGCGCGATGAGACAGTCCAAGCCCCTATGTCGCCTCCTCGCTCGCCCTTCGTGAGCCAGAACGTCCCGCCCCTCGCACACGACGCCGCCACCGTCCGCGGGCACATCAGCAGGCGCTACCACCCCCTGGGCACTTTTGCCGTCCCCAAGAGCCCTCGCCTCTCTGGTCAGCGCCCCGGTCCACGCCGCCGCGTGTCTGAGCGCAGCACGTACCGCTCGAGCCCCAACCTGTCCTCCGTCTAATTATGACCACCCGCCTTCCTGTTTCAATACTGTATAGGAATGTTCGGCATGACCACCCCCTTTCTACTCTCGCTCAATGGAAACAGAACTTGTTGCATATAACTCCCTTCCGGTACATACTCGTCTTTAAACCCAGCACTTTACGCCACACCTTGCTCAAATGCGTTCTCCCTCTCGTTTTATCGTCCGCTTGTCATGCCGTACCTTCTGTGTATCATTGTATCATCCCGCTCTCGATGTAGAGTACCTATTGCACCGCTCATGGCGATTCCAATGCTCCTTCTGATGACCTACGTTCCCGGGATCTTCGGTGTGGTGAATGTGGCCTCGCGGTACCGAGGTGGTGCTCGCTTCGTGGCTCGCGTGCCTTGCTTTATTCCGCATCAAGCCCTCGGCGATCCGGTCCGGACTGTCGCCACATCTCCGTCCCGTCGTGCACCCCGTAAATCTTGCTTCTCATTCTCTCTTCCACCACCTTCACCATCCTCACAAACAATGTCGCACTGCCTTGTCCGCGGCTCAATCAGTCTGTATACGGACTCTAGCGCGCGCAGCACAGGCTGATCTTTCTACACCGCAGACATCGACGAATTCTTCCACGGCAAGCTTGCTTCCAAACTTCCTCGAGCGCGTGTCTAACACGTTCATCTCCCGTTTCATACAGTCGCGGATGTGGTCCTCCCAGGCCAGACAATCTCCTCGACGGGCTTCGAGCGCCGAGGCGGTGGCAAGGGCGCGAATCAGGCCGCAGCTGTCGCGCGCGCTGGTGCGCCCGTGAAGCTGGTCGGTGCGGTGGGCAGCGATGGCGCTTGGCTGGTAGACGACCTGAAGGAGATGGGCGTGGAAACCGGTGATATATTGACTGTTGAGAAGGTTCGTGTTTCTTATCTGACTTCTCAAGCTTCTATCGAGGTTTGGCGGGGATGCGTGGCTGATGTGGTCCTTTGGCGCTTATAGGAACCCACGGGACGCGCGATAATCCAACTCACGGAGAGCGGCGAGAACTGTATCAGTGCGTCCTTCATCCAAACCTAAACCTCTCCGCTGTCTGAATCCAGTCTAAAACCTTCCTCCCCTCCCATCTTATCTGCCCATATACAGTCCTACACAAAGGCGCCAACTATGCCCGACAAGACACAGCGCCCGAGATCGACGCGTATCTTGCCGGTACTTCACATCTGCTAGTACAGAATGAGGTCCCGATGGACGTCACGACTGCAGCTCTACGCGCCGCATCACAGAAGGGCGTGCCAAGCGTGTACAATCCGAGTCCCATGCCCTCCGACGCCGAGCTTCGCGCCTTTCCTTGGGATAGCGTGAGCTACCTCCTCGTAAACGAGGGCGAAGCATCCGCGCTATGGGGCGCATTCGCAGGATCACCCACGGTCCCGACGCCCGAGTTGACGCCCGTCGCACCGGCGGGCGATATCAGCGAGAGCAATCGTGCAGTGGTGGATCAGGCGAAGCAGACTCTACGCGCGCTAAGGTCTTTGTCCGCGTTCGCAAAGACGACGGTGGTCTGCACCCTCGGAGGCGCTGGTGTACTCGCTGTCTTGCCGTCGCACGAGTCGGTTTACCTGCCTGCGGTCAAGCTGGAGGGCACCACGCGCGATACCACCGGTGCTGGCGATTGCTTCACGGGGTACTTTGTCGCTGGCCTTATGGCGCTAGGACAGAAGGGAGAGTTAGATGTGAAGGCGTTGGCACCTTTGTTGAGGTTGAGCACGCAGGCGGCGGGGATGTGTGTGGAGAAGAGGGGTGCGATGGAGAGTATACCTCTGAGGAAAGATGTCGAGGAGAGGTTGGCGAAGTTGCCCGCTCTGGCTTTCAGTTGAACATCTCAGTGATTATATCAATTGTGCGCAGTTGTAATCTAATCTATTATAGGAGTGATCATGGCGTCAAGTGGAGAAGTATGGCAAGTAAGTAAGTAGAAGGTGGAGAGCTCAAGCTGTGATAGTGTCCTCCTTCTCGTCCCTCTTCTCAAGATCGCCCTCCGCCCAACCCTCCTGCGTGTCCGCCTTCATCCTGACAAACAACAGGTCGAGTACGAGCGCGAGCACGCAGAATCCCACGCCGAGGAAGATCGCGCCGCGGTAGCCTTTGACCGGATTCAATCCTCCATCATTCGTGTACACCTCGACAGTGCCCGCGAACCCGAGTCCGGTACTAAGTCCGTATACCTGGAGCACGCCGATGAGCGAGCCCGCAATGCCCTGCTCATGCCGTCGCACGCTATTGCTGGCGATGACCTGCGCGGCAGTGATGATGAAGTCCGGTCCGGCAGCGACGATAAATGTGGCAGGGAAAGCCTGAGCCCAGAAGATTTGCTGCGTGGGCATCGTGCCGAGTATGATCAGCGCAGTGAGCACGACGGCTACACCTATGGCCATGATATACTGAGCGCGCAAGCGTGGGACGAGCCACGCGCCTACGCCCGCCATCACACCTCCGACGACGATGATGGGTGACACCGTCCCGCCCGCGGCCGTGAACGTGTAGTGACGAACGTTGAGCTCCCAAACGTTGAGGTACCAGAGAAAGATGCTGAAGGCCATGAGCGTCAGGAAGACAACGACGAGGAGCATGCCGAAGGAGGGGCGCGTCCAGATCGTGAAGGGGATGATTGGGTCTCGGGCGTAGGAGCGCGACCAGATGATGAAGCCTATCGCGTGCAGGATGGAGACTATGAGAAGGACGTAGATGTATACGGTGGACCATCCGGCAGCAGGCGCTTGGCTGGTGATTCCCAGGTTAGTGAAGGACATTGGCATGTGGACTGCACGGAGAACTTACTTCCAAACAAAGTTGAACAAGAAAAGCGCGCCTATGCCGAGGTACGAGCCCACAAGATCGAGCGAACCACTCTTATCCACGGGACGATCCCGAGGAGTTGCGATGAACGCAATGCCAAAGACGACGGCGCCAGCTATGGCCCTGGTAGCATCAATGGTTGAGCAACGTCGCATACCCTGAGTATATGCGCGTCCACGTACATTGCGATGAACATCCACTTCCACGGTGCAAACTGTACGATGATGCCGCCAAGTATTCCACCGCTCGCCGCTCCTATAGGGTTAGACGCTCCAAACAAGCCGAACGCAAGGTTGCGCATCGGTCCTGGGGGGAAGGTAATGCCAAGTCTGAGGACGTTGAATGTATGAGCGCCTCTTATCATACGCAGGGAGGAGTGGGGGCTCACAGTGCAATGCAGTTGGGTACCATGATGCCACCGCCTACTCCCGAGAGCCCACGCAAGACGCAGAGCACGATGAAGCTCGGCGCAAAAGCGCTACCCAGAGTGAACGCGACCCATATCACACCGCCGAAGATCATCATGTTCTTGTGCCCGTATATAGCGCCGAGGCGACCACCAGGAAGGACGAATGCGCCCTGTGTGAGCGGGTACGATGCAGCGATCCACGCAGCGCTGGCAGGTGACGGTGCGCCGAGTTGAGTGGAGAGAGTGAGGGATGCTACGATGCCGGCGCCAAAGGAGATGGTCTACATCACAAAGGGTGGAATAGTGAGTTATGTGCACCGTCGACCTCGAGACGAAGGTATACGAACCTGGATGAGTTGCGTGCCGACGACAGAGGCCATGATGACCAGCTTGTGGCTCATAGGAAGCTCATGATGTTCGAGAGCTTTGGCTTCAGTGGCTTCTCGAGTTCCAGATAGAGATACAGTGCGACTCTCAGAAGCGAACGAATCGAGAGCGGGCGTTTGCGTGTCCATGGCTTCTGAGGTGTCCTGCAAAACAGTAAGAACCTGCACGGCCCCTCATATACAGCCACCAAGAAAGTATTCAGTCATCTCGAGCGGGGATGGGACGAGTCCCCGGGCAGCAGCGAGCCCCGGGGACGCGCATCCTCCCCGAGGTCGTACGAATTTCTGTGGCCCATCGTGCGCATTGTGTTGCGCATGTTGATTCGTATGTCAATGCATTTTATTTTTATTTTTATTTTTTGTCATTACAGCGTCGCGCCGAAGGCGCCGACATCCTATTCACAGTCCCCCGGGCCCGGAGCCCCACGCGGGACTGTACGAATTACATTGTATCTACGTTCGTGCATGTCATGGAATGAGAATGGATTGTACTTGGTCGTGTCGTTCGCGCCGCGTGCGGTCTTGAAGCGAATGCGGTGTTGTGTCGCGAGTGGTCGGTGTAGACGTAGGTCGTTCGTGTTCGCTAGGCGGCTCGAGTCGTGGCGTCCCGCTCACGCTGAGTCTCGTTCTCCTCCCCTGGGCAACCTCTCGAACCACTTCAGGAGCCCCTCGATCGTCGTATCCACCTCCTCCGTCTCCTTCGCTCTCCTCTCCCCCTCTCCGTCTTCTCCTTCCTCCTCGTCCTCGCCCTCTTCCTCTTCCTTCCTTTCCCCATCCTCGAAATTGCCCTCTTGAATGCCGTCCTCCTCCCGGCGACTCCACCGCATACGTCCAGTTTCCCGTACATAGCCCATGAGGGCTTTCACGCCCGTCGCGTCGCTGAGCAGATAAGCTCGGTTTCGCCAGTTTTTCCCCGCGGCCTTGCGGAGTGCGCGTCGCTCGGTCAGCCGCGCCTGGCACTCGTAGATGAAGTGCGGGACGGTCTCGTCTGCCTCTCCGCATGCGTCGCAGGTCGGCGACTCGACGCAGCGCATACGATGTAGGTGCTTATTCAGCGGGGCGTGACCTGTTCGTAGTTGGAATAGTACGGCGCTGTCCCGGCGCAACAGGCTCTCGATCGTCCTCATAGGGTGCTTTGTTGCTGCGTCAGGGGCCCAGTGTTATGTCAATGCATTGTACGTGGTCCTGCGGAGGTAGGCGGTGACAGCCCGAACCATCGCCGAGCCTTGGTACTCGGGTTGCAATTTTACACCGGATAGCATGCTTACAGCCGCCAAACGACGGAAGATATGATCAAACACTGTTTCGTGTCTAAAGTGATCCGTGAATCATGATGCTACGCCTCCAGGTTTTAAACCACATACGGGTAGCGCATCTATCCTGAGCGCAGCCGAACGGCAGGAGTCCGAGAGATATCACTCTATACACCGACCGTGGCCTTCTCCTCATCTTGCTTATGGATATCACTCTCTGACCAACCCTCCCGCGTATCCGCCTGCATCCGGACGAAGAGGAGGTCGATGGCGAGCGCGAGCGCCGCGAGCCCGATAGCGAGGAACAGCCCGCCGCGATATCCCCTGACAACGTTTCTCCCGCCGTCGTTGACATAAGCTTCGACCGTGCCCGCGATCCCGAGTCCCGTACTGAGCCCGTACGTCTGTAGTGCGCCGATGAGCGAGCCCACAGGACCCTGTTCGCGCCGCGGCACGCTGTTGCTGGTGATGACTTGCGCGGCGGTGACAATGAGGTCCGGTCCAGCGCCGGATATGAGAGCGGCAACGAAGGCCTGTGCCCAGTACACCTGTTGCTCCGGCATCGTGGCCACGAGGATGGACGCGCAAAGCACAACACCAACTCCCATGCCCATGATGTATTGCGCCTGCAATCGTGGTACAAGCCATGCACCAATGAGCGCTGTGGCGGCTCCGACTACCACGATAGGAGCTATGCTCGCGCCGGTAGCTGTCAACGTATAATGCCGGATGTTGAGTTCCCAAATGCAAAGATACCATATCAGCGCGCTGAAGGACATCAACGTCAAGACGACGACGAGAAGCAGAGGTCCGAAGGAGGGGCGCGTCCAGACTGTGAAGGGGACGATCGGATGACGGGCATAGGAACGGGACCACCAGACGAACCCCACGGCGTGCAGAATGGCGACGATTAGGAGAACGTAGACGTAGACTGTCGACCATCCCACTGCCGGCGCTTGACTGAAAGGAGTTTGAGCCGGATGCCCTGACAGTTACCAACAAGGACGTGGACTCACTTCCAGGCGAAGTTGAAGAGGAAGAGCGCGGCAACGCCGAGATACGACCCTGCCAAATCGAGTGAGCCGCCTTTGTCAACCGGCGAGTCTCGAGGGGTCGACAGAAACGCGATGCCAAAGACCGCGAACCCCGCAATAGCCCTACGCAATGTACGTGATGGTTAGAACAGTATGTCAGACCAGCCCATTGTCACGTACATTGTTATGTACATCCACTTCCAAGGCGCAAATTGAACAATGATACCGCCAATCAGAGATCCGCCAGCGGCACCCACGGGCGCGGACGAGCCAAAGAGACCGAAGGCAATGTTTCGCATACGTCCTGGCGGGAAGGTGATACCTAGTCTGGGAAGTTGAATATCAGTGCTCGTCGACACCCTCTTTGAGAATAGGCGGCTCACAAAGCGACGCAATTGGGGACCATGATGCCGCCTCCCACCCCTGAGAGCCCACGTAGAATACAGAGAGCGATGAAGTTTGGTGCGAACGCGCTCCCCAAGGTGAATGCGATCCAGGCCAGCCCTCCGAGGAACAACATATTCTTGTGGCCATACAATGCACCGAGTCGCCCGCCGGGTAAGACGAAAGAGCCTTGTGTAAGTGTGTATGCGGCAGCGACCCAGACTGCACTTGCGCTGGATGGAACACCAAGCTGCGAGGATATGGCGAGTGATGTATCGAAGCCCGTTCCGGAGGAGATCATCTGGGTGCAAGTGAGTGGATGGTACAATGTTGGGGGCAAAAACTCATGCGCACCTGTATAAGCTGCGTTCCGACGACGGAGGCCATGATGACAAGCTTGCGATCCATGGACAGCTCATAGTGCTCAAGGGTCTTCGCAGGGCTGTTTGGGCGTGGTCCCGACGGGGAGTGTGTGCCGCTCGTTGTGGCGGATCTTGCGTCTGAAGTTACGGACTCTACATTCATAGTCAAGAGGACGACACCGACGTGGGGCTACCTTGGGGCGACCATGCATCTGAATCCTATATACGCATCCATTCCTGTCTTAACTGCGAAGCAAGTCGGCATATGGAGTATTTCCGAATCCGTCGGAGACTCGCAGGTTCGCTTGTGTGGTTATGCATGGGCCGAGGTGCGTCGGATATTCCCACAATGCTCGCCCCTAGGCACCTCAGTAGCTCCAGAGTGCAAATACCGGTACTTACATAGGCCGAGGTCGGGGGCCAGGAGAGCATCAGGCGGAGTGATGGATAGGGAAGGTGCGCTTGGACCTTACTGATGAAAGCGCCTCTTCGTAATGCGAGGCAAGTCGCAGAAGTTGACGATGGTATAGAGAGTGCAGTGTTAGTATGGTAAACAATGATATGAGTGCTCGTGAGTGATATATGCAAGAATACAAGGCGAGTGCGTCCAGTGAGACTATATCCATCAGCGCAAGGCCAGAATGCCGCTGCCCGCTCCGCGCGGCTCCTTCGTAGTCTTCTTCTTTTTGGCAGCTGGGACCTCCCAGATGCGCCAGAACTTGAGGTTCTCGTCACCTGCACCCGTACACACGACATCGCCTGCCGGGCTGACAGCGGAGAAGAGCACCCTGGCGTCGTGCGCGTCCCTTATCTCAGCGATACACTCCAGCGAAGGATACGCGTGCACCATGATGGAGTTGGTGGGAATGCCATGCGTCGTGAGTAGCTCTTTCCGATGCGGCGACCATTGTACGGAAGAGATCTGCGAGGGAGTCTTGAGCGAGTGCAGGCGTGCACCGGTCGCGACATTCCAGATATGGACAGTGGCATCGCTAGTACCACCGCCTGTGGCAAGTAAAGAAGGCTGCCAGGGGCACCACGCTATACCCTAGTAATACATGTCAGGATTCGAATCGCCAAGGAATCAAAGCACAGTAATATACCTTCACTGCTGCAGTGTGGTTCCGCTTCGTCCACTTGGCCAACCCGCGCGAGCCCTCGTTAACATCACCGACGCGACCATCCCAGATGTTGACCACGTTATCATTGCCGCCACTGGCAAGGAGCTCTCCATCTTCTCGCCACTTCAGGCCGCAGACTTCGCCGGAGTGTCCGAGTAGCTCTTGCACCTTGTGCCGTGCCACGCGCACGTCATGATGCCAGATGCTACCGTCTCCGCAACCTGAAGTGAGGATGTGGCTGTTCCAGCTAAGCGACGCGACTTGATGTTGATGTCCGCCCATCGTTCGCAGCTTCTGCCCGGTCTCAACGTCCCATAGCTCAACATCACCAGAGCCACAGCCGATGCCAAGGTATGCTCCATCGGTGTTGAACGCCACGCTAGAAACATAGCTGCCCTCCGGAGCCTCGCCGACAAGCTCGACCTCGCCCGTCTCCGCTTTCCATATGTACGTATGCTCGCCTAGGCCGATTGCCACGACGTTCTGCACGCTCCACGAAAGTAGGTTGAGGTAGAAATCATCCACGATGCCGGGCGCGTCGAGCACGCGTTCCGGCTGAGTAGCGATACGTCTGGTCTTGTTCGTGCTTGTCCCGTTCGATGTGGCAGCTTCACCCGGACGGGCATACAAAGGCCGGGCGAACTCGCGCTGCTTGGCAAGCGTGCTGTCTGCAGCAGGTGGCGGCGCCTCGTGGTACGCCAGTACGCGCTTGTTGATGGGAACGCCAGTAGCCGCGACGAGACGCGCAGTGTGTCCAGGAGAGGCGGATTGCGGGTTGAGTGACATCTTGTCAAACGTGGCTGCCACTTCGGTCTCTTCGCGGCTTGTGATGAACCGATCGCGCGTATCCCGCTGGATTGATATTCAGTACAGTGACAGTTCATCAGGGGGGTTACAGGCATACTGCTGCGGGAGTGGATCGAGATCGCTTTGCCTGGATGGTTGGAGGCTGTGGTACATAGTCCTGGCTCACGACGTCGAGCTTGCTTTCGATGCCACCCTTGCGAATGACGCCGCTGCTAGCCTGGCGCTTCAACGAGTCCGAGACTGCAAAGCCACCGGACACGGCACGTTTGACTGGAGAAGGCGCCCGAGAGGTCGGGCGGGAAGTAGTGCGCGTGATGAATGGGTTCGTGGTATCGGCCGGTGTCGCCGCCGTGTACTTGCTGCCCGTAGATGTCTTCGACGATCCCTTGGTTGGAGACGACACAAAGACATTGTTCATTCCAGATATGACGGAGGGAGTGAGAGGAGTCCGGTTCACATCTGAGCGGGCGCGCTGGCGAGAGGGAGTTTTGGCCTGCATCGTAAGGGCTGGCAGAGGTGGAAGTACGATGCAGAAACACGTCGTGCGCACGCGTTTCCTTCGTTGCGAACCTCCAACACACGTGCCTCGTGTTCGTCTTTTCGGCGTTTGCCGTTGGTCTCCAGTGATGACGTCTGCCACTGCCTGCCAGCGTTCAACATCGTGTTGGGTTTGTTATTTGCTACGGTGACCCTGCAGCCGAGTCGGCCTCTCCTCCAAGCCGCTCACAGCGAGTGGATAGATGGCATTTGAAGTCGTGATCAGCTATGGCTAACAGCTTTCTGACGGCGAGGCCGCCCAGGCGTCCATCATTGGTCCATCATCCAACAGCCGTTGCACGCGGCAAGGCAGGGCGAGGCGCCCATATTCCGAGTCAAGCTCGAGGTGAAAGAATGATTGCTACTACTAGTGTACAAAGGGTATAGGAATTGTGTATCGCTCTATCTGGCGCTCTCTATGTCATACCCGAGATCCTGCGGAAGATCTCGCTCTTCGACCTACTCGAGCGCGCCTTGCTTGTCTGCGAAGAGGAGCGGCTGAGTCGCATCGTCGTGCCGTCGCTCTCCGGGCGCCCGATCATGTCCAACATCTCCCAGTAGCCGTCGTCTCCTACCGACCCAGCCACAGTCACTGTAGCGGCTACCGCAGCGGCGGCTCCTAGGCTAAGAAAGTCGGGAGCGCTACGGGCGCGTTTGTGCGGCGAATCAAGCTGCGTCGCTGGCGGGCTTGCCTTCGGTGGGGAGGAAGGTCTCGACTTCAGGATAGACTTCGGGAGCGGTTGGAGAAGCTGGGCGTAGTGCTCTGGGACCTTGTGCTTTGGTGGCTCGGGTAGCGGATCAGCCGGCGGTGTGCGAGAACGGGGAGGAGACAGGGCACGAGCGAAGGTGATGGGTAAGAAGTTTGTGCGGATCGTCATGTCCATGAACGGCTGCTGCTCCGGGGGTGTTGGGATGCGAGTGATCGACGTGAGCATGTCCGACTGGGCTGTCTTGAACGAGCGTGTGGAGGCTTCGCTGACTTGGCTGCGCGTCTCGGCTGCCTGCGCCTGCTTCTCTTCCACAAGACTGTTGACAAAGGACTCGCGCCATTGCTCCGCGGCTCTGCTCGCGCGCCTCTTGCGCTGGGTGATTCGGAAGACCTTGATTGCCGCCAGGAGAAGGATGATGCCAATGACGGTGACCGTCAGCGCAACGGCGATCATCTTGTGTTTGTGGCTCTTCTCTCCCTCCTGGTGCTCCTCGTCAAGCGAGCCAAATATCCCACCATCGGCAAGATCCGACTGATCGTCGTGCGAACCGGCCGGTTCAGAGTTCGGAGAAGCAGTTGGCTCGGAGCCTGCGCGGAATGCGGCGGTCGTCGCAAACGGGAATATGTCTACGGTTATCGCCTGTGGCTCCTGAGGAGGAGCATCTTGACGCTTGCTTGCGGCGATGCGGGCGTGATGGCGCCGACGTTCGTGACCAGTGAGCGCATGGCCGGCGGTATACATGAGCGACTCGCCCTGCTTGCGATACGGAGCATACTTAGACTCTAGCTCTGACTCGCCCGCCCTCATCGCGTACTCCACCGCCGCTTGAACCTCTCCCATGGCTTCATACCCTTGAAGCTGAGCCGAATAAGGGTCCGTGAGATGATTGCGAGTGTTATGGACGGTGTCGTCGGGCGAAACGTTCAGATCGAAATGTGGAACTGCGCCGGCGATCGCTATGAGAGCGAGACAGAGTAGGAGACGGGCGCGGTGCGAGGTAGCCATCGTTTGAATGAGCGAGCGGTGCCGTGTGGGCGACGAGAGTCTAGGTAGGATGTGCGTAGGTCGTTGACTGCCCTCGGAGTGGCGATGGCGGTTCAAGGTTAGGCAGCGTTCGGGCAGCGTCAGACTCGCATGCCTTGCCCTGGTTTGCCTGCGAACAATTGCATTCGCTTTCGAACGCTCAAGGGCGCTGGCGACTTGTTTCAAGTTTTGCGAGCATAACTTACAACATCTGCTCGAAGCTCCGTATGTAGTACATGTCAAGTTGACGACCGACATGCGGTGAAGTCACACTTCCTGCACCAATGCCATGAGTACCCTATCCTTCGAGGCACAGCTGCTGAACGACTCACACGAGCAGCACTCGATGCGCGCGGCAAGTATGCATTGCGATGCATATCGCAAACTGGTCCATCAACTCAATGGCAAAGTATCACTGCCTCGTCACTGCCGTCCATTACAAACGAGATAACTCAGGTGCTATTCAGTTAGCAGTTGTTCGATAAGTTGGCACCCGCGCAAACGGACTCAACGATTTTCTCGTCACCAATGCGTGTATACATCGCAATTAAGCTTTGTCGTTCTGCAAGCAGAATGGGTGACTTGGTTGGGTGTGAAATCAGGGGAAGTATCGGAGTCAACCTCCGATGACGGGTATGACACCACGTCCGAAACACTGCAATAGGACACAGCTCATCAGAATCACCCGTAGGCCGACCTCATAGGCGATGAACCTCCGCAGAAACGACGCTAGCTAGCGTAGTATCGCCGCAACCATCGTATGGTTTCCGGCTTCGCAATTCGACGTAATAAAAAGTACGGGTCCAAGCAGCAAGAAGCGACGGTAACCGAAGTCGTGTTTCGAAGCATACAGTCGCGATCGGCGCTCGCCGGTCGCCTGGAAAGAACTGAGCATTGGGCGGCCAAGGCTCGACGAAGCCAACTCGATGTGGTAGAACCAATACTCCTTCTGCCGATCGTCGAGGATGCGCAGTGAATAGAGAACTGCTGGGTGTTCCTTCGGTCTCCACGCAGAGGTGTGTGGAAGGCAGGGAGAATCGATTTTGCGCGGAGCGCATAACTGCCTTTCCTCAGTCGACTCAGCTGCTATACTCTGCGATGGCCTCGGCGGAAGTCGGTCGATGGTGGAAGGAAAGACAACGAGCCAGCGAGACTACCGACTACGTGACTTGCCGTACCACGTCACGTCACTGAGTCACTGTCGATCCAAACACGGTCACATGGTCAACGTTCCCTGCCTCAATCCTTCGTGGTTCTGACGCGCATCATGCAAGCCGACGGCAGATTATATACTCTTGACAACGAGGCTCCCGTGAAATGGAACGCGAACCAGGAGAATACTCTGCTTCGGGACTCCACTCAGTTCTCACGCCTATTTGACGCATCTCTCACTGCTGCCAACCTGACTGAGCGTGTCCGAGGCGCGTACGTACAGTACTTGTGGCTGCCCGAGGTACGGCCCTATCAGACAGCCTATCACCGTATTAAACCTATCGTAGGCAATTATGCCTCTATCGCGCTTCGTGCCACATCTGCGCAGACTTGCCGCCAGCGAGCCAACTTCCTCGTCAGCAAATGATATCCACCCATTGCATCCTGCTCTCGACGCCATCTTACTCACGAGCCGATGGTGCACGTACAAGCATCATGATCTGCTGTCGCAAGATACGACACGGACGTCTGCTGGTGATGAAGCCAGTTTGATGGCCTGGGCGCTGGAGAAGGCGCCTGCACCGGTCGGCGCCGAAGACGAATCTCTTCCACCTGATCCAATCGCCCGTCAACTCGAGGCAGAGCAGCGCGAGTATGTACGTTTCAACAAATCAAAATTACGCGTTGAACTGACCGCCTCAGGGTCCAGATTCAGATCCTCCTGCACATGCTGAAGCTTAGTCTTCAGGGACCCTGCACATCCCCTCCCATCCGACCTTTACCGTTGTCGAGGACTGAGCAGCGCCGTCGTCGAAATAAGCCATCTTCCGTCAGCGATACTGAAGGCACGCCGGAGGAAATGATCGAAGAGCGCCTTGAGGGTCTCATGGACCGGCTCATGCTGTGGCAATCATCCCTTCCGGTGGAAGATGAGGGAAAGGCCGAAGACAGCACCGGCGAGCCTTTTCGGGACTGGACTCAATCTTTCTACGATGATATCGTATGCCCAGAGTGAGTAGGTCCTACGCTCGAGCTACATCAGTTCTCACGTTCCGTAGATTCGCGCATAAACTCCCGGATCTTTGCCGCCTCTTTCGAGTAAAGGTCTTTCGTCTACCGCAGTGGTCTGAGGCCGAAGAGGAGGCGGACGATCCGCAGACGTCCGTGTCTGTGCTCAAAGCTAAAGCGGCCCCGCCCATCCACCCCTTTTTCCGACAGGCGTCGAGTAAATCAAGCGGCTCTCATGACCCTTCTCGTGCCCCCTCTCGCTCTCGCTCTCGTTCACGCTCACTCTCCGTCTCCCTCGCTCAGGAGGCACAAGAAGAGGAACTGCGTCGAGTCAGCAGTCATAGAAGTAAACGTGGTCTGGATCGCGAATGGAGTACCAGCCGAAGCCTCAAAGGGAACAGGTCTCAGTCGCAGACCCAGACACAGCAGGTGGGGCCAATTCGAACCGTCGAAACTGTCGTGTCAGACGATAGACGAAGTGATGGGCCACTCGTATTGGTCGAGAGCACGCCGAGGAAGCCGAAGAAGCGCGCTCGTCTGAATGAGGGCGATGATGAGAGCGATCGTGCCTATGGAAGGTCTGCCGTGCTCGTAACGAGCACGCCTGTCAAGTCGAGGGTTCGCCAGGGGACGCAGTCGAAAGATGGGTCCGGTCCGTACGATAGCGACAGTACCGGGGATGGGGCTTCAAGCGGGGATGAATGCAGCTGACAATCTTTACCTCAATCCCAACAACTCCGACATGATTGGTCTTAGCAGGATTTTTTGTCACGGTCTACCGCAGCTATCCTCTCGGCGCATGATATGCAGAGTCGCCTATATTCACATGTGCTATGGTTGTATTTTACATGGGACTTCGATCGTTGATCGGCGCATCGCCTTGCTACGTGCAGTAGACGCAGTCGTACTCGTAGAAAGCTACCGACACCTGAAGTAGGCCCCAATGGTGCGCGGTAATCAAAGTCAATAGATCGCTGCCAGACGCTCCAGTACGTACTGAGAAGCCTGCGCGTGGCGTCAAGATGTGCAACAGAGAGACACGAACACAAGCGCACTGAGATTGGCTTGTAGCGCTTCGGGCGCTCATTGGACCAAGTGCCGGGCAGACAGTCCACGACTATGTCGAAATCCGCAGAGCAAAACTGAGTGGCAGTGTCAATCAGAGTCCCTACGCTGCCGTGGAATGATACCTGGCGCGCACATAAGGCATCGAGTAGCGCTCGGGTATCTTTCCTCCATCATCCTGCGCGTGTGCGGGTGCCCTGACACGATGGATAGTACTTCGAATGGTGTCATTGGACCCTATCAGGTACGTACGAGGTGAGATGGTTGTCGTGCAAAGAGCGGGCGTACGTACATCTCATGAGGAAGTCGCCGGCATTGACAAGCAAAGCACCCTGGACGGGAGGCACGGGCTGTGTTCACAATCAGTGTCAAGACGCTGCCGAAAGTATGGTTGCGCAAGTCTGACCAAGAATCGTCCAGGTTCTTGAGGACTCTCGACCTCAAGACCGCCAATGTCATCCTGCAGAAGCAATGTAATACTGCCGAAGTCCGAATGCGCCCCGATGCGAGTTACTTCCTCATTCTGGAGAGCGGTAGAGGACACGCTGAAATCGCGTTATCAGATCATGAATATATTCGCTATAGCGCTGGATGTCGTACGGCGGATAATGTAAGAAACGAAGTTGATTGTCAGCCGCACGATGTTTGTCCAAGAGATAGCGTTCCGGCAATCCTAGGGCAAGAGCGATCGCGCGTAAGATATGTCCCTTGACTTCGTCGCATATCTGAAGAGGAATGGTTGACGATGTATATTGTGCTGCTAGACGGTCCATACCCAATAAAATCTGAGGCTGGCATCCTTGAATCCCGGGAGTGTGTTCTCGGGAAGCCAGATGTTCGGCATAACAGGATCATCCTCACGCCCAACCTCGAAGCTTTCTTTGACGTCAGGAGTCCTGTTTCGTAGCTCATCTAGCTCGTTGCGATCGTAAATGTGTTGCACAACCTTCTCCTTTCCGGGAGCGGAGTACCCTAGAACGTGTATCACCATCCAAGGTGACTTAAATACGCGTGGCACATCTTCGTACCTCTGTGGTGGGTCCCAGAAGCAGGGTGAGGCGCAAGGTGTTTGATCTCGTCCGGCAGGGAGAAGAATCGTTTCGACTAATTTGAACGAAGGTCACCTAGTGAAGTCTGATAAAGGTTACGTGGCTCACCCAGTCAAACATTGCTTCAATGTCTGCTGGGGATAAGCTATGGTTGACAAGTTGCACGAAGCCTATGTCCTGAAATGAACGTAACATCGCATCAGCGACCTCTTGTCGCCTCGTTCCATCTAGGAAGGGTCCGAAGTCGATTACAGGAACTACTCCCGAATGATCCAGTGTCACAGAAGGGAACGTGCTCATAGTGATCCTCCTCGTTGACGGCGTACTGGGCAATCCGGCTGCTGTCTATACGTCGAGTCGACCTGGTGATGATAGCAGGACGGAAGGTGAATGAGGCCATATGTGACGCAAGACTTCCCCACGCACGCTCGGGGGGCCGTTCCGAATTCCGGCGTGCGTGGGCGCTCGAAGCTTGACTTCTCGCTTTGACCATCGGTATGGTGTAAGCGCAATTTTTGGTCATCGCTAGGGATAGCTAAAGTGAAGGCGCGGTCGACTTGATGCAAGCGGTTACCCTCATGTAACGTCCGAGTAGGGAGAGAAACATATACTACCACAGAGCTTCTCAGGAAGACCCGATGACACCGAGGCTTTCCCGCTTAAGAAGGACGATTCACGATTCACGAAGCCTGACGGCGTGTTCAACTAAGTACTTTCGAGGATTCATCAGGCAGTATCAACGGACGGAGAAGACTGACAACTCCCATTGTGAGAACTACTATCACTGCTATCTGATATGCCTAGGATGGTGACGAACAGAATGGCATTCGGTACCGGCAGTGCTTTGGTACGTGACCTACTGTACACCCTCCGCCCCCACTCTTCACGCACAACGCAGATTGATCCGTATCTTAGCGCTTCAAAACCGGCGTGGCTGAGTAGTCTTCGGCATCACTGGTTGATCTCACGTGTAGAAGTGGTCGGGTTGGGACCGTCTTGGGACCCGCGCGAATTTGAAATCTCAGCGTGGACCGCATCCGCGGCATGGGCAGGGACCGCAACAGACTGTATGAAGGGCACCGCAGCATCGCAAGGCCTCGTTCAGTAATTCAGCGTCATTTGCGATCAACGGTGAACTGTGGGAATCTTGCAGGTGGTTCATCATGAGGCTTTCTGATATTTCAAGCGGAGTTGCTCACGGTGATGTACATCTGCCTGGAAACCAGCATAAGCGTACTCGCTAAGGAAGGTATTGTGGTTGGCATCAAGAGGCACTCCGATGCTAGAAATGTTCTAGTCTCTTTGTGGATGCAACGGCTTGATAGCCCGAGCTTGTTATCACAAGTTGCGGATGGACTCGCACCAGCTCTCTTCCAAGACTCAGAGGTCAAAGAAAGGAAGCTTTCTCAGGATATACCATGCTCGAGCTAGTAACGCGAGCAGCTACTCTGCGGAACAAGATTTGCTGCATGTCTCTCGGAATGGTTCAGTGCAAGTGCACGAACAGTGATCATGACGCACAACACCGCGCACTATGTTCAGAGCATCAGCGCGGCGACGCAGATGAGTAGACCTCGATTCCTTTACCACCACCGAGGCATCATGTTGGATAATCGAGGCAGAATGTGAAAGATCGAAGGAGAGCCATGACCGGACAAGAACACGGTCATAACAGACGTGCATCGACGATTAACATTGTGAGAGCAAGATAGCAACAGAAGTTCATGCGACATGACAGCAGAGCAGGATCGAGTTGGAAGCAGTAGGACAGGATATGCTGGTGTAGTAGTACAGGAATGATATCATTGAACCAATAGAGGAAAGCAATATAAGCGCAACTGTCAATGCAAGCGATCCAAGATGACGATGAGGTTGAGTCCTGTCAGGAAAACCTTGCCGGAGAGAAACCTGTTGGAACATCATCCCGGTAGCGAATAAATTGTAGGTCAACCGGATCGTGAGGATGTGGATGGCCCGCGTAGCCTGCAGCGGGATGCGTGGGTGTGTCCGCGGCAGCGAGGTGCTTGCGATAATGCCGACGCATGTTGGAATTGACGTTGAACCTCTTACCACACCCTGCGTATGGGCAAATAAACGCTGTTTAGACATCAGATTGCGGTCCGAGAAGGATGGGCATAGTGCGCGGAGAGTCACGTACGCCGTTCTCCTGTATGTGTATTGATGTGTATGCCTAGACTGCTCGGTCTGTTGAAGCGCCTGTGGCAGTGAGGACATTCATGCCGCCGGTGCACGTCGTCTGCGTCGGAGCGTACGTCAGGTGGGCTGCTGCCACCGTAAGCGCCTGGGCCAGACGCGCTATCATCGTCCGCCAATTCGTCGGATTCGGACCCTGATGGAGACAACGGAGACGCGGAAGAGTCCGCAGAGGATGATGGCGTATGAAGCCAGCGATCTTCACTGGACGTACGCGGGGTTCCGATACGTATGGTCCCACCCGGAGAGGATGTGCTCCTAGTGTGCGATGGCGATTGCATGTGGTAGGGATTACGCGTCGAAACGGAAGGATACGGCGGATGAGAAGATGGCAAGCTGTGGGCCGGTCCTTGTGAGCTGTAGTGTGGCGAATGAGACGAGCCGGGCAGTGGTTGCGGCATGCTGTGCGAGGACTGCGACGTGGACGCAGATGGGCCACCATGCCATCTTGACCTGCCGTTGTCTGCCGCGACGGCAGAATGAGAAGGATGCTGTTGGCGGGTGTCAAGCGCAGGCATTGGCTGCGGGGATAGGTAAAGCCAGCAAAAGATGTTAGCACATCGCATCTCACAGGCTGAGAGTCAGCGTACCGTAGAGGACCGCATTGTAGGCCATGCTTGTCTTCTAGAGCTTGGAGATGACTGCTGAGCGTGCCCGTAAAAGGCCGCATCTGAGTGGTGGTCAAGATCTCGCAGCTGAAGGAAGAGCAGTTAAGACAACACACCTGGTAGCAACTCGTGAATGCTCGGCAGCGAAAGACTTGGCTGAGAGGAAGGCATAGCGAGGGGTAGAAAGAACGGTGCCGCACGAATGAAGTCCATCTCTTATATAGACAGCGCCCGGATCGGCGGGAGGTGGCAACTGCGCTTCAACAAAGTTCGAAAGGCCGCAGGTCCCACCGAAAGGTGGCGCTGGACATATGTTCAGAATCCGATGTAAAACACCGAATAGAGCACGGACTTGGTAATGAAAACGATGGGTCCTCGGGGTTCTTGTCCCGAGTTGCCAGAAGAGTGATGCCGCAGATGAAATCTCTGCGACCTACACGCAGACCCTGCGCGGTGTATTGCCTCCAATCGAGGATCAGCCCGCGATGTGCCCCATTCGAGTCACAACAATAGCAGTAATGCATCGCCCATCGAGGTCTGTGCACCTAGTCCACAGACCGCACGAGCCTCTTTATCGCGCGAAGATGGGCTCGGGCTCGGAACCGCATGATGCCAGACAGGGTATCCACAGATGTTGAGGAGACGCCAATCTTGTTCCGGTGCCTAACTAGTAAAAGGGATTTGCGGACTTGCACTTGACGTGGTCGAAATGGAAGAGGGGCAACGTGTGCCTACACGACCGGGGCAATATGTCAGCACGCCCCGGTCTAGCTGTAAGCAGATTCAGAACAGATCGCTACTCGAAAGCTTCTCTCCACGACCGCCGAGCAAGCGCGCCGCCTCGCTCACCGCTATGGGTAGCCTTCGCCCGTCTCACTTTGCCACACTAGTGGAAACTAGACTGTCATTCACAGCGAACAGAGGATCGCAGGATTGCGATGCAAGCGCCTATGCGTGCCGAAAGCGTATACGTGTCTGTAGAGCCGATCTGCAACTGCGGCGTCGTCTACCTTAAGCTGTAAAGCAGCCGAGAGTCTACATTCGGCGCCCATGTGCATGCAGATCCCCGCCCTGCAGTCTTCTATCTGCAGTTCTATTGCATAACAGGTCCGTGAGTATCCTCGCCTACAGCTCAGGGCACGGCAAATGCATCTCATAGTACGTACCATGCGGCATCCCCCGCTACTGCGCCCTGCGAGAGATGCATCAGTCGGGCAGGCAGTGTCCTAGGGCGCACATACCCGTTGTCGTGCTGTCAACAAGTGGTAGTGACGGCGGTCGGCAAAGCTTCCGCGTGGGCTTTCCGCTCTGAAAGAGAAGCTCTACAGCCTGCACAAGCGTGATTCAGGCCTCCGGCAGCAGTGTGAGAATTAGCATCGGCTACTACTGTTGGTGACCGGGCTGCGAATCTGGGGGGCGCACTTGCCGCCTCTGGCCATAGGACGCGGTTCCGCAAGATCGCCTTCTCGTTTCAAGCGCTCGACTTTCCCGCTTGTTCACCGGGCGGTCAATGTTACGTCTCCCAATCGGTAAGCGCTCGGTGACGCGGACTACTCGTGGGTTTGGAAGGATCTCTTCTGGGCGCGCACGGTATTCATCGGATTTGGACCTTCCGATACGCTCGCCAGCGTGGGCGGCTGCACAGTTTATGCGTTAAGAAGGTAATCCTTTATGCAAGAGGAGGCACGGATCGACAGAGACAGGCGGTGCGCGTATATCAGGGAGGCAACGAGGAGGCGACGCTTAACGCAATCTTTGAGGCATGGCGTGAGTAGTTTGCAGTCTCGCAACGAACCTGATCTGCGCCAGGGTAGCCTCGACTGCTGCGGTCTGTGTGCGTGCTTTGGATATGGTAAGGGTGATTGGCATGTATTGTGCTTGGTTCGAAGAAGACGGAATGCGGAGGAAAGTGACGAGAACCAAGTGCTGGGCCGCCCGCAAACGCCGGCGGGTATCGGCGCGTTTGAAGCGGAGTTTGAAACGACAGCTCGGCTACTGCTGTCACTAGCCGCGGAAAGCAACGCACGACATCGATGAACACCTTATTGTGTAGACTGCACCCAAAGCACAAAATGATACGATGCTTCAGTAATAATAGGCATTGATCCGAGCGATTAAAAACGAGGGCTCAACCGGGGTTCGAACCCGGGATCCCTTGCAGACGGCTACACACCCAAAGCAAGTATCTTACCACTAGACCATTGAGCCACTAGGAGAGGTCTGGCTTATAACAATATAATCTTATCGTACTTACCTGCCAGCGTACGCCTCGACCTGCTCGCGGGATTAATCGCGGAGTCGATGCCGTATCCGACACAGTCAAACTCTGTAGCATATAGGGCTCTCCCGCCGTGACAGTGATATCTCAGTGTCATACAACATGTCCATGGCCGAGGCAGACCCGAAGTGCAATGTGGGTAAGTACAGGTAAGTACCTGACTTGGTTGTGAAGTTTGGGCTTACGCAGTCCGTACTTGCCGGAGTGAGGATTTGCGGGATTTGCGTCCCGCCGCGTGAAGATCAGTCTCAGCCCTGAGGGTGCCATGGTCCAATCTTTGTATAGAAGCTATTGCATCACGATCGCCGCAGCATTCCACACATTACGGTGGACTTCCTCCCAGAAGGCAGGTGCAACTACATGTATGGCGCTCAGAAGGCTATCAATCGTCCCTTCTCTGACAGCGCTCGTGGACGATGCCTCCCACCGGTCCTTGAATGACACGCGTCATAATAGGCGAGATTTACACACGTCGGAAGTACAGATTGAGAGATGGATTGATGAGGGGCTGTAGACATGAGAAGACGAGAAGCTTCGTGGGTAGGTCCACCAGTCTTCGTTGCTGCTCGGAAGCGAAGAATGTGCACGAGAGTTGGCTGTATCGGCGCTGTGGCGGCGCAATCCGGGACCGGTGTGGACCGTGACACGACGCGCCAGTCACGATCATGATCGTCGAACAAGTACCTCGCTATTCCCGAGGTCCACGATGATGCTGGACTTGTAGACTGTATAACGCATATAGCCACTGAGTAAGCGCAAATCGTCATGCTGACACAGGCGGTTACCCATCCGCGTCAGCTCCAAGAGTCTCGTCGCTGGAAAGTACTGTATGCACGGGGAACGCGTGCAGCATATACGGAATGAACACGGTTCCACGTTCCATGGAGCGCTGTGTCGCATTAATCTCGCGCGGATGATGAAGTAAAGTTGGACGTACTGTGAGCTCCCTGGGGATAATCTTTGGTGACAGCATCGCTATGAAGCTGTCCAAGTTATCTACGCCGGGCTTCGCCAGTACACGATCGTGAACCATGAATTATGCACCCTGCAAAAACGTGTTCTGGAGACGCTTGAACCGCGCCGGTTCGAATTATCTTTGTGCTTGAAGCTTGACAGTCTGTCTTCTCCCGCATTAGAACGCGTCCGAAGCACCGTCAAGGACATCTAGTGCGCCACAAAACCAACTTGCCACGCTAGAACGCGCACACAACATCGATCTTCCTGAGCCTGCATGCGGCAAGGCTACCGAAACTGCGACAGACGGCATAATGCGCAATGAACAAACTCACACTCCACGACGCGCATACCCAAGTCCCTCAGCTGTCTAGACCGCAGCTCAACTGCCGGTAATAGACCTCTCAGATTGAGTCGAGACCTCGAAGTCTCCAGTACAGCTCGCCGCTCCCGTTGGACGCAGAGAGTTCACACCAAAAGCAGCTAGCATATGACGCAGTCCTCCCTGAGATTCAGATTGTACATGGTTTTGTCCACGACCTTCTCTATCCGCTTCCAGTCGCTCCGCCTCTGCACAAACTCGTAAATGTCCTACGAAACACGGAAGGTGAGTCGACAGTCTAGAAACGGCGTATGAAAAGCGCACCTCAGGGCGATACGCACCGCCGTATCGCGTGACGTCGCGCACGATCTGCGCGAGGTCCTTCGCATCCTCGACGATGTACACGTGCCCCAACATCTTCAGGTTCGCAAAATCCGCTGTAAGCGACGGGATCTACGCGTAGGGTCGGTTGGCGTCAGTCTCACGCACATCAAGGGTCAGAACGGGCCCGAAAACGCGCAAAAACGGAGATGGCGAGTGGATAAGCCTCTCTGAGGATCGGCGCGCGGAAAGGACGGTGGACACTCTAGACTCGGAATCGAGCCCTGGGTTCCCAATTTCCCGCCGGCCGATTGAGCGGTGTATCCGGCTGACGATCAAGCGCCGCGGGGTGAGGAAGGACGACAGCGAAAGGGATCGGCGCCCCGGGGAGGCGTGCGCGATGGGCGTTCATGGGCGCCTGAAATATCCCCGGGTCCCACGGGCTCAGGTCCGCGGACTCTGCGCAACACGCGAAAGCGGTCATGTCGGTCTGCTTCATCCCTCAACCAGAGAGCACACACACAATGCAGACGTCGGAGGAGCACTCCCGATATAACGCCGGCGGCGTAGGAAAGAATGCAGGCCGGGCGAGGCAATGATCGCGAAATGCAGGGGGAAGCGAGATATGTTTGTATATCCGGTGGTATGAGAGCGCAAAGAGAAGTTGTTCGGCCAAGTAAGGTGGGAAGTATTGACGATTGAACGTACCTTGAGCGATGCGATGAATGCATGGTAAGCATTGAGGTCAGCGATAACCTGGAAGCCGCCGCTAAGGCTGATGATCTGCCGCTTGATGTGCTTCTGGAGGATCCTGTCGCCGGCGGGTATCAGCGACCACTTCTAACGCCTACACAGAGCATACAAAGCGGGCGGGTCAAACGGGTCACCGACAACGGGTTAATCGTAGCGCATGATGATTTCCATTGACCATCTGAACTGCGAGCACCACGGACCTCACTGTCCGAATCAATGTGCGTAGCAGCCGGAATAAAGCTGGCCGGGGGTGAACGGTTATCCCAATGGCTCAATGGCGTATGAGACCGAACAGTCAGAGGTGCCAAAGAGCGGGTACCTCGGACTTTGTACTGGACGCCCAGCGCTGCCGCCGGGTAGACCAGAACGAAAGGGCATAGCTCGCCGGAACAAACAATGGACCAACACCCGGAAAGGATATCCGAACGAATAGAGATAGACTACGCACCCGATGAGTCGTACGCCCAGCTCCGTCTCGAACACCTCCAGGACTTCGCGGTTCACATTGCCCTTTAGAAGCGAGATGTGGTTCTCAAGGCAACGTATCGCAGCTGTACAGCCGGCCGATGGTCCAAGGAGCAAGGGTGCGTCCTCCGGTGGGTAGTATGCCCGGGGAGGTGTTAAGGCGAGGATAATGTGGTCGACCTGTGAAGACGGATCAGTCAATTGAGTTCAAGAGAAGTAGTCGACAGAGGGGGCAAATGTAAAAGGTATAGCGCAAAAGCGGGCATAGGTGCGCATATGATGAGCCTCTCGCTGCTCGCAACCCTGTTTCCGGCGTCAACGCTGGCTAGGGCCGACGTTTAGAGAGCATCGTAAGTCAACCCAAAGTTAGAAAGCAGATAGGTAAGGCGCTCCGCAGGGAGGCAGAGTGACAAACGCCTCGACCTGCCATGCAACCTTGGTGGGGCAATAGATTGACGCGCGCGCATGGTGCGCACAACGCGAGTAGCGAATCCGGGTTTTGCAAACCCTCGGCTGCCTATGGTTGTGCCACGGATATGTCACGGAACGACCAGGTCTCCCCGTCTAATCATGGCAGTAGTCCGCGGACGCGGGTAACTCGCTGGTCATCGCTGCCAAATAGCAGCGGTGCCTCACAGAGACGCTCGGCATCGTCCATCGAGCCCAGACACCACACCACGATACCGCCGTTCGGTAACCCGCGATGTACGCGAGAGTAAATCGCCGCAAGCCGCCATATTTGTTCCTGTATGAACAGGAACAAGTGGCAGGTGAGCCCACCGGCGCCCACGGGGACATCTGCGGCGTATAGCGACCGCTCGTGCCTGCGCATCCCGGAGTACACTCGAATCGCCATGCGGGTGAACAAGGGGACCCCTTTACATGGCCCTTCGCCCATCGCCCAAAAGAAAGATAGGAAATGCGACACGAAATAGGTACATGCGCGGCGTAAATCACGCACCTGGTTCATGAGTACCTCGATACCCGCGTTCAAGCCCTGGGCCACACTGTCGTCCAGTACATTCTCGAACCGCTTCTTCTCCCGCACGACGGTGTTCAAGAAGTCGGTCGTATCGACATGAGGTGCCTAAAACCGAAAGAAATGGTCAGCGCTCGTGATCACAGAATTGACGTAGGAGGTAGAGGAAAGACGGCTTCAGATAATGTGCGCGCCGGGTTTGCTCACAAGCACCATCGGCCTATCCGCTGTACATGAGCATCTTCGGGATCGGGTGCGGGTCTGAGAGGGGCCTCGGCATGAGCCACGGCTGGGTCTGCAGGCTCGTTGATGTGACGACTGGACGCGAGATGACACTCTTGAAGCTCTCTTGGAGCAATCAGGAAGTTCAACTCATCGACGCTGACCGACGCTGCCCGATGTGCAGCAGCCGGTCGACAAATAACACCTCCAGCCCATCTGTCGTCCACCCTTGCACAGCCGTAGGTCGTCCTTAGACCACCGCGACCCGACTAGTCTGTCCATGGTGCACCCAACCCGCGACACGATAGATTCTCACTTACGAGCTCCTTATCAAAGTAAACCTGCACAATACTCTGAATCATATCCCCAATATGCACCAGCTCAAAGAACTGCACAAGCGGCGCCACGCTCGTCGACACCTTCTCGCCCTTCTCGCCCCAGCCCTTCTCACCCACCCCCTCCCCATCCGCCTCAACCCCCTCCACACCAGCCGGGCCCACCGCAGGCGGCTCGTACGTCCGCATCTGCTTTATCGCCGCCTCGAACCCGGGCTTGACGTGTCGTTGCGCGAGCGTGATGAGCATTTCAGCTGCGACGTCCTCGACCGTCGACTGCACGCGCGGGCCGACGGGCACGGGGTACCCGACGAACGTCTCGGCGCGTTTGAGCGAGTCGCGGGCGGAGTGGATGAGCTCGAGCGTTACGTCCAGCGACAGCAGCAGCTGCAGATTATCGTACGTCTTGCCCTTCTCCTTCCCTTTATCCTTCTCCTTGCTCGAGCCTTTCTCGCGGAAGTTGCTCCCGGAGGCGGACTGGAGCGTGCTGAACGACGCGACGGAGCCGCGGTCCGAGAAGGACGTGCTGCCCGTCACACTGCTCATCCGCGCGAGCGTCTTCTCGTCCTCTTCGTCCTCGTCGTCCTCGTTGGCCCATACAACCGGCTCCGCCTCGCCCTGCGCCTTATACCCCGCCCCGTCCGCGCCCGCACCGCTCGCGCTCGCGTCCGCGCCCCACCTCCTCGGATCCAGCATCGCGATGCCCTGCACCGCCGCACCGCCTACTCTCTGCGCCGCTCCGCCTACAGTTCTTGGCACGATGGTGACGGGTAGTAGGAGGACGTCGGTGAAGGATGATAGGACTGAGCGTTTGTTGTAGGTTTGGACTGTGGTGTGCGAGCCGGAGGCGCGCGCGACTTCTTTGTCCCATTGGCGGCAGGTCGCGTCGAAGGCGTGTTTGAGCGTTTCGACTTCTTCGTCGAGGTATTCGTCCATGTTGGGCTCGAACATGCGGTATCTGGGGGAGGGTGTGGATGTTAGCTTATGCGGTCACGATAGGCTGTTGTGAGATGTCGTGAATGTTCAGTCCCATGAGAGAGTGCATATATGCGAGCATGGTTGACCTTTCGTGGGCAGAATACATGCGGATTTGTCGTTGAGCCAGCGCCAAACGACATATGGGAGTACATTTCTGGGAGCAGAGTTGTGATTTAGTGGCCACGGAGAGTAGCGACCGGCATGGCCCACTCGCGGGCGTCTCAACGCGACCTGTACACGTCCACAGGAGTATGGGTCGGCTTTCCCACGTGTCTGCTGGGCTTCAAGCCCAATGCATCCCGATCTCGACGCCATAAAGACGTCTAGGTGGGCGTAGAGGGTTCCACGAGCTCAGTCCCTGCGGCCCTGAGCCTTCAGCTGCACGCCGAGCTCAACCCGCGGGTTTCGGTCGACCCACGACGCACATTGGAGACCTCTCTGACAGAGATCTCCGTACCGCACCACCACGCACACGACCACCAAAGCAAGAGAAGATCGGACATAAACTCACTTACACGACGTCCTCTGCCTGGACTTGAGTGACGAGCGCGTCTGGATCGGGTGCGGTGGACGCTACGGCTCTCAACGCGTCGACGAGACGCCATGCTTCGCGAAAAGCGGCAGCTGTGGCGCGGAGGAAGAGGGCGGATGTTTGTAGTGCGCGGGCTTGTGTGAGGAGTGGTGTGATGTATTCGCCGACCTACTACTCCGTCAGATTACACGTTTAGATGTGAGTAGAAAGAGTAGACATACGACTTCATTCGCCAACCTGTCCGCGAACGAAACGAGCACTCGACTCGCGGGCGGAAACACCCTAACAGCCCTCTCCCCATGCTCCCTGAGCGCCTCAATAACAAACACCATAAACCCATCCATCGGCCCGAAATCCAACTTGCCCTCCTCCGTAAAGTTATCCCCCGGCCTGAACCTCCCGCCCGCCGTATAAAATATCTCGCGCTTCTCCGCCCACACCCGCCCCATCTCCCACTCCGCGTCCCTCTGCAGCGTGGCTGTGAAGCTGATATCGCGATTGGGCGAGCGCGAGGCGGACGCGGTTGAGAGCGGGGGGCGGGACGCGGCCCAGACTTCCCAGGACGCGGACGCGGCGGCGCGCATGGCGTCCTCGTCGTCCCTGCTGTCCGCCTCTTCGAACGCGGTCAACAGCGCGGCGTCGAACCGGTCCGCCGCGGCCCGTAGCCCGGCCAATAAACTCTCCGCCCTCCGCAACGGGGCGACATCGGGCGAGAGGTAGAGGAAGAGCGCGTGCAGCACCCGCGCCTGCTCTTGCAGCCCCAGCGCGGGACCCGAGAATAATCGGCCGAGTATTAAATGCGGAGGCTCGAGCAGGGCGGGCGTGAGCGGTTTGAGCAGCTGGTGCGCGCGGCGGAACTGGGTGAGGGGCGTGGTGACGGCGGGCAGCGGTGTCGGGGCTGGCGCGAAGAACGAGGGCGCGACAAAATCGCCCATCTCGTCCGCCCCCGCGCCCAGCAGATCCACCGCATTACTCTGGCTCGCGCTCGAGAAATCGCCAAAGTCGTCGAAGCCGTCATTGTCGTTGGCGGACACGGCGAGCGTGGGCGGCTTGTTGGCCTCTTCGCCGCGCGCGCGGGTGTCGAGGACGTCGAGGGCGTCTGTGAGGGACGATAGGGGTGCGTAGCGGGCGGACCAGAGGGCGTCTGCGTGTGCGAGGCGGGCGAGGGCGCGGCATGTGCGTGCGTAGGACGGGATGTCGGGCACCGAGGCGTAGGACAGGACGGCGGCGTGGACGTGCAGCGGCACCCGGCCGATGAGCGGGCCGAGCGGGCGCGGGGGCGCGCGGGGTGCTCGGCCGTCTGAGGAGTGCAGCCGGACGGGCTCTAGCGCTTTGAACTTGTCCATCTCATGGGCGTTACAACAGTAGATACAGTTTACAGTTTACATAGATCTACAACGTCATTTCGTAACCACGCGGCCGTCATCAATTCAAGCCTGCCCGCGCTTCTCCAGGATGCCCACAATCTCGACCGCGCGCTCAAACTGCTTCTTCTGCTCAGCACTAGGCTTCACGTCGCTCTCCATCCTGCTGCACCCCTGCGGCGCGCTGTTCATCCAGCTCAGGCTCTCGCTCTGGTACATGATCCCAATGTCCTTCCCGTAGATGTCCGCACCAGGGTTCTCGCCCTCCGTCGGGAGCCCCTTGAGGATACTCTCGAGCTCGTCGACGAGCGCGGGCGTGTCGTCCGACTCGGCGTGGATCGACTTCTGCGGGTGCGGCTGGAGAGAGGGCGTCCCGTCCGGGCGCACCATCGACGACAGCAGGATCGTCGGCGCGCCGGACTCAAGGTGGAAGTCGTGCACCGCCGACGGGTTCGGGGGCGCAAAGCCGCCGGCAATGCCTGGGCTCTCGATCAGTGCCATCTCTCTCAGTATGTGGTCTATGCTGCTCACCGTGCTGAATACGGAGGTCAAAGGGCTTGGTCATGGCGGTGGGTGGTAGAGATAGTAGATCCTGCGATGACGTACGTCCGCGCGCGCTTGACTGGACGCCTTCGCTCTGAACACCCACAACCCCCAATCGGTCCTGATCTGCCCTGGTATATGCGCCTCATATCTCGCAATCCGTCCTCGATATGGTTATGGCGCGTATCTCCGTACCGTTCCTGCCCTTCCGCTGGGCCAATCGGCCTACGCTTTCACGAGCATCCTGTATGTAGAAGCGCCATTTGATTATACTATTTGATTATACATGTTCATCCTACACAACAGCCCTCGCAGTCCGATCCCTAACCCCCTTCAAGAACGGAATCGCAGCCGTGCCCCCCGTCCCCTTCTCAACTAGTACCCTCCCAACAACCCTCGGCGCAGGACTAACAAGATAAATCGCCGCGATCCGCACATGCACGGTCCGCATCTCCCTCAGCGCCTCCACGCACTTATTATACCCTTCCTTCTCGCTGACCGTTCCGGAATGTAGGATGTGGCTGCGGAGGGAGAGGCCGGAGGGTGTGAGGGCGTTTATGAAGCGTCGGTGCGGGCGGGGGATGTAGGTGCGCATGCGGTGCAGGAATCCGTTCGACTCGTGTTCGAGACCCAGCGCTGCGTCCAACGCTTGAATGATCGAGCTCTGTGCAGCCGTCGCGCCCGCCAACCCCGTCTTGCACAGCACCTCCTCCGTATCCCAATCAACACGCTCGACCCACTCCTCCGCTTGCATCTCCTCGACCTCTTCAGCCCGCATCCCCGAAGACGCGAAGGATAAACGCCACCCAAGCCCAGCCCCACCATCCGGCGCGCGCATCCACGGTCTCAGCGCGTCGTAGTATATCCCCGGCTCGCACCCCTCGCGCACGCTCTCGAGTATACGCGCCATCAGTCGGATGTCGGCGCTCAGCTCGCTCAGCGAACGCGCGATATCGTCTTCAGACGACATAGAGCGAGAGGACTGAGAGGAAAGCGCGGAGAGCGCGGTGTGCACCGCGCGAAGAGACGACGCGCCGACGTGCTCGATCCGCGCCGACGTCAAGTAGAAATGTGCCTCATCCGAGGTGTGCGAGAACGTCGCGCGGACTTGATCCAGGCTCGACCGCGCCGGCGACGATTTATATGACGCAGAAGAGCAAGTGTCGAAGAACGCCGGCGTGAGGTTGTAGAACACTGTATCGGCGTACGACAGCACGGGCGGCACGCCGAGCGCTTTGCTCGCTCGCATCAGCGGGACGGCTACTCCGGCCGGTAACACCCGTTCTGCGAGTGTACAGTCCGCCGGGAGGGAGTGCGAGTAGAAGTGCGCGAGGAAGGTGAGTGTGCTGTGGGCGTGGGCTAGGAGGTGCGGCGAGGGGAGCGGGAGCACAGGCATCTGTCAACGTGCGAGGCGTGAGTTGATGTTTGATTTGGGGGTGAAAAGAAGGCTTACATTGCGGATGGATTGGCGCCACGATTCGGCTTGAGGTGAGGAATCTGTGATCTTGAGCGGGAGAGCCATAGCGCGCGCGAGGAGGGTCTCCCATTCTGCGCATACAGCCTCGGGCGGCGCGGGCTCGAGGAAGCCGTGTTGGAAGAAGGGCGAGTCGAGCAGATTCGCGTCTTGTTGTTGTGCGACGACGGTCATAGCTGCAAGAGGAGTATGCGGTGATGATCGTATAAAGGTAAAGGTGTGTCGAGGTGATGATGTTGAGATAGAGCTCAGGAGCTTGACCCTCTGAAACAGCCCACCGTCATCCCGATCCCCCGCATACTTTATATCCCCGCTTCACCCTTCAGCAATCAGTGGTCTCATATGCCCGGAGGTCACGCCCGTCGGTTAGCGCTGTCATAACTCAGTTTGGGACTGGGCCACAAGCGCAAGATCCGCCCGGAGCCTGTTTTTTCGAGGACAATGGATCGGTTTTATTGGAGAGCTACATATGAACCCGCGCAGAAGCACAAGAAGATAGCGGCGGTGACAAACAGAGTCTTGTGTGTACAATATGCGTGAGCGAGAGATTTCGATCGCGTCGGTAACGATAGGCCCAAGGCGATGTATCGCGCGAGCGAGAAGCGACGCGCGCTACTATAAACGGGACTAGGTTGAGTTTGATGTACAAGAGAATATGCATCCCTCCTTGTGCGCGGCCAACCAACGGCCAACATCCATTTAATCTGCTTCCAGTACGAATCAAGATTGAATGGCACGCACGTTCATTGACAAGGGCTCGAGTGATACGTATCACTGAACCGGCGCACCGCCGGAAGGTCTTTCTGCGCTTGCGCCATATATCGGTAGACGCCACTGGCGCTACGAGAGCACAGGCAGCACTGTGAAGTCTCTCGGCTACGCCGTGCTTCATTCAAACTAAGCACTACATTCGACGTGTCGATGGGAGAAAGCAAACTCGAACAACAAGACGCGCGTGGCGTGTGGCCCATGACGTCACCCCAACCGCGCTCCGCCGAAGCTCCCGCCCAGAACGCGCCCCACCGCGCACACCGCCTTGACGCTCGCAGCGTCACCGCGCGCAGTTGCATACATAAGACCCTCTCGTCCCACTGACAACTACGACCACGACCGCTGTTGTCTGCTACGACCAACTACTACCCACGCCGTTATACCTTCACGCTCACGATAATGCCGTCCGCTGCTGCTGCACTGCCCGCTTACCCACCCACCGCGCACACGCACGGATACTCTGATTTGACTACGAAGCAGCCGACGCAGTCTGTCGCTATGTCTGCGCGTGGACCGCCACCGCCTAAGCAGAAGAACGAGCAGAGCGCGGAGAGGTTGAGGGGCGGTTGTGTACCGTGTCCGGTACGTGCTCGCATCCCGGGGTCGTCAAGTCTGATACTGACATGATTTCTAGGACGGTTCCATTTGCTGGATTATCCCCATTCCATGCTGCTGCTGCTAGAGGACGGCCATCTCATCACGAGCAGATGTCGAATGCGGCGAAACGATGACGATACACGACGGACTCGCGTGGCTATATTTCACTCGCGCCGGGGCCACGCCACGCCTGGACATGGACTTGCTCTCTGTACTACTATACTTGCGGACCTTATCACTCGATGTAGTATTTCCCTTGCTCTTGCTGTCAATGTGCATCGAATCGGAACACATCTAAAGAAGAATCGCCAAGTTCGGAAATCTGTCACGCGTATTGGACACCTTCGGATAAGTACGACCAGCGCTTATGAGACCCTTTCACCACGACCGTCATCATCGTCGAAGAGCTGTCTATTCGGGGTTCGCTGTTTGCAGTACTCGCCCGACAAAGCACGCGACATGGACACGAGTGCGCACGAGGAGGCAGAGATTGAACAGCCCAGCAACATCGACGATCTAGCACTTGAGAAGGTCGCCAGGTATGTTGATCAGTAGCTCGACTCTGTCGATTGGTTGACCGAGCGTGTGTAACGTCGTCAGCGAAGCCTGGAAAACTTTCACGAGGACCCGCTTCGATCCGCATGCAGGCTCCGCCACACCGCGTCGTGGGGGTGATGCAGTGAAACAGGCCGACCTTGAGCTTTCTGTACTGGCGAAGGTCGTCGGCTACGGGAGGCGGCAGCGCAATAGGGCCGTTGGTGCCTGTTCGCTACCGGCCGAGATACTTGCGCATATTTTCTTGTTTGCACAGGAGGGATGGAGCCCATCGGGTGTAGCCATCGACAAAGGCGGTGAGACCATGGTGGGCAACAAAAGAACGACCGTTGTGAGGATCAGTAGAAGGTATTCTCCAGGCTGGATGATACTACTCCATACGTGCAGCTTCTGGCGTCAGGCGAGTGCGCTAGTTGGTACGGTAAGAGTCCAGCGCTGACTGCTCAGTAGGTTGCACTCGACAACCCCGCGCTTTGGACTACTGTGCATTGTCTTGCCATAGATCCCCGATCTATCTCTACCATACTCTCTCGCTCAAAATATCTACCACTATATCTTGCTGTGGATGGGCGCTCCCACCTCTTGAACAACGCGAAGACACCAATCAGCACGCGAGGCTGGCTTTCACTGTCCGTCTTTCGACGCATAGCAAGCCTGACTATCACCTCTGTTCCGAACTTTCGTCTCCTGGAGTGGCTCAAGATGTTGAGCTCACCCATCCCACTCCTAGACAGCCTCGATATCTGTGGCCGGCCACCACAATCACAAGCCGTCATCGGCACCACGCACTACGCACGGGCCTCACTTCCCCATGACATCGATACTCCCAAGTTAAGGCGCTTAAAGCTCGTTGATGTCGGATTCCCTTGGACCCCTGCACTGTTCCGGAGCACGATTGCGTCACTCACGCTCAGGTTCGACACGAGCGAACGCCGTGATCAGGCCATTACCAAGTCTACGCCCACTGCTGAGCAGTTCTGCCAGATCATATCGTCTTTGACCAGCCTCGAGGACCTAGAGCTACACTCAGTATTCCCTGCGATACCGCCCGAGGGTGCACAGGCATACACCATAACGTTCCCGTCATGCTTCACGCGCCTGACTTTACGCAGCGAGAATGAATCCTTGGACGCATGCATAGACCTTATGAAGCATATGACATTCCCAACGCGCGCCGAGGTCGTCATTAAATTGTGCGCGCTGCCAGATGGCGCGAATCTGCAGGATGAAACTCTAGCCCTCATCCCGCGACTTTTTGGGTCTGTCGATGAAGCTTGCCCAACTGAGCTCTGGCTCAGTAAACACGCCATCTGCCTGCAATACGTCGACCGGCCGCAGCAGGGTGTGCTAACTGGGTCACGCCCCGGATCCAACATGGAGTGGTCTGGATTCAAGATGGCCGCGGGCGGGCGAGGGCTCTACTCGGAGCAAGGTCATGAGAACATTGAGGATCTTCCCCCCATCATCTCCTACACCCCCTTCTTACCCTTGCGGACTTTGCAAACCGTCATCTGCACGCCCGGTGCCGCTTCCTTCGTCGCTGATCCCACGAGCACCTGGATCTCTTGGTTTGAGTCCGCCAAGAACGTCGAGAATCTGGCGATATACCGCGAACGCGCGCTTCACATGCTCGAGGCTCTGGGGCATAGGAACGGCGACGGGCAATTCCTTCTATTCCCGTCGCTATGCACGCTTACCCTACACTCGTTGAGCCCACCCCCAGAGACCACCTGTTGGGGGGACTCCGAAGAGGAGGAACTGCGTGTCGCAGTCGAGGTTGCGCTCCTGGAGATGTTGCAAGTTAGGTGGGAGAATGGTTCACCGGTGAAGAAACTATCATGTAAAGCCCATATGGAGATTTCTGTGGGAGAGGAGGTATGGAATAGGCTAAGAGCGTTGACCGATGTAGAGTTCTTCCCGTAGATGTTACATCTATCAGTACGACCGCCGCTAAGCCTCAGTGGGGATCATTGGATCATGCCATAAGCCTGCAGCTACGTAGGTCGACGTTGCTTACTACATCGTGAGCGCCCAGCGTCCTATATATAGTCCGGAGAACGAGCATATACCACATGAATGTCTCATTCTACGCAAGGCAGAAGAGTCAGACCCTGCATACACTTTGTGAAGAGCGCTTGGGACAAGGTCGGGTCCGAAGAATTCGAGTGCGAGCGCGCGGGTCACGCGGCTTATTGTTTCAGATTGTCGCTTTCGACGCTGGCATTGTCTTCTCTCACCGTCACCACCAGTATACGCGCGCTCTCATCTATCTCGACTGCTTGCAGCTCAATGTCGGGGCCGGAGCAATCTCTGAGAAGGACTATGATGTCTTTTCTCGATAAGAAAGAAGAATTTCTTCCTCAGCTACGACGCACCGTCCTGTCTACAAGTGGAGAAGGACGGCCCGATATCCTGTGCGTTCACCGGGATATCTACTTGTCTGCAGTACAGTGACTGAATTGTATGTCAGAAAGGCCTGGGAAACCTTCGTGGAAGCACGGTTTCGTCCTCATACGGTCTCCCTTGCTCCACACCGACGGCAAGAGGAGCGCGTATGGGATGCCGATCTCGAGCTCACTGCCCTTGAGATGATGGCTGTGAAGGCCCGTCAGCATCGTAACAAGGCTACCACGGCTTGCTCACTACCACCGGAGATCCTTGCATGCATCTTCTCGTTTGTTAGCTCGGAATGGGCACCGCACGGGAAGGCAACACTGGGTGGCGCTCATGCGGCCAAAGTTAGATATTCATTGGGATGGATGCAGTTGCTTCATACATGCACTTCCTGGCGTCAGGTAATGCGATATCTCTGCGCTAGAATGCTGACAGCGCTGATCTTCCCACAGGTTGCGCTCGGCATGCCGGAGCTTTGGACACATATACGATGTCTAGATCTGCACCCGCGATCACTCCCGACCTTGCTCGCTCGTTCGCGTCTACTACCACTGACGATACATGCTGATGGAAACACGACCATGCCTGACGGTGTTGCAAATCCGTCCGTCTCACGCGGCTGGCTCACACCTTCCGTATTCCGGCGTACAAGGAAATTGGTCCTCGAAAACATCCCCAATGCTCTCCTGCAATTGTGGATCAACGAACTACGGCATCCTATGCCACAGCTTGAGGTCCTCGAGCTGACTGGTTATGGAACGTCGGACGGTCTCGAGCCCCGCCCCGTACTTTCTTCAAGCCTCTTCGGACGAACTGTGCCAACGAATCTAAAGAACCTCAGCCTAGTCGATATAGGATTCTCATGGAGCTCTCACATTCTCGCCACCAACCTCAGATCGCTCAAGCTCCAGTTCACCGACTCTCCGCTCAATGATCCCATCATCGCCAACTCCATGCCCAACCTCCAGCAATTCCATCAAATGTTATCCTCCATGTCTGCTCTCGAAACGCTGGAGTTGGAGGATGTATTTCCCATGGCCGCACCTATTGACGCCCAGACACTCGTGTTCCCGGAACGATTCAACAGCTTAACCATGTACGCAAGCAATGACAGCGTCACGTCATGCTTAGATCTCTTGGAATGCATGGCTCTTCCCGAATGCGCCAAAGTGACAGTCAACCTCTCGACGAGAGACGACCTTGACGAACGAGTACCAGATCTGCTCTCTCGACTCTTCGGCCACCGCGACGACGCTACCCCACGCGAGCTGATGATGAGCCGATTTTCCATTGGCATGCAATACGTTGACCACCCGCAAGAGAGCATCATGAAGGCGCCAATACCCAGCTCACTTGGCTCGTGGGCATCCTACCACATGGCAGCAGGGGGCAGAGGGTTGTCTCTCGAGCCCGTCGGTGCTTCATTACCGCTCAGCTATCAGATCAACTCTCTTCCGCTCAAGGCATTACACACCATAACTTGCGCTCACGACACGCACCGGTCCTTGCAAAGCGCTCTTGCCTGGTCAAACTCGTTCGCCACGGCCAAAAACGTTGAAAACGTCTCGATAACATTCGATGCCGCGCTCCACCTCTTCGAGGCCTTGGTCGAGACCTCAGATGAAGGCGACTTCATTCTGTTTCCCAACTTGACGACGATTTATCTTCATGCGCCGAAGAGGCCCGGCTACAAGACACAGACAAAGATCGCAGAGCTGCATCTGGCGTTGGAGGTTGCGTTATTGGATGCAGTGCAACTCCGCAGAGAAAAGGGCGCACCGATCAAGAGTGTGCGGCACGAGTATGGAGTCGGCTCTCGCGATCTTTGGGACCGAGTGAAGGAGTTCGCCGAGATCGACTCGTTTTTTCCACCGTAATACAGTTCTGCAGACGAGGGTGGCACAATAGTTTAGATGTTCACAAGCTAATAGCCGTTGCAATATGCGGGTGTACCATGCCCAAATACATGACAGTGTTTTGGGGATTCGACCGATACTCCGTGTTAGACAAACAAATTCGTGCTTTGTACACATATCGTTGATAAGTACTCGATGTGCGATATATAACTACTGAATCCTGGGAAATAATACGTCGCGTTGTGTCGCCGCCTGAACCACGCACTGTTTTCCAACGAAAACCACCGGAGCTCCGCCTCTGGGCACCCTTCCACGCCCTCAGCGGGCATCCTCAAGGCTTCCCGCAAGCTTTCCCTGCGAGATCCCAATGCACGCGGGCAAACACCGGTGTGGCCTCCAACTTCAAACCGCACTAGAAGTGATGTGCCCAATCTTTCTGAGATCTCGCTTTGATGTTTACGCGCGCAGCCGAAATGCAAGGTTACAAACAAGTGTGTCATGTCAATCGTATAGTAAAACTCAGGTCCGAATTGTTGATGATGAAAGGTGCCGGAACCATCGAGGTACGGCGGCCTTCAGCTGTCGAGATGAGGTGACCAAGGCCGGGTCGCGGCCAATATGCATCCTATCCCCGCTACGTCGGCGCCTATACTCGCATACATGAGGGCGGGGTACATATAGTGCAGCGTGCACCTTCGTCCATTGCTCGTGCAGGTGTGTTGGTGACTTGCAGAAGATATGAACACGCGCACAATGCCGACAATTGAGATCATCGTGCCAGCAGCACTGAAGACAGTCGCGATTGTTCTAAGAATTGGGTGTTGGGCTGCCGCTCCTGCGGCAGTCAGGGAGAGAGCAAAGACGGTGACGCCGATCGTGGCAAAAAGTGTCATCTGTACGGTTATGACCGTCAAGAAAAGAACCGTATACTGACGACCAGGCTGGTAGCTCACCACTGCAATAACATTTGAAGCTTTATGCCATACAACAGACATTCTATGAACGGCCTGGGGCTGCTGTGACGCGATGGGCTGCTTTGAATGGACCACGGACGAATGAGGAAGAGCGTGTACCTTAGGCAAGAAGGAGGCTCACCGACTCAAAGGGTATATCTTCATCTCGACCGCCGTCGTCTGCTTCCACGTCTAAGGTTCGCTCTCTCATCTCCGGAACTTCGTCATCAGGAGGGATCAGTAAGTAAGGCATCTGGAAGTTGATGTCAGCATAAGAGATGAGAACAAGTCTGGCGAAGTCGTACGAAAGCCAGAAAATCGGAAATTCTTAAGCAGACGTATGGAAATCAGCTGCGAACGTCGACTTACTGCAGAAGAAGAGAGTCGATGTGGGGTCGGCCTATCAGCCGTTTCATCTCTTATGTCCCTCAAGTGAAGACGTGGTGCCGGCTACGAGGGGAGGGGTTGATTCAGAAGAGAGCAAGACGCCATGGTGAGCCTGGCAACTGGAGATGGACATACTAGCGTCGGACTCACTGCTTCCCAACTTATACCGGGTAGACGCCCTTCACTGTCTTCCCAGCCAGACTCTGGCGGGATAGAGTAATCTGGGCCTCTGTACCAGTAGGACATAACAGAGAACCAGCTGAAAAGACACGACCATGCCTACGCCATATTAGCAATCAACTTCTCGAGAAATTTCGCCAATTGGTCTCACGAGTATGACAAGCGTTACCGGGCGCAAGTCTGCCACGTGCATGCTAACCCTCCACGGATTCGTCGCAGACATGATAGGGTATCGAGAGAAAGGCGGTAAATAAAAGGATGCTCGCGATTTCCCTAGGACGGTTGGAAAGAATCGTACTCGAGAGTGACCGGGGAGAGCAAAGACTCGTGAGAACCTCCACACAGCAGGACTCGTTCTTGAGCACAGCCAACGTGCCCTACCCGCATCTCCGATGACAGCTGACGCTCACTCAAAGCGCCCATATGTCTCCATATGTCCTTCTACAAACCTGAACTCTCCGCATCCAACAGCGCCTCCGCAATCACGTATCAGGATATCCTGCTGGGCCATACGTTCAAGTTTCAAGGCGCACCACCAGCGCGAGAAGAAGATGCCAGCCACCCCTAGCCTCAGAGGACCATATCGGGAGACTGGCGTGCAGTCGAAGGAGCTCACATATCTGAGTTGTCTTTCGCCAAGTTGCCATCTTCGAAGTTCGCACAGCCTCGTACGATCAGTCTGCACGGGCCCGACCCACCTGCCTCTGACTCGGGTCAGTACAATGATAGGCTGCACACGGCTCGATGTTGTTCGGAAGTCACTATACCAGTGACCGGCGGGAGCAGGTTGTCCCATTATACTAGCGCGGGGATAAGACAAGTTTATTTAAGCAAATAAGCCGCCACGTGGGAGCTAGAATAATATCTCAATACTCTGATTACTTGGTCAGACTTCGGGAACCCAATCGCTATGTCGGTATGCTCCACGTAAATGAGATAGCCAGGGTATTCAGACAACCACAATCCATAGGAATATGGCTAGTCAAGGTTGGATAATCTGCGCGCAGCGTTAACGCACTCAATTGCCAATTATATACATCCGGCGAACCAACGGCGAACGCAGATATTGCAGGGCTCATAGCGGGCCCATATGTACAAGTACAACCTCGTATAAGATGAGAGTCAAGGGAAGGGTGAAGGGCGTGAGTGACAACAACGGTTCGAAGAGGTTGGACGCCAGAGTGTGGGGGTGTCTAGTCTGGAATATGAGCATGGAACGGCGATAGCGCACGTCATCGATGGATGGAAGAATAGACAGCGAGGCGAGGGGTATGTGATGTAGTAGGTGTAGATTGATGTAGATCCTCAACAAGTTTAAATCTGGGAGCAGGAGTGTAAGTCGGAGGCGGGCATGGGAATGGCGGTAGTAAGGGACAGTGGATTAGGTAGCGCAACAGTTGGAGAAGTCGATGAACAAATCTAGAGAAAGAGTTCAAAGAAGGGGAGTATTAACGAACATCCGAGAAAGAATTCCAAAGAACGAGGCGACTGAAACGCGAAACTCATATCATGACAGGACCAGAGTAGCCCAGAGCATTGGCAGGCGGCGGCGGGCGCGTCGGCATACGACTAGTACCCGAGCTCTTCCGGTATACCATGCCAGTGCCTGTCCTGGGGCGCGGCTTCTCGCCGTCGGCGAGAGTGGGTTGTGACGTTGTACGAGGTAGGCCAGAGATGCGCCCAGGTCGGTGGTATCCGCCTACTATCGATGTCGCCTTGGGTGGCAGAGGAGGAACAGGTTGAGCTTGCAAGTCCGCAAGGATATTTGGGCTGCTCAGACTGGCAGTCAACAATGGGCGTGGCGTACGAGGCGTGGTGGGTTGTGTCGCGATGCGTTCATCCGGTTCTGAGGCGCGGCGAGCATACTGCGAGGCCGGACTGCTTGCATAGGACGAAGTAGATGCGTTTGAGTAAGGCGAAACGGGAGCGCTTGCAGTGTATGACACGGCTGGAGTAGTCCTGCTTGTGTCCAACGGCGTATCCGGATACTTGCTGGGTTGACGCAAACTCTTTGCGCTCGACTTGTGGCGTAACGAGCCCGTGCTGGGTTTGGGTACGAGACTCTTTGTGCTTGGCTGAGGGCGCACGCTCTTGGCACTGGGTTTACGCGTGAGTGCTGGTGTCCCCGACGCTGGCTGACCAATCTGTGTAGCGGCGGAGGCAACATCGGAGCGCAACCCTTTAGAACTCGGTTGACGCCGAAGACTGGGTGCTGTGGTACTTGCAGTACTCGGCTGACGCGACAACACGCTGGGTCCGCGAGACAACGAACGCGGAAGCGGTGGAAGGCTCTTCTCGCGGTCCCATGGGCGTGTACGGGGCGGTGGATATCCTAACTCGAACCCATCGGGTGTACGCAGACTGGTACTGCCTGTACTCGTGCTGGCGCCTTCGTCGTCATCAAGATCTAAGGATGGCTCATCCCCGAGCGAGCGCGTGCGCCCGGCATCCGAAGGTCGCAATGATTGAGAGCTGGACGATGAAGGAAGGGGTGGGGCAGAGATCGGCGGCTTTGCGTAGGAGGAAGGGGGCGCAGAAGGCCGCGACTTCGTACGCGAACGCGTGGGCATGGCTTGAGCGTCTGAGGAAACCGAACGAGTAAGGCGGGAGGGTCGCGAAGGTGTACGGGACGTGGAGCTGCCGAGTGAGCGGGTTGAGTTCTGGCGCGCTAAAGCAAGGTTTGACAATCGGCGTGTGAGCGCAGATGGCGCATCTTCGTCTTCACTGTATAAGAGATGTAGTGATCAGACATGGAAGGTAATGCGAGGATAGATGAGCGCGCACCTGTCGCTCCAGCCTAGACCCGTTGTCAAACCCATACCGGCACGCAGAAGCTTGCCGTCGCGGTGTCGTACCCGTCGCTGTAGCGTGTCGCGGTCATCGCGATAGTGACCAGATTTGGTCATCGCTATTGAATGGCTATGAGCCGGCTCACGAGATAGTCATCGAGCAGCACGAACCTGAATTCACACTGAGGGTGCTACCCGGTCTGTCCGCTGGCGTTCCTGCCCGCGAGGCACCGACAAGCAGCTTCGAGTTCGGGGAGAGCATGCCGTGTCGCAGCATCAGGTTCCTGTCGGTTTGGTTCAGCAACAAGTCGCCATCAAGAATGGGAAATACTTGCGGTAATGGCGTATGTAAATCGAGGCTTGAGTCCGAGTCGTCTCCACCGTCTTCCTCGGTACCAACACGTTCGGTAGCCTCAGCTTCGTCGTAATTACTGGCATCGTCGAGGGTACCAAGCCCATGTCCACCGGAGATCACAGTTCCGTAGTCGTCGATGAAACTGTCTTCATTCCAGTCCTCCGTGCCGGCGCGAGATGTTGATGCCACAGAAGCGGCGTACGGCAGACTGCTGTGCGAGAAGGTGGAGCTCGCGTAGCGCCCGCGCCCGCCGGAGGATGAACTGGAGAGTGTGCTTCCGGCGGAGCGCACCCGGCTTCGCGGGCGCGACGAGCTCGGGGATGACGGTCGGCGAGGTCGAGGTGTTGTAGCGATCATGGTCGCGACATCCGGACTCGCCGCGCGAGTAGGGGAAGATGGGCGCCGACTCCGCGGCGTATCCATGGTACCGAGTCGACTCTTGTGCGTCGTACTCTTCGAGCGAGCCGCGCGCATCTGCATGTGCAAAGCACGCGGGTCTAGGGGTCCGTCGTCGTCGTCATCGGAAGGAAGATCATGCATGTCGACATTCGCAAGTTCGTCGTTGGTCGGAGGAGGGAGGGGCGAAGGTGTCAATCGTGGGATGTCTGCGAGAGATGTGTGCGCGATGCTGGAGCTGTCCTCGTCGCCTTCGCTAATTGCCTCAGCGCGTGGCGAGTGTGGTGAGCGAGGCGAGCGGAGTGGAGGTCGAGCAATGCTGCCGGGAACGGCGAGGGAAGCGCTCGAAGCGTATGAGCGCATCGAGGACTGGGAGTCCTTGCGACCATGATGGTGGGGGTTCCCGAAAGTGTGTACGGACCCATTGGGAGAGGCGGACCGACGAGAAGTGAATGAGCCAATGGATATTCGGGAACGTTGGATAACGCTTAGGTCCTGCTGGCTGATAGGCGACGGGCCGGGAACAGGCGGCAAGGGTCCACTGGGGGGCAACGACGGGGGTGGGTTTCCCGACGGAGAGGGCGGGATGTACGAGGGCGGTGTAGGAAAGTCGAGCAATAAGTCGGGTACCGCCAGCTGAGACGGTGGCCGCAACGACGAGAAGCTGGGGCGGCTCATCGCTGGCAGAGTTGAGAGAAGAACAGAGGGGTCTGGTCGGATGGGTAACCTGGAGAGTCTTCACAGGCACTGAACTATACTACTAAATCTTCCGCCCTATCGGCTTTGATGGGGCTAGTTAATATCGACAAGTCGCCGTTGGGCCCGCGCCACAACAATGCCTGGAGCAGGCTTGTCCAGACCCGGGTTTGATGCAGACCGAGACGAGTGAAGGCAGAGGCAAGAAGATGGCGGCGAGCCGGAAAGGATGCGAGTACAACCGAAAGGACAGCAATTGTCGCGCACATGCGCACACCGAGCCATGCATGAATTTCACACCCGAACATTACTTCCGGTGCCCCGAACCCATTATCTCCGTCTCCGCTGTTACACTCACCTCGCTCGGTCGTCGCCGTCCTCGTCCAAGCCAGGCTGTCCACGATGTGTGTTCCGACTTTCTTTCCGAACACTCGCTGCCACGATCTCCAGCCATCCTGGGCAGTTGAACTGCTTAAAGCAGCGCCCAGCGCCACTGTCAATACGCAGATCTAGCAGGGCTTCCTTTTGATCCCCCGACTTGCTGCGCCTGATCTCGCACGCGCTCCCGACCGACGTTGTACGAAAACACGCGGCTCGCAACCTCAGAGCGGACCGCCATGCACGACCTCGAGCTCGACGCTTCGATGCGCGCCCTGCGCTTGCACTAGCCCGATTGCCACCTATCTTCATTCATTCCATCCTCTTCATTCTTACAGACTCGCACAATTGCTCTTCATTTTACTTGTCACTTAAGGCTCGCCGTGTTCCTACGCGCAGTATCACGTCGGGGACGCGACTCCTACGTACGTTCCGCGGCCATTTGATAGCTCACGTCGACCCGCCCCCCGACGGCGCCGTTGTTCCATCTTCAACTGTTCAAGCACTTTAACGTTTAACGACCACATGCCTTCCGTCATGCATCATGAGCGCTAATCCATACTGGGAGATGGCAACAGCGGATGGGCATGAGAAGTTACCACACGATCGGACGGAGACGGGCCACATGGGGAATGGATACGGGTGTGCGTCGTGGGCCTGGCTGGTGGATGCTTCTTTTGTATGAGTCGTAGCTGGCGATGTCGCTGTTTACATGCACTGCTATCGATATTGAGTATGCTGTAGGATGCAACTACCGGCAAGCGTACCGAGACGAATAGCATGTCCGATATAGCCGATACGCAGTACCTGGCCCACGCATCGAGCCCTTCCTTCTCATCGTCGTGACTGAACGTCCTCACGCCTATCATGCCCGACCCGACATGAAGTAGACGAGGGAGAGCGACACACGTCGTTCGAGCGGAGCGCGCAGAGTTTCCCAGCCGCGTATATGGACACTTGCCTTCACAAATCTTGATAATCTTGATGTGGCGAGCAACGGGTTCAATTGGCCCTCGTTAGGATCGTAGTAAGTTCTGTTGTGCGAATCCTGCACATTGGCCACCGTTTTCTTTTCTTTAAGACATAGACACTCGAATACGCGAACACACTTGAATTTGCGAACTCTAGATCAGAGGGACCTGAAGGCCAACGCAAGGGCCTGTACTCTATTAACAGTACATTCATGCAGAACATACACAATCAGTTGTAGAACATACACGATCAGCTGTCTCGGGTACGAGCGTGTTACAGCACCGTCGATGTGCGGATTGTAATGACGTGCGTGATAGGTCCTAAAAACGCGGACTGCTAAGCATATCTCAAATAAGCATGAGTTCTACTCGATGTGTATATTCGGCTGCAGACGCTCGTTCTAAGCATTTGGGATTGTGAGTCAGTAAAGAACGTAGCGATCCGTCAACCTGCTGTCTGAGTGTATACGTAACAACACGGACAGAGACGGTCAGTCTCACGCTTGCAGATCCGTATACAGCAATGACTGGATGAAACCCATGGTAACTGAACGAGACGCCGGACGTGTCATACTGATGCGAGGGTCAGACAGGAAGTGCAATATCCCAGATAGTCCTTGGGAGAACAAGCGACAGCTCAGATAAGATACGCCGCTGGATAAGGAGCATAGCTGTCAATGATCCATCGTTCGAATGTTGATGACCAGCAAATCACCAGGGGTTCATTTTGAGTTTCAGCCGCTGGGTGTGGCCACTACTCCCGTAGGCTATCCTGCGTCATTCCGCATCTGCCAGAATAAGACGGACTAGGCAAATATGGAGACAGGTATGCCAACGACCCCGGAGACGAGATCAACGTCCATGGACCACAACCTCGAAACATGAGATATGACTGATTCGGAGTTCGGGGTGTTATCTACCTTAGCATTCGTACCGGTTGCACGACATGATCAACGCGGTCGGGCGCCTGAGTTTGAAGGCTCCAAGCTTCGGAATGGTCCAACAGAGCGATGCGATGGTGCAGAGAGTATACAGACGTAGAAACAATGCGTCATGATATTACAGCGTGATTTCCCGGACACCGTCCTTGTCCACAACCTTGACCTTGTAGTTTCCCGGCGCTACAACGAGACGCTTCGCCGTCTCGTCGATGACCCGACGCAAAGTGTCCAGACCCTCCTCGAGTGTGCCTTCCGGGTTGTGATACCTGTGTAACGCATCAGCCCTGTTCGCAGTCGCCACGGCTCGACATGGGAACGGAACATGACGGATTCCTCCTCAAAAAGAAGTTGGCTTACCTATCGAGCAAACTGAGCGCAAAGTAGCTGCCGTATCCGTGCGAAGCGAACGGCACGGTAGCCTGTGTCCCGAGATAGTCGATCCAGTACAAATGCGGCTTCTCTTCCGCCTTATCGTATCCACCCAGCAGCAGATTCACAGAGTATGGTGACCGTGAGCGCAGGCTGTTCGCGAGTGCTCGCCGAATCCATGCTGCAGCGCTTTGCGGGCGCAGGCCGTGGACGTTGCGGATGTGGTATAGGCGGATATTGCGCTCGACGTATTCGGCAAACTGTACAGTATCACCTGAATAGTTATATTAGTAAGTACTCTGATGTGCGTTAGATATAGTAGATGCATTACGCACCGGGTTCGCCGGAGTATGCCATGAGCAAGTGTGGGCTGAGCGTCTTGATCTTGTCCTCGTCGATCTTCATCTTGACGATGGACCGCGCTGAGGTGGTGTCTGCAGCGACTATGACATAGTCCTTTCCAGTGATAGCAAACGAGCACTCCATCTTGTCTATACGATGGAAGCTGACGGTGGATGAAGAGAAGGAAGCGGTCTCGCGAACGCGCGCGTGCTCGCGTCGCGGACGCGTCAGTTCGACGCGCGTCCCGGGATACGGGCCGACTACCGAGGCGCGTCAAGTGTCTTTGACATTACGGCGAGGTTCTCGCACGATTAAGGGTGCACAATGCAGTATTAGAAAGAGATAGCTAGGGCTACACATAAACAACGAAAGCTCATTAGTCTAAGTGAATCAAGCCTCAAACATCGCTGGGTCGACCTCAACCCCGTACTCCCTCTTCATCATCTGTGCCATCTGCGCCTCCAACTCATCCTCAAACCCACGCTTCTTCTGCCTATGCAACACCCAGTTCTTAACTTGAGTCGCAACAAACGCTGCGTCAATCGCGAACATAATCATGTAGAAGGTCGCTTGGTGCAGGTACTCGCGTGCACGGGCGGCGATGGTCAGACCTTGAGCCCGCGGGAGGGAGTCAGCAGCGGCATATGCGGTGATCTTGACGCGGTTGACGGGTGAGCCGAACATCTGGTTGTTACCCTGTACCATTCTATGACAGTGGTCAGCCTCACGTCCGTATGCATGATGGCTCGAGCAGATACATACCGCATATTACGCCCGATGAAGACAAGCTCTTTGGGCATCTTGTCCGTGTCCGTCAAGAAGCTCTTCAACCTCTCCTTCATCTTGATGCTCAGCTCATACTGGCTCAGCTGCTTCGTCTCCCCGCTCTTCTTCTTTCCGTCCTTGGGCACGCGCATCGGTCGCATCAGCGTCGCGCTTGCGAACACGTCCGGTGCGCCAATCCCCCACTCGATCGCAACACGGCGGACGGTATTCATATCTGCCGCAAGCAGCCCTTTCCATAGCTCCGCATATTGCCGTTGGAACTTCGGGTTGAGACGGACGTAGAGGCCATGGTCGAGGAGAACGAGTTGCGGTTCGCCCTTGTACGATGGATGCGGGTGTGGACGGAGGAGGAAGTTGCCGGGGTGCGGGTCTGCGTGCACCCAGCCATAGCGGAAGATCGCGGCACCAAAGAACTCGGTCATCGTCCGCATCACCCACTTTACCCCTCCCTTCAATGGCGCATTGACCCCGAGTGGCAGTGCCGTCGATGTGGTCGATGCCGCGTCGTCGGCGTACCCGCTCTGCGAAGCTGTGGGAAGACGGTGCGCGTCTCCTTCGCCCATGAGCGCCATGATCGCTTCTCGATTGCTCAACCGTACACCATCAATCCACTCCGTTGTGAGGACCCTCTTGCCGCTCTGCTCGCCGTATATCCGCGGGACGTGCACCTTGCCGCGCAGTTTGTTGTCCTGCGAAAGTAACTCGGACGTCTTTCTCCCGTTTATCGCTTCTCGCTCGAAGTCGAGTTCCTGCCGGAGGTGGTCGCTGATGAAGTCGACGACGAAGTAGGTCGGAAGCTCGAAGTACCATTCGTATGCCCAGAGTACGCCGCGGAACGCGAGCAGGTCGGGTTCCATCTGTTTCGCGACAGCCGGCTTTTGAATCTTGACGGCGACGCGAGTCCCATCGTGAAGCACGGCACGATGCACCTGCGCGATACTCGCGCTCGCGATGGCATCCTCTTCGAAAGACGCGAATAAACCATCCGGACCTGTCAGCGGTCGACCGCCAAACTCCGCCGAGAGTACACGTGAGATGGTGGTGAAGGGCAAGGATGGTGCGTCGTCGAACAGGCGAGAGAACTGCAGCTGCATGGGTTTGGGCAGGAGCGCGGCGTTGGCGCCTATGGCTTGTCCGAATTTGATGTAGAGTCCGCCATTGCCTGTGAACAGGTCGAATAGACGCTGGGCGACGCGCCCGTGGAGATCTTCGATCTGAGCACTCTTTTCCTGAGTAAAGTTGAACTTGTAGTCCGCAACGATTATAGCGCACTGACGGGATAGTGAGCATTGTGCGTGCACACGAGCAGTAAAGGCGAAATTGACGCACGGTATATAATGTTCTAAAGTTCCTGGTAAAAGTACTGGCGTAGAATTGATTGTCCACAACATATCCCAGTCCGACAAAGCCCGCGGTGTAAGCTATGCGTCGACCATACTTGACTAACCGCGAGGGTTTGACGGAAGCAGTCGCTGAAGTCGAGAATGCGGGGGAGGAGCGGAACGCCGCGGCATACGTTGTGCGGCGGAAGGCAGAGGAGAACATCAACCACCCCGGAACTGGAGATGTAGTCTATATGAATGAGCTCGGTAAAAGCCTCGGTGCCATGAGTGGATGTGGCAAGATGGCTGGCCGGCGGCACGCGCGCCCGACACAGTCGGAGGCCTGAGATCGTGTGTCCACACCGCCGTCATTGCGGTCTGACGCGACTGGCTCTTGTGGACTACGCACTCACGAACCAAGAAGGTTTGCCATTCGTTCGGTGCTCGATCGCGCCGGCTGGAGCGACCACGCGCCTCTAGCTCTTGTGCTTAAAGTGCCGAATGACACGCCCGACAGTCGCGAACGCAGGGTGGAGATCCAGCCCCGCAAGCGTGCGCGAGTAGAGCTACCGCGAGACTCGGCATTGGACGAGTCCTATGCCGATTTGGTGCTTGCCGCCCGGTCCACGACGCTTACAGACCGCCTACGATCGTTATACGGCCCCGTCATTGCGGATAGCGCAAAGGGCACACCTGTCAAGGTTTGGACGGATGGCTCAAGCCTCAACAATGGCCGCCGCGGCGCGTCTGCAGGTGCTGGGGTGTTCTTCGGGCCCGGGAATCGCCACAACATCGCTCAGCGGGTTCCCGATGCTCAGACGAACAACCGAGCTGAGGTCTTCGCGGTTCTGCTGGCACTGGCAGCCGTCTCACCGGCGGTTCCTCTCATTGTTCACTCCGACTCGCAGTATGCCATCCAGTCTGTGACCACGTGGGCTCCGGATAATGCGGACGCGGGGTGGTCATGCAAAAACGGCGACATCTTGAAAGATTGTGCCGCGTGGATTCGCGCCCGCCCAGCCCGTGTTCACTTCGAGCATGTACGAGCACATTCGGATGACAAAAGTAACGATGCGGCAGACGCACTTGCTAAGAGGGGCGCGGGCAAACCGGCTGCTGCTCCGTACCACCACCAACGGGTGCAGGCGCCGCCTACGCCAGCGGCTGCGCCAGACGTGACAGTGCTATCGCTCGACAAAGTCTCTTCGTCATTAGCGCCGCCCCCAAAGCTCAATAAGCAACGGCGGATTAAACCTGCGTTCAAGGTATCGGAGAGTGATCGCGGTCGAGACCGGAAACGATACAGGCAGGACTCTAAGCTCAGCCTTCTTTTGGGCTCAGCGCGCGACTCGGGCTTATTCTGGCGCACCATCAAGCACGACTACGATGCCATCCCGCCGCAGGTGACGGTGTCGCTAGCTGAGCTTACGCCTGAGTTTATGCGCCGGATGAACAAGCCTGAACATCCGCCGCCCGAGTTAGATCGTGCGGCCGCGCGCCTGGCGCAGCTTCAAGCGCGCGACCTCTCCACCATCACACCTCATCTCGAGCCCGATGGCTTCTTCGCAGAACCCTTCACCATGGAGGACATCGCCTGGTTGAAGAAGCATATGCGAGAGCGCTCACTTGAGGGTGCACCGGGCTATGACGGTGTGTCCAAGTCCGAGCTCATGATCATAGCAAACGACGATCTTGCCGCGCTCTTCTCTCGATGTATCGAGGAAAATGACGTGCCTGGTGTATGGCTGACTACGGAGGTCGTCGCCATTCTGAAGCGCGACAAACCGGAGCACGAGGCGGCTAGTTATCGCACAGTCGGGTTGGAGAGCATCGCCTTGAAAATGTTGACTCTACTTGTGCATAGGCCAGTGCCTTGTTTTTCGGTCATCCCACTCCTCCATGTTGACGGATGTGTACAGACGACTGACACAATGGGCGGATCAGCATGATCTACTGCCGCCGACACAGAATGGTTTCCGTCAAGGATATCGCACGGCGAACAACGCTCTTGTCCTGCGATGCCTCATCGAGAAGGCACACGCGATGAAGATCCCGCTCTACGTCGCCTTCGTCGACGTCACAAACGCGTTCCCTTCTACTGATCGAGACCTGCTTTGGGTCAAGCTACATCGAATGGGTATCAGCGGGCCAATGATTGACTGGCTGCGCAACCTCTACAGACGCATGTCTTATGTCGTCCGCACGTCTGAGGGCTCCTCGGAAGCCTTTGAGGCAGACGTCGGAGTTCTCATCGGGGATTCGGCCTCGCCCACGCTCTGGAATCTCTTCTTAGCCGATCTCAACCTGCTCCCTCGTAGCGATGACCCTGTTCTAGGAGGTGTACTCGTCTCCCTTCTCGCACATGCGGATGACCTAGTCCTCGTGTCCACGTCACCTGCGGGACTACAAGCTAGGCTGAATGCCGTGTTCCGCTATTGCCGCATCAATCAACTGGTGACGCATCCGGGCAAGACAGTTCTCATGCTCTTCGGCGAGATACCTGCCGTCGTACCCCAGTTCTACATGAACGGTGTCAAGCTCGCGTACAAGGACACCTGGACCTATGTCGGGGTCACCTTCACGAGTACCAAAGGCAATCTCTTCTATGAGCACTACGTCGGCCGAAGGAAGAAAGCATTGGCCGCTGTTTTTCAGATACTAGGGCTGGACCTCGATGTCGGACGCCTTCCTCCATGGCCGGCGCGACTACTCTGGATGGCGCGGCCCGATGCATATCTCACCGGGGGCGCGGACATCATCCCCGACATCGACAAGTTGGCCGACCCCTTGGAGGACGTGCAGGTGATGTTCTTGAGGAGGATCTTAGGCCTCGGGCCGTCATCCCTGCATGCTCCGCTGTTCACCGAGACGGGCATCGCGCCCCTGCGCTTCCGCCGCCTAATTCTCGCACTACGATACCTACGCTACGCGGTGTCCCTTCCCGAGTCGCACATGGTCAGCGCGGCTCTTCGCGAGTCCTACGCAATGTATACTGCGACAGTTTCGGGGTGGATCGGGGACATCGCGTGGGCCCTCAAGAATCGCTTGCCGTCCACACACATCCGGCTCCCATCGCTAGCCGACCTCAAGGAAGACGGCGCGGTCGACGCCCTCATCCGTCAAGTTGAGAAGGCTATGCGGGATCATCTCCAGGGGGAGATCAACGAGCGCTCGAAGCTCTACCTTCTGAGAGACCGGCAGGAACCCGCATCGCGAGATGGGCCACTACAGGCTGCGGCGATACTCCGCTTCCGCCCTTACCTCAATGTTGTGCGCGAAGACCATCGTTTTGCTCTCACCCGGCTGCTCCTTAGCCATCACCCGCTCGCGCTGGAGGTGCTGCGTCATGAGGATCTCACCCTCGGTCGGAAGTTCGTCCCGAGGGAGCATCGGCTCTGTCGTTTTTGTGCAGGAGCGGTGGAGTCTCCCGAACACGCTCTTCTCGAATGCATGGCCAACACGACACTGCCCCTCATACGCGCTCGCTTCTTCGCACAGGTCGAACGTCTCCGCCCGGATCTGGTGCCGCCAATCTCTGCGCGTCCTACGCCCGACGCCATGCGAGCACTACTTGACTGGCCGGACTTCGTTCACGTACTGGCTGCATTCACTAATGCAGTTCTCTCTGTCTTTACCTCCGTGGAGTATGTGTGGCCTGCTCAGTTCAAGGTACCACCACGGCCGAGGCGTCAGCAACGACAGAAGGGGTAACTTTCGTAGCCAGTACTATTATTGTTATGGGTGATAGTGGTGTTGTTCTTGTCGATGGTACTATAAGCGCAGGTGGGCGGGATACTGTAGTGGGCTGAGGTCGGCGACTGAACGGGTCTGAGGGTATTAAGCCTAGGCGGTGCGGCAATGCCTGGATAGTTTGTTAAATGATTATCTTAAATATCTACCGACAACTACATAGCCGGCGGGATGGGGGCTGGCGGGAGGCGGGTTGTTGTTGACCTCTAGTCGGGTATAGGTTCTACACGTATGAAAGAGGACGGAGCTCGGCCTATACCTTGGCTAGGGGTCCTGGGCCGTGTGTGGTTCCGGACTGCACACGATACGCTCAAATCCTGTCAGTTGCTGTTGCAACCACGACAGTATAAAACTAAAACTAAAACTTGACGCCCGTCGGCTTACGCGGGAGCTTTAAATTTCCGGCGCACACGCCGCTCATCGGCATGCTCGATGTGCACGCACGACACTCGGTCTCGACTCTCGCGTGCTCAGAAAGCCGGCTGTACGCGCGTGACTATCTCGACCAAGCCCGAGGGAGAGTGTCATCATCCGACGATGATAAGTACTATCCATACAGGACGCGGGCCTAAGGGGATCATTGCAAAGCCTGTCTGCACTCCGATCCCGTATACAATGAATAGAGTATCGCAATCCTATTCTACGCGTCCACTTGATGGGAGATCGTATCCGTGGTATGTTGAGATGAAATGACAAGACACCACGAAAGTGCGTATGTAGATGGTCAGGATGAACCTGGATCAACTCACAGCAGCATAGCCAACTGCGGCAAGAACCTTCATGCCATGTCAGCGTGGATATCAGCAGAAGCGTCAGCTGTGCGTACTTTTCGCAGATCGAAGAGAAGTAGAACTCGTGCTCTGAGTTGTGAGGTTGGACGAGATTGTGAGCAATCTCATGAGCGAGCGTGAAGTACCTGCGTACGCGAGATCAGTATGACACCATGTCGATGCGCCGATAAAACTCACCAAGAGATGTAAGCCTGAGCTGTCTGGCCATGCTGAGCCTCTGAGTTATCTGCACCCAGTCGCGTCAGCCGAAGGAAAGCACGAGGCACTAGTTCACTCACGCCATGCTTCGTAGTACCTGAGGTTCACGAACAAGCTGCCATTGCGATTGAACGCAATGAGAGGTCCCTCCTGGTCGACGAAGATGGAGAGTGAGTTCATAGGCAGCTGGAATACTCCGCATAAGGCCTGAAGGATGTCGAAGAAGCTTTGGAGCACCGCTTGCTTCTGCTGCACAAGGGCCATCCTGTTCGGTACATCTGATCGAGGTCAGCATAGATACAGCGTATGGCGTGCACAAAACTTACCGGGGGTAGCGTAGACTTTCATGCCGCTCACTTGACCTGATGAAGGTGTCAGCGCCGGCACGGACGGTTCAACCGTCTGCAACGCACCGATGATCTCCAGCTTGCCGACGTGCCCAGATACATCACAGTAGCCCTCGTTCTGCGTCTCCTTGACCATCTGCATCTGCTGACGCGTTTGCAGAACGTTGCTCCTCTCCTCCGAGCAAGCCCTAATCGCCGTCTGGATGTTTGAGTCAATGTTGCTCTGAGGCGTGACTCCCGGTCCTGGTTGCGGTGGTTTTGTGAAGTCTCGCGCAGGACCGGCCGGCACCAGGGCTCCTCCACCAACCGGCTCTGGGGGCGCCTCAATAGAAGGTCGGGATTCGCCGTCGCGCCGTGACACCTTCTGCTTGACGTTCTGAAGGATTGACGACAAGCGATTCGCGTTTGGCGGAAGTGGCATGTTCATTGGGGGAAGAGACGGCACAGCTCCTGAAGTATGCTGTGGCGGTGGCGGTGGTGGAAGAGCAGCAATGGCTTGGGGCTTGGACTGCATCACAGGTTCTGGTTGTCTCTTCTTGTCTGACGCCAACACGAGTTGCTGTGAGTCTGCAGCGGCAGCCTCTTTCGCAGCCTTCACGAGAGCCTCCCGCTCTTCTTGCTGACGCCGAAGAATGCGATCAACTAGAAAGGATCAATGAACATCATGAAAGCACAGCCTGAGTGTAGCGCGCACCATTGTAGCCTCTGCGTTTCAAGGCACTCAGATCCGTCGAGAGTATGGTCATGAAAAGCAGGACGTCATTGGCCTTGGGTGCGTCGAACAAGCAACGACACATGGATGTCGATACCCTACGACTACGTCAGCTGGAATCACATACAGATGCAAAGGATCCACTCACTCATACATGTCCACGTCGGTGTTGTGAGCCAGCCATAGGCGGATAGGGCCGTTGCCGTCCTGACGCGCGACAGCGGATGCCTCAACGGGACGAGACGCGGAGACGCTGCCGTAGTTCAATGACTTCGTGACAGAAAGCTTCCCATACGTCTCGACGATGAAGTTCTGCTCCTTCTGAAGCCATCCCAATGAGACTTTCATCTTCGAAGACGAGTGTTCGTGCAAGAACAGCGGCAGCCGCTCGAGGATTAGCCGCCGGACTCGCGCCGACTCGGGCGACTTGATCTCCCGCGTGGTCTGGTACGACTCGCGAACAAGGCTACTCAGTCGGCGAGATCCGAGAGCCATGTAGAAGTCTGAATGGCGGGTCAGCAAAAGCGATCTTGGGCCTGGTGTGGCGCTCACCCTCTAGAAGATCGTCCTGCGGTGCGGAGTATACTGTATCGCCGAAGAGCTGGTATGCATTCGGATCATCCGCTATGACGATCTCGCTTGGGCGCAGGAGATCATACTGAAGGTCCCAATCTTCGTCATCTCCATCACTATCACGTTTCTCCTTGTCGCTCTTCCTGACGCGGCGTGATGCCAGGAGCACGGCTGATCGGGAGAGGCGCGTCGCAGTCGACTTCGATAGTTGACGTCGGTTCAATGCGACCTGCTTGAGTTCGTGCTGATAACCGTCGCGTCCACCAGCCATCGTGAAGAACTGCCGAGGGTTGTTGAGCAGATTCTGCACGATTTCCTCCACGGAGGGCTCCTGCCTCGTGCCGCAGAATGCCAGGAAGCTGTTTGCGCGGGAACCGAAGTCGACGAAGGTGAAGATGAGGGCGTGGAAGCCGGTGCTAGAGGCGCCGGAGAAGTAACATTGGCTCGGGGAGACGTGCTTGATGACCGCAGTTTTCTCTCCGGTGCCCTGACAAGGTATGAACGCTGTGGTTGATAATCTATCCCTCTCTGCATTAGAGAATTCTGAGGACATGCATAAGAACCGTGATACGCGCTCAGAACAGAAGAAGGCGCTTACCAGGAATGCGCCCGGCGAGGAGTTGGAACCACTGTGTGGCCTTGGTCTGGTCCGGCGGAGGCGACTGCTCAAGCAAGGTAACCAGTCGGGCAGTCGGCGGGTTCTCGCTAACTCCAAGCTGGGTGGCATGTTCCTTGACACTCGGCGCAAGAACGGCGAAACCCATTGTAGACCACTCAGTGGCGGAGAAGACTTCTCTGGGCTTCGCCAAATGGCTCCCCATCTTGCCAATAGCCGGGATAAACGCCAGGTCCTTGAACTCATGCGGATCGTACTGCCCGGAGTACTTCGGGAAGTTATCAACAAAATACTGAAGCGCCTTTTCGCGAATCGCAGCGTCAGGACCAGCTGCCAGTTTCAATACATCCGCGACCGGTGGGGACCGCTTGAGGCCAAGCGAGAATAAGAATTTGGCTGTCTCTCGAGATCAGCCTTGTATCAATATAGACGGCGAATTGCAGCGTACCTTCGTCCGAAGACGCCTTCCAACGATGCTCTTTACCCCACGCGATGATGGGTAGACCGAGCGCGCGCAACGCATCTGACGGCTCGTATAACTCGCTGGCCTTGAAGCGTGGCACCTTCGTCGCAGGCTTCTGGCCGGCGACTTCGGCGTCCTTATCGGCTTCTTTCAAGAACGCCGAGGTGTGTTTGAGGCGTTGCAGTTCGTCTCCACTGAGCGTTGATTGAACACTCGTGAGGTACTTGACAAGGTCAACGATGGTCCAATCTCCTGTCTTGATCATACTATAGATGGGAGTGAGTAGAGGGCGTGTGCACGGGATGCTCAGCGACTTACCGGTCAAACACCATTTGCAACTCGACGTGCTTGCGAACACCCAAAGCTTGCAGCACTTTCTCAAGGTCGCGCTTCACTTGCCCTCCGGAGGGCAGTGTCAAGACGGGAAGGTCCTTGAACAGGTTGACCGAGGGGAAGTACGCCTGATCGGCAAGCCTAAGCCCGGCGTTTGTTGGTATGCAGGCTTTAGGCTTCAAAAGCGCGACCACCTCCTCCTGGCGGGGGTTTGCTAAGTTGGGCCACGTTCTCGCTAGAACGTTCAGAACACGCTCAGACCATTGCGGTGAGAGCGTGAGGTCGTGTTCTGGGTCGTTCTTGCATACAGCTGGGTCGACGATATGCTTAAGCCAATCGAGCACGGTAAACTCGGACCAAGGGAATACACTGAAGAGGACGTCGGGATCGAAGTTTCTACTGATCGAGACAGGGAGAAGGCTACTGGGCAATGGTCCGTCGGTGGGGATGAGAGCGCCGGTTCTCTTCGCGTTGAGGAACTTCTTGATCCACGAGAGCGGAATCACTTTGTCCGGGGAGAGAGATACGACAGTTGCGTTTAGCAACTTATCGCGTAACCTCTCTGGCGCCTTGCCACGCTTCGTGCCGGCAATCCACCACTTCAGGAAGGCAACAGCTTCAGTTTCCGTGAGCGGGCGATCTTGAAGTTGCGCTACGACGTCGTCAGGCGTGGCCTCCAAAATCATGCGCCGTGCGCTCAATGATTGTATCATGCGCGGAGCACCATCCTGGACCTCGTCGGATAGCGTGGGGAGGCGTGGCAAGAACGATGACAAATCCTTATCAGGAAGGCGTGTCTTCTTCACGTCGACGACACCCTCCGATGAGATGATAGGGAATGGTACGTTCGCGCCACAGTCGAAGAATGCGGCCTCCAGGTCGGCAGAGACGCGCGAGGAAGGTGTAGAAGGATAAAAGCTGAAGAACTTCATAGCGTGTAGAGCCTCCTCCTGAAGCCATTTGATCATATCAGGATCGAGTCGACCTCCCGGCTCAGAGATCGCGGCCGTCCACTTCTCCTGTATGGTGGCCATCTCGCGTTCGTAACCGGAGCGCGCGAGAAAGCCACCGACATATAGGAGCTCCCGATTCCAGATAGCGACATGTCGGTCCCTGTGGCATAGTGGTCAGCGATACACGAGCTTGAATACGTGTACATGGATACGTACACAAGGTCGATCGACTCTCGCTCGACGGTCGGAATGAACCTTGAAGACATGTGGCCACCCAGGCCAGTGGTCTGTCCTGTCGCATGCCCCTGAAGACGAGTTCAGTACGAATAGCCCAGACTGATAAGCTGTGACGTACAATGTAGACACGAGCTGCTCCAGTGCCTTCAAGATCAGCTCGAAGGCCTTGAAACACGCTCCCAGAGCCCTTGATCTTCTCGTCCTCCTTCATGCTGGCATCGAATGCACCCTTGCCTGTCTGGGACCGGATGAGTGTGGGACTTTCCGCGGTATGAATAAAACCAGTACATAGATAAGCGAGTAACTCAAGCGCGCGGGAGGCTTCTTCTGCATCGAGCGCTGGATCTCGCCTTCGAGTTTGCGGTCTAGCTTCGATTCCACCGAGGCCGTGAAGATGGTCAGTCGTACGCCTGAAGAGACCACCTCAAGGAGGTCGATCCCCGAAGCAAGTGGGGGCGGTTGAGGTGTAACGACACGTTGCGGGGTGCTGGATCCACCGAAGCCCAAGAATAGGGAGGCAAAGAAGCCGCCGGTTTGCGGGACGGGAGCTCGAGCCGTAGTCTTCGGCTGCTCTGGCTTCTCGGTGCCGACTTGATAGACCCAGCGGACGACTTCAGCCTGGATGTCAAGTTCTGGAATGCCATCTTAAGCACCGCTGATCCGGGTTTGACTGAGATAACGCACATACGTGATGTCTGGAATCTGGTAACCTTCATAATGCCCTGAGGGCTGGTCGCTCTCAGGCCCCGAGGCAGTGGTAGCGACTGAGGAGAAGCCAAATCCTTCGTGATGCGTACCAGCCGTTTGTCATCGAAGAACACGTTGACTTCTTTGAGGTAGGTCATGAAGGTTATCGAGGAAGCTAAGAAGCGCGTGAAGTCGAAGGCAGATGGAATGGGGCCGGGTTCGCGCAGAGGCATCTTGATCGTAGTCCAAGGGTCGGGAGATGCGCCCTCCGGGACAAAGGATGGACCTCTGCGTACGAGAAGCTGGTCTTTATTGTCCTTCCAATGGAAGGCCATCCATGAAGCTGCAGTGAAACTGAACATCTCTGTATCGTATGATGCAGGGATTGTACTCACGACCGGAAGTGACCCATGGTTCTTCAGTGACAGAGAAGAGACTGTAGAAACCGACACCAAAAGCGCCAATCTTCTCTTGATTCGGGTTGCCCTCGGCTAGGGATTATACATAAGCAGGGATCGTTTCGAAGACTAATGTACCCCGCACCAATCTTCTTCAGTCTACTCCATCCATCTGCGTCGAAGAAGTCTCCGTCATTCTTGAATATCCAATGGTGCACCTATAAACTCGTTAATAGCTGTCACTGGAGCAGACCATGCGCGCAAAACATACAGCCGCTGACTTCAAATCCGGCAGTTTCTCCGTAGCATGACTCTCGGTGCCGTCTGCTTCGCTTGTAGAGGTCGTGCCGGACTCTTGCCGAGTATGATATGCCTCTGTCCGAAAGTGTATCTCGACGCGACCCGCTCTAGCGTCGTCCGAGTTCTGCAAGAGTTCTCGAAAGACTACAACACGTCGTCAGACGCTGATAGCGGATTTCAGTGGGGCATACGCACCGGTGAACTCTCCAGAATACCTTGCGAGCACCTTGTCAATCAGCGCGCGCTGGTTGACCTCGACGTCCTCATCATGACCTTGGGCCCACTGAATGCCTTCATCAGATATAGTGCTTTCTATGAGTCTCATTCGCATAGACGCACTAGGGCTTCCTTCGTCGCCATGTCCGAGTGAATACACGAGGTCGAACTCCGGTCAACGGTCGAAGGTATTGCTCAAGAGATCGTTACTGTATATTAGGTTTGAGGCAAGACCTCTCAGATTATGGTTCCGTCTATGCAGAGATTTAAGGTCCTGTCGTGATTATATGTGGCGAGCGATTCCCTGTTTGCAAGCTTCGCCGTGATGGGCGTTCGAGTAAGGCCGCGACAGCGCTTGACGAGCGGCACACAGCATGTCGGTCCGAGTGCCGATGGGTTACAACAGCAAACCACGCCTTCGGCTTGCCTTCAGCGCTTCAGCACCACGCAACGCTCCGCGCCTGGACTCGTGCACCGTAACAATATCATGCGTGCGGGCCAGTGCGTCCACGGACAAACCCTATACGGACACGAATATGTTGATTTGGGGGCACGGGAAATTGCTAAGGACATCCACTAACGCCGCATCTCCCTTGCAATAACGATGGCTGATACTCAAGAACGCGCTAGATGGATACTACGTAGGGTAGATGGTTCATTGAGGGAGAGCGATGAAACGTGTGGATAATGATATGATGAGGGAGAGAACAATCAGTGAAAGCGAGTGTCGGTTAGGATGATGATAACGAGTGCAGGTATACTGGAGAGCATATGATGGGAAGGGAATATGAAAACAGATGAACCAAGACCTCAGGGCGACGTCAATATAATTGAATGGGTAGATTTAGCTAGTGGGCAATAATGCGACGCTGAGACTGCTGCTCGCGTGGGCTGCCCATAAGAATCGCCATCCAACCAAACATGGCGACAAAGAAGTTGAGCATCCAAGCCGGATTGGCGATAGCAACGATTGGCCGTGCGTAGTCGAGAGCAGAGGAACGACGGGGTGTATCGTCTTCCGGGAGAGCCACAAGGTTCTGGCGAGGGGTAGAGCTGGGTGTTCCATATTCGGAATCTTCGTTCGCAAGCTTCCTAGCTTGCAACGTAGGCGACAAAGGAAGTGGCACGAGGCGCGGGTCGGCAGTGCCGGTGAAAGGAAGTGCCGCACTCCTCATACGAGGAGTGGCAGTAGGGGTCGTGTCGTTGGACTGGGCGTCCTCATATTCTCCATCCGTCTCCGAATCGTCCTTCTCGTCGTAGTCGCCGTAATCACCGGGCATAGCACCGATAAGCTGGCGCTTATATTCGGGAAGACCGTAGGTACCGCGGGAGGGGCGGTCCTGACGCTTCTGCTTCTCCAGTTGTGGGAGCAAGTCATAAGCCGTACGCGAGCCGAGGACGTAGGTCCGCACATAGTAGATAGCGTAGAGGAAGCCGCCGACGCATGCCAACGCAAGCAGCGCTACTAGGCAAGAAACCGCAATGACGATCGGTTCCGAGTGTACCGAGGGCAGGCTGTGTGCGAACTCAAGCGAGGAGGCCGAATCCGGTATGTCAGCCTCGGCGGCCACCTCCGCCGTCAGATCAGCGTCCTTCGTCGCAGGCGACGAAGACACTTCGTCTTCAGGAAGGGGGGCGCTGGCGCCTTCAACGTCTTCCATACGGTCCGAGGTGCCAAGCATCTCAATGAGAGCCTTCTCCTCTTCAGAGAGTGGCCGATTCTCGTCCAGAGGAACCAGCGCCTTAATGGCACTGCTGTCCAAAGATGATAGGTAGGCCTGCTGCTCTTCAGCAGAGATGATGCGAATATCATATTCGCTGCCGGTGAGGTCCAAAGTATCGAAGGAGTCTCTGTATGGATCGTCAATAACCGATAACGGCGATGTATGACGCACTGGGCGCCTACTCACTTGGTCCTGGACTCGAAGACAGCCTGAACTGTCGACTGTATATCGAGCTGAGCACTGTGGCATGACATTTGAGCCTCATATCTCAAAGCTGAAAGAATCGATAGGACGTACTAGTCGGCGTGAGCGTCTCGCGGAGCGAGGGGTCGAGCTGTAACGACCAGCGCTAGGAGAGAGAAGGAGACAAGAACTGTGAAAGCCATGCTTCCAAGCCTTTCTCGGTGAGAGAGTCGTCAAGGGTTCGTGAGCTGCTCAATAGCGGCGGGCAGTCACGGTGAAAGCCAAGGTTGTCGATGGGGAGAAGAACACGCCTCATGGCCGTACCTACCACGTTTTGGGCCATCTCGCCCGTGTGACATGCAGCCACACGCGACTGCCCGTGCCGTGTGCCGGGCCGAACGTCGTCTCTCTCCCACCGCTACCACCAAACAATCATCCCTTGCGACGGAATAGCATGCTGGGTTAGCTGCTGCAGTCGCCGCGTTCCCCGGGTACTGGCATTTGAGGATGTCTTACAATTCATGAACATACGTCAGGTGACCGTGTCACCGTCATCGGCCCGTTAGACGTGTCGTGTGGCTACCAATGGCTGCGCTCGGACCAAGACAGCCGTCATACAGCTTGACTTTCATCCTCCATGACCGGAGGTTTCGATGTACCTCTCGTGGATGAGGTCGGCGATTCCGGCGCGCGGTGGGCTGGCACCGCTCATATACTTGGCCCACGTTGGGCGCGCCTACCACTACTGAGCTTGGGCCTGTGCGTCGTTGTTTCATCTTGTCACGAAGTGTATCTTGATTGCCGTGTAGGATTGGAGTCCAGCTTCTTTGGTCCGTAGAGATGTCGTATGGTGCGTTCAATTAACTCTAGACCACATCTCTTACTCAGAATGTCTTCAGCTTCGCCGTACTTGATCTCGCTAGGACTGTCGAAGTCGGGGATGGCCATGGTCTTCATAGCCGGGCCAATCTCAGGCTTGGTTGTCCAACCGGTCATTGGTTTATTAGCAGATACCTCGAAGTCACGGTTCGGAAGGAGACGACCCTATATACTGGCGGGCACTGGATTCTGCTCTTTCTTCATCTTACTCCTTGGATATACACGCCAGTTCGCCAGTATTGTTACCACTACAGGCTCAGATGCGAATGACACACTGACGATATGGCTCGCCGTGTTCAGTATATTCTGTATCGACTTCGGGATTAACGCGGGTGAGTCGCTGCAAGAGGGTACCTGGCTCATGGTTAAACAAGCACAGTCATGAGCATGGACAGAGCTCTCATTGTGGACACCCTTCCTTCAGAGAAGCAACCCATTGGAAGTGCTTGGGCGGCGCGTATGATGGGTATAGGCAGTGTCGTTGGTTTCCTCATGTGCGTCTTTGGAACAATATACTACTTCTGTTTCTCATTCCATCTCATGCAGCGGCGGGTTGGATATGCCTGCAATGTTCCCAATATTCGGGAGTACAGAGATCGAAGTTATTTCAGCCCTATCTGCCATATCGCTCGTGTTCACCCATGCCATAACTTGCTACTGCACGAAAGAGCGCGTTTTACTCTCGCTCCCGTAAGTCAGCATGGTAGCCGTGGCAATTTCACTAGCTCATTTTCCTTCGCAGCGCGCGCCAACAACGAAGCGGCTTTTTGAAGGAGGTCAAGTCTACGTGGACGACCTTCAAAACCTTGCCATATGCCATCTTGCGAATTGTGAGTATCTCTGATAGCTTATCTGTCGGTACTCTTGCTGAGGCTATGCATAGTGTATCATCCAATTCTTGTCGGTGCAACTTTCACAGACCGACTCATCCTCATTGACAAGACCTATAGCGCTTGGCTAGGCTGGTTTCCCGTGCTCTTCTACACATCTCTATACGTCGGAGACTTCTATCGTCGCTCCACACCCGCATCCTCGGCCTTAACTCCGGAGTTTGTCGAAGCAGAAGCAAATCGGCTTGGATCTCGCGCAATGACAATCTCCGCGATCTTGACGCTGCTCACCAACTTCGCCGCGCCCATCCTCGTGTCCAAAAGAAGAACTGGACAGGAAGCCCTCATGACCGCTGGCCCCAAACCCTGGTATCGACGGAGGATGCACATGGCGACGATATGGGCGTTATCCCATATAGTCTTTGCGGCGTGCATGTTTGCGACATTGTGTGTGGCCCTTCTTCCATGGAGCGATCTGTATTAATCCGTCGGTTTAGGTTCGTGAGCAGTGTAATAGCTGCGACTATAGTGATGAGCATAACCGGCATATGCTGGGGTATCACTCTATGGGCGCCATTCTCTCTGGTACGTTGTCCGAAGACATTCAGTCCGGCTTGTTTCATAATGCGCCTTCTAGCTCGGAGAAGAGATTGTGGCTTCCAGTTCAGAACTCCCCGGCGTGGAAGAGACCATAGTTCTGGCTGACCATCGGACGCCTCTCGAAAGTCGAGAAGAAGTCTTTGCAGTCGCTGATGACTCGGACTCAGATGAAGATCGGACTGCGAAGCCCGCTCTACGACCTCGCTGGAGCGGTGACGGGGACGATCCGCGCACTGCGCTCATGGGAAATGCCGACGCACGGCAGAGCTGGGTCGACGTCGGCGCCAGCGGTCATGCCACGGAAGGGCAGGGTCAAGACCCTACGTCGCGTTCGGGGCTCAGTGCGAAAGCAGGGACGATCTTGGTGCGTGCCCGGGTGTGCAGCCTCTCTCGTCGCTTCATGCTCATGTCCGCATCGGCAGGGAATCCACAACACGTTTATCGTCGCGCCTCAGTTTCTCGTGACCGGCCTCGCCTCAATCATATTCGCCATATTTGAGCCCGGCAAATCTGCTATTCATGGCGGCAAAAGGACCGCGACGTTCAACACGTCGGATGTAGACGCCGGCAGTAACCTGGCGCTCCTTTCGAGGGACGATACTGCTCAAACGGAGTCGGCGGCCAATGGTCCCAATACCATTGCCATCATCTTCCGGTGAGTGGTCCACCCGGGGCCACCAATCACGCGCTGACCTCTGCGTAGGCTCGGAGGCGTGGCTGCCGTAGTGGCCTTCGTCATTTGCTGGAGACTCGCAGGTTACCTCCGGCGCCGAGGATGATGGAGATGTATGCATACGCGATTGCGCTCTTGCGTGCATGGAAATTCTTGAGTTATTTATTCATAGTTCATCGGACGCGGACAGCAGTGTGCTCTGCGTGTATCATAACCCTTGGCAGTAGTAATATTAATTGCGGGATAGAGGACTGCTACGAGTGCCAACATGCCCGGACAACACGATGCAAGCATGCATAGAGAGCCTTGCGGGTTACGAGAACATCGAGGCAACAAAGACAGATCCTTCTCCCGTACATGTCCTGGGGCCCTGGCCATCCTGCTTGTGCTCTTCCGCCTTAGAAGATGGTACCGTCCGAGAGAATGTTGATCGGAGGTCCCCCGGAATCCGGCCGCTTCTGTTTCGCGATCTCTCGCCCTCCTTTCCACGTAGCGCTTTCAAGGACCTGGGCGAGTGTCAGCTGGTCGGCGCTAAGGCCTAGCTTCTGCCGGATGAGATCTGCTATGCGATCCCTACAAGTGGTTCAGCCAGGCCTATGTCAGCCGATGCACAAATGCTCACAGTTCAATGACTGTCATGGCGCGCCATTCGATGATCGCAGGGTGTGACGGCGGAAGTTGGGGAATAGAGGTACTGGAGGCCGACTTGGGGAGCGCGGATTCTTTCAAACTCAGCACG